TGCTGACTAACTAACTAACTGATGTTAAATAATAAACGAAATATGTTAAAATATATTAAAATTTACTACGGAACTGTAAATTGATAAGTGTACGACGTGCATTTAAATGATTTTAATTTTTAGCATTCCCTTAAATTTGTTTCCCATCAAAGAATATTAGCAATCAATGAATGTACGACAAAATAAAAAATACAACACAAATGTATTATATAAATAAAATTTAAACAAAAAATATATTTATTTAGCCATTAAGTTACACACACATATATATAAATGATATAACTACATAGTCATCAATTATTTTAGTATAAGTTCTTCATATAAAACAATAACAGCTTGTATTATTTTTAGCGCAATGGCAAAATTATTTTCAATATTCTAGTTGATTAGATTTTTACCACATTATGGAATTGTAATAATAAAATATTATCAGAACCGATTTCAAGGTATAACGGTAATCGCAATGTGAACTTCTTTAAATTATATATAAAAAAAATTGTATATATTGAGTAGCCGGAAGTATATTATTATGCTTGCTCAAATATGGTAATTTTTTTTTTTTTATAAATATAGAGAACCTTTATCGTTTCCTGTGGAAATCTGGCTTTTTGCCGTTTTTATCACATTAATATAACAAGAATAAGGCATTTGCTGCCAAAATAAGGCCTTCAGAGACAATATTAATATCATATGCAATCGTTTTTGTATAAGGAACGTGAAACGAGGGACAAGAGGCGGAGATAAAAATAATGTTTAAAACCTCGTCTTGTATTTCCAATGCGAGTATACGCTGTAATATTATATTATGCAATGCGTGCTTTTAGTTTTCGTGCATTTAAAATACGTTGTACTGCATAAGCAATATATTATGTATATTATTATATTATAGATATATTATGCGATGAATATATCCAGCAGCCACGAGTCCACAACCTATACATAATATTATGATATTGTTATAATGAAACATTCGTGATTAAAGGTTCATCCAATTCGTTCTTTGGCTGAGATTATTATTGTGCGCATATATAAACTAAATTATTCCAGATATCCGGCCTTTTTGAACTGTGAGTGTAACGAGGGATGTATTACTATGTTTTACTTTGATTAGCTTTATATTTGTTGTGTCTATAAACAACTTCTCTATCAGAAATCTTACTCCGATTTTCAAGTGTAACACATTTTCTGAAATCGAATTTTATCTCATTGGTGCGTTAAGGAGGTCTCCCTTGGTTTTCTTCGCAGTTTTCTTGACAATTTGATTTACGGCAATAACGATTTAATTATTTTCGATTTCGTTTTTTTCTTGTAAATCAGTTTAAAAAAATCGTAGGGACTTACAATTTTTACAAAATACACAGCATTTTAAAAAACGTGTTAACACATATAGGCATTTTTGAGTTTTATTTTTAGTCTTTATTTAGTTTTATGTGGGTGAAACAGTTTTGCCTGATAAACTCTGATCTTGTTTGAAAATTTAACTGGAAATTCACCATATTAAGTTGTACTGAGTAGTATAGAAAAGGTTTTGTATAACGTAGTCATTTTTTATAAAACAAGAAAATGATTATGACATCACCAGTATCAACCTCTTGTAGGAACATAACGTATTCAGTATTTAACTTTTTGAGATTAAATAGTTAAAATTATATACTCGTAGTATTCTGTTTATCTAAAAACAACTGACACGGACTGTTATAATGTAAGTAACGATAATATTTTTTCTTTAAAGATTAAATATGTCACGTAAAATTCCATAAAATGTACCATTACAAATTAACAATAACACACAAATAACAATAATAACACAATAACAAATTTCATTAAAGAAAATATATAATGCCTATTTAATTATCTTACCTTAATATTACATATATATTATTGACAGAGCAACACTATCAACTGAACTCCGATGGTTTACTGTTATTAACAGATATAGGTACATTAAATTTTCTTGTGAATCTTACCTCCCGGACCTTCCACCTACAACAGTGGCTGCACCCACGTGCGAAGTACGTCCGTCTTTTTTGTATTTATAATATTATTTTGTTTTAAATTTAAATTCGATAAAATTATAGTATAGGCAAAAATTTACAAAAACTGAAAAAAAATACTTCACATAAACAACAACGGGGTAATTATGGGTTTAATTTATTTTGGTGGTACTATTTTTAATTTGGATGGTGCTCCACTATTCGCCTCCTTATAACCAGAATTAATAGTCGAAATCACGCTAATGGGTCTGCGGAAATTCAAAATATCCACACCAAAATATGTTTAAACTATAAGTTATATAACTTCATATATTTATGCAATTTAATTCCATCATATGATTGTTGATTGAAAATTAAAAATGGGCAGTGTTTTACTCCCAAAAATAAAAGTGACAAAAAATAACCGTAATATTTTAGAGCTATTTTAATTTTATAAATTACAAAAAAAAAAAAAACCGTAGTTTCTTATTTTGGATTGATTAGGGTCACCCCGTAGCTTGGTAAAAACGGATTATACTTAATAGAAGTCATGTTTGGAATATTACAGTAGTTTTCGCAGCGCTACTGAAAATCTTTCGAACAACTGTACGACTTACGGTACATAAGTTTTCTTTTTTTTTAACCAAACCTATTCCGTTCCAATGTTTTTCGACAAAATATACGTAGCGTAAACTTTATAATGCCATATAGTGATTATTTACTATACTATAACCTACGGACGTAATATCTAAAATGTATATGGTATATATCTACGGCAAAAATATTAAGGTCTTCGTATTTTTTTGAAAATTAAAAAAAAAAAATTATTCAAATTAAACTCGTGTACATAAGCAAATTTTGTAGACTCTGAACAAGTTTACTTTGAAAGTAGCCTGCGGCAACTTCAGCATCACGTTTATTCCGTCCGAGGCGTGTTAAACCTATAAGATATTCCAGGGCACGCGGGAAATATAGTATCCGTAAAGTTTTTAACAGGACAAGACATTTCGTTTTGAACGTCGATTGTAAATCATCGAACTTTAGACGTATGATTGTCTAAATGGAAATTTAGTACAACAGTACGGCCTCGAGTATTGCCACTCTACGTCAAAACTCGAGAAATAATATAATTTCGGGAGTTTTGGTGACATTTTAATTTCCGATTTTAAGTGGCCGAGTGAAATTTTCGGCGTTTTTTTGTATTTGATAAACGATAATTTAATTTAATACGAATTAACCTCCACACATTAATAAAACGAAATAAAGACTATATATTTTCACCATTTACAAAAGGAAAATATAGCAGATATATCCTTAAATCTAACCTAATGTACCACTCAGAATCAAAAATACATATGTAAAATAATATGCTACTTTAACTTGTTCATATAGTATATTTTCAAATATTTAAACGTTCCGCGCCCGACGTGACCCGTGCCGATTATTTTTATTCTTTTTACATTTCTTCCTCTCTTATTTTTCTTGCATTGCCCGTATCTGTGTTACCATAGATACCCACCCAGTACAGGGGATATTTTTTTTTCATCCATGTTACCAAGGTAGCCCATTCTATTTCAAGCCAATAATAGACCGGCAGACAATCAGATAGATGCAAAGGTGGAAAATGTTCAATTTTTCTCGGAAATATTACTGAATATGGATGATATACCTTTTAACCAAATCGATATACAACAATTCGAGTATATGACCATGCAAGAAATAAAAGGTCATGTTAAAGTTGCGCAATGTCGACGTTTGAAAGAAATGCCGGAAAAATCAGAATTAGTCATAGTTTGAATTAAACCAATACGTCACAGAAACAAACTTCTTTACATGTTACAGTTCGAAAATCTGGATTCATTGTATGTGTCAAATTTCTGGTTGGAGAAAGAAATGTCAGGTGTTAATATAGACTTAAATTATAAGATAAAAATTAAGATGGATAGAATTAAAACTACTCTTAGTAAAAAAAAAAAAAAAAATAGGCAGGTCTTTCGTGTGTAATAATATATGTATAAATATTTTGTATTGTTAAAAGTAATAAATTAAAGACCATGTATCTAAAATAAAATTTGTTTTTTTTTGTTTGCCGAAATGCAATAAATATAATTATTCATAAACTGAGCCTGTCCTGGGGCTTTAATCTTGCGTTTCGGCCTATTAGTTTCTTGAATTCCCTTTTGCGGTTCAGCTGTTCAGGAGTATCATCGATTTCCTCTTTGCCATTTATACTTAACTCTGCCCCCTGGTCATCTTCTGTATTCTTTATAACTATAAGGTTTTTTTTCTATTTCTCCTAGTTGTGCTACCTTTTTCGTTTTCAACTATATATGATCCAGGCGTATTTGCCGTAATCCACCGGTATATTGTCCCACCTTCCCAACTTCTCACCTACAAAATAGTGATTCACCCGTCGTGCGGAGTACGGCCGTATATTTTTATTTCGTTTTGGATACTTTTTGAAACACACGCAGAGTTTCGGTACGATAAAACTATAAATTAATATCAACTATATATATAAATTATTATTATTACATTGATATTGTACGTGTAGTCGGTAGAGATAATAATAAATAATAACGAGAAGAAAACGAAACGTTAGTTAACATTTATAGATTTATGTGCAACCTTCAGCGGCGTGTAATAAAGATCCGGTGGCCCAATTATGTATGTGCACGTATACAATTATATTTGTATACGATGAAAAAAAAAAAAAAAACGGGACTTTAATCTAATTATTTTTTAAGAAATCGTAGAGCTAATCAAAGAACCATTATTTTCATTTGAAAGACGTGCGCATTCGACGTTCGCACGCATTAACAATAATATTGTATCAATACGACTACAGTCATTGGCGGTGGGGTTCAATAAGTTAGACCGGTTTAGGTATTGTTTAATAACCGTTGCGTTTCGGCCGTGTTAGCTGCGAAACGTCGTATCAGTGTCAGACGCCGCCGTTCGATACATTTTATTGACGATCCCGCGGGCCGCACTCCGAAATCGAAACCGTAAAGCGCGCGGTACGGCATGACGACTGTACCGAACGGCTCGCGGTCACGGGCCGCCGCCGTCGCCACTGCCTGTTTGCTGGTCGCGGCCGTTTTGTCGGGGCGGCCGCGGCCGGCCGACGGCGCCCGCGTGTTGGCCGTCGAGACCGTGTTCGCCAGGAGCCACTGGAACTTTATGCGCGGCGTACTACACGCGCTGGTCGACGCTGGACACCAGGTGAAGGCGTACACGCCGTTCCCCGGCCGAAATTCGACCGCGGCCAACTATACAGAGGTGGACACGTACGCGGACTACGGCGACGTGTTGGCCGCCGTTAACATGAACGCCACCGAGGTGGGCCCGCTGTTCTCGACGCCGTCGTTTCTGATACCGTTCATGGTAAATGGTAGCCGTTTTACGTGTGACGTCCTGGACAAGTTGGTGCCAGACGCGGACGGCGGCGAAACGTTCGATCTGTTCATCACGGAGCCGCTGAGCAGCGAGTGCGTATCGCACGTGTCGCGCCGGCTCGGGGTGCCGCTCGTCTACACAATTCCCGCTCCGTTGTTGCCGTGGATCGAGATCAGTTTGTTTGGCCACTACCCCAACCCGTCGTACGTGCCACACATGTTGTCCGCGTACACGTCCCCCAACACGTTTTTCCGGCGGGCGCACAACTTGGCCCTGTATCTGCAAACGGTTTACCTGCATTACCGGGCCACGATCGCTGCGGTGGCCGCCGAAAACCGTACGTACGATCGTATGCCGCCAGTCAACCCGTCCCTGGTGTTTGTCAACACGCACTACGCCACGGAGCTCGCCAGACCGGTACCCGCGAACCGAGTGAACGTGGGCGGCATTCATCTGAAAAAGCCCGAACCGCTGCCGGCCGTAAGTACCACGTCGTCCATTCCCACCACGATACAATCGCGATAAAACCGCCCAAACGTATTTCATAATATTTAAGTTGGGCGCTTGAGAAACAAAAAGAAATGCCGGCTGTACATGTGCAACCGAATCAAACGACTCGTATATATGCTTTGTATGCAGATCAGCAAATAAAGAATATTTTCTCGCGTATTAATATTTTTTTTTTTATACTCGACGTTTATGATTTTCGTCGAAACACCGGATAAATATTCCGATTTCAATTCCATAAACATGTTATTTGAAAATTAAAAGTGGGCAAAGTGTGTTTCACCCTAAAAAAATAACGGTCACATTTTAGAGCTGTTTTAATTTTATAAATTTAAAAAAAAAAAAAAAATCCGAAAAGTGTCTTATTTCGGATTGATCAGGGTGATCCTGTAGGATGGATAAAATGGATTATACTTAATAGAGTTCACGTTTCGAATATCCCGGTAATTTTCGCATGTTCCACCGAAAATCATTTTTAAGTACTGTACGACTTACGTAGTATAAGATTTTTTTTTAACAAAATCAGTTTTTTTATAACGTTCGTCGACAAAATATACGTAGTATAAACTTTATAAAGCCATACAGTTACTTTGGAAAAATCCGAGAGAAAATTATAAGTAAAACGGCAAATATTTACAGCGCGCCGCGGCGTTACCGATTCCATTATTTTAAATTTATATACACGATATTTTTTACCAGAATTATTGCTCCAATCAAAAAATGACAAGAGATCGATTTTGTTCCTTTTGGCATATAGCCATTAACGAGGAAGTCGCTTCGTGATATCTAAAGTATTTTTTATAATAATTTAGTAAAACCAAAAAGACGAAAAATACGATTTTTTTTTCAAATTACTGCGCGACGATTTCATTATTTAAAATTTATATGACTTATGTTTTCTACTATAAATATTGCTCCGATAGACCAATGACAAGAGACTTTTTTTGTTGAATTCTTAATTTGGTTGGTAAGCTAGAACGTCGTTTTTTGATTTTCCGTGGTTTTTTTTTTAAATTGAGATAACATTTAGAACGAACGGGACTATTTACGAAAATAATTCTTTTATTATTTAACATTGTGATTCAGTTAAAAATATTCGTAGGAATTTGAAATTTAATCAGAAAACGTATATTTACATACATTTATTTATGTTTCATTATAAATGTATGTTCATTGTTTATCGTTTGATAAGCATAATATTTTTATGTTCTAAATTTTTACGAAATTATATTATTTTCTTACTACAAAAATATGTTATCTCGAATAGAATAACCGAAAATTGTATTGTAAAGTAATAAATATACTAATGTGGTCACGTGTATATGTTTTCGCTCTGTATAGCCTGTATACAACATCGTGAACTATTTGTAGTCGCTGTTTTACATTTAGAAATGTATTGTTGTTTATCGTTTACTATTAACTAAATAGTTATAGTTAAATAGACAATAGTTATCCGCTTTTACTTAATGCTATCGCACAGTGTACACGTTACAGCAGTAGTTGTAATTGTAAAATGTACAATGTGTTATACTTAGCTATCATACTATATAGGGGTATACTTATCCCTTAAATTAGGTTCGGCATCACTGAAAATGACTGATATGTCCTTAAATCTAACCAAACCTACCAAAAACCAACACATTCCTTGTTCCACGTGGAATCAAAAATAAAATAAATATACTATACTCGAAATATTTTTTTTAGACTTAGATACAATACAACATTAACTAGTATTCTAGTGTTCATAGTATACTTTCAAATATATATATATATATATATATATATGTATATGTATAATAGGGTGGTCCTTATTTTTCGCTTGTGATTTTTTTAAGTTATCCCCCCCTAAAAAGGTTCGATTACTAAAAAAAACGCTATAAAAAAATTTCAGGCAAATTCATTGATATTAACCCGTGCCACAAAAGCTCTAAATTTACAAAAATAGAAAATTTTCAATATTATCAATTTTTTAAATTTTTTTTTAATATAACTCCAGGAAAAAAATACTTACAAAAAATTTGTAAAAATATAAATGATAGAACACTACATTTTCTACAATTTGTTTCATACATAATATTTTGCAAATATATTATTTTTTCAAATATTTTAATTACAAGGTAAAAACAAGAATAATCTTAAACATTTTAATATTTAAGGCAACTTAAAATACAACTAATAATTATTTATAATAACAGTTTACAATTATAATAACATTGTTACCTAATTATTTTATTTGTAATATATTTTAATTATAAATGATAAAACCAAATTATTGTGATAGTGCAGTAAGTGTTTCTTTTTTGTGGTCAGGATATTTTTTGCGGTAATCACTAACAACTTGTAGAAGGTATTGTTTTTGGTAATTTTGTCATTATAGTCCTTTATAAGTTTTACTCCTCTTTCTGCTACATCGTTTATTACTGGAATATTTTTTTATAACTAACAAAGCTTNATAGTTAAACGTTGTGCATTTGAAATTAATTCTGATGAAATTCCGTCGTTGTTTAGAGCATGACCTATTTTTCTTTTTATTTCCAGTGGCACAGCTTCATAGAAAAAAGCAAAAGCACATAATTCTGCAGATAAATACAATAAGTGACCACAAAACTTTTTAACTGCAATCTGAGATATATCTTTGTCTATAGAGGTATAATGTAAAAGACTTTTTATAAAATTCAAGTCTTGTAATGGTGCTTTGATTGAAGATGGTGAGTTGAACCATACTTTTATGTATAATCGTACAATAAAAACGCAAATACTTCTCAAAGCACTTTCTTCTTTTGGTGTTAAATGAAATTGTTCGCGAAATAAATATATTTTCAAGCTATAAATAGCTTTGGCCATCCACCGCGCGTGATGAATGGCACCTGGCATTTTAAATCGAATATTATTAGGAAGTTTTCCACCCAGAAAAATTACTGTTAATTCTAGTAACTCTCGGTAATCATCTCTTGGGTGATTTTCTAAAAGTATAAATTCCTCACTATCTACATCGTCACATTCGTCAGAACTACTCGACGACTGTAGTTCTACAGTTTTATCTGAAATTAATTTTATATTATTACACATTTATTGAAATCAAAATTAATATCATAGACTAAAAACGTACACAAAGCTTCAAGTTCATCACGGGCACGATTTTTTCTTTTATTTGTCGCTTGTTTGCTATCGTCTATGATTTTTTCTTTTTTTATCATTTTTTGATCAATACCACGCAATGACCCAGGTCGACCTTTCTGTTTCTGGGCTATTAAAAATGCTTTGACATTCTCAATAGACAGTAAATCTAATGAATTTGCACTCGCTACGTCGAATAAATCATCTAACTTTGATAGAAACTGCGTATTTTTTTCCATTTGCACTTTTTCTATATTCTAATTTTTGTAAATTTCTCCACTCTTTGTATAAACCTTCCAGCTTGTTCACACACTTTTGTTCTGTTCTCGTTGGTATGCGTGCCTTCCGCCAAAAAATGATTGCTTCTTGTATCACTAATGTAGCACTTTGNTGTTTGATGGTAATTTACTACCAACAATTTGATTTGTACTATATCCAATTAAAAAAATATATTTCGACTCACATAAACTATCCCTGGTAACCATTGTAAATCACTCAAATAAAATGTATGACGTACAAAATTTGAAAATTTAATACTCAACAATTTTAGTGTGACACTGGTTGTTGTAGTAAGTCAAATGAGAAATTAATCAATAAATTGGAAAATGACTACAATGACATAATAAATTCGATAACATATAAGTATAGATTGTAATAATGTGTGATGTAGAGAATAAAGAATGTAGGTAATATATTATTTGATTGTCTGAGTCATAAAAATAATCTTTAGATAATAATCGAAAAATATAGGTACTGGGTAAAGTGCATATTATTTATTCGTGCAATCGACCGATAGCCGATAATGATTATGATTTTTTATTTTTGACCTTTTAGTTCAAATATTTAAAAAAGCTTTAAATTTATAATATAAACTATTGTAAATTTAGTTTTCTTTAATTTATCATCTAAAGAATTTATCGTGAGATTCTTTTCTCTAGAGTTATGTTGGTTTTATAACAAAAACTTAACGATTTTGAAAAATGTTTTATATTTGTAACTTCAGAGCTGTTGTGGCACGAGTTAAATTTATTTGATTTGTCTAAAACTTTATTTTTATCATTATTTTTAGTAATGGAACTTATTGGGGGAGGTGTAATTTGAAAAATTTGGTTATTATTTTTTTCATACATAATAGAGGACCACTCTATACATTGTATAAACGAAATATTAAAAAAAAAAACCGGTGAGTAAATTCTCAGGCAATTGTTTCGTCTTGTTCACCTTGTTCGCATTACATACCTATGACAGGCAGTTTTTCTCTGCACACACCTCACTGCACGCTATATCTGTAATGAAGTAATAACTATTGGTGGACGTAAATAAAATTATTAGTTACCGTTGGCCTTGCTGTTGATATAGAAATAAACAAATTTAAACTATTTAATTGGTAACTATAAAATAAATAATAAATATGCAATTGTTAACAATACAGAATGGGCTCTTTCTTGAAATCCGAACGACTAAAATTTGAATTAATCGATAATTTAAACCGTCCCACGAATTTATACCGTTGTACTGTTTTGCGAAAATGAGATTGAGTCAAATGGGTCACAATACAGAGACAAAATGATTATATTTTCTTTTGAAATTTCGAAGAGATTTTTTTTCCATTAAAAATATTGACATTTATATACTTGTTCAATACACGTCCAATACAGTTGACATTCGAAAAAAAAAGAATGGCGTGTAAAAAATAAAAATATCATAATTTATATTTAATTTGTGATACGCGTCATTACAATTCTCGTCGATAATGATCAGCACAATATTATACGAAAGTATTGATTCGATAATTAACCAAGTGATTGTAGAAATAATGAACATATAATTTTCTCGGGATGGATGGGTATCAGGGGAGCACTGCGTGCAGCATAATGTAATAATGAATGAATAAGACCAGAACGACTTGCAAAAAAAAAAAAAAAAAACAACAACAAAAATGCAAACAATTAAAACTTTGTACTCGCGAGTATTAAAAAAAATGAATAGAACATCAGAATAAATGGTCAAGTACAGTTCACTTGTGAGTGGTGTGACATAGGTAATATTATGTGAAACCACTAGTTCTCGAGATAAATCGGTCCTGTGGGTTCAAAATTAAATTTAAAATTAAAATTTTTCAATTTTGTACACGAAATGTTCATATACAATATTAATAATAAGAACGATTTAAAATTTCATTGAATTTTCGATATAATACATTTGAAATCATCGGGTTCGCTAATTAGTAGTTATTGGACAGTATATTTTTATTTTTTTTATTTCGAAACCGTAAATAATTACCGCTTAGTCAAATCGTGCAGCATGGGACAATATGTTGCTGTACGCAAACGAGAAAAACAATTATCCAAATGTTGTTGAAACTAATATTATAACAGAAACGTTTCGCTTGCGACGCGTCGAACATTCGTAATAAGGTAATCGCGACAAAAACGATACAGTAAGTGAGTAAACGATACACATTAACCCGGATTTTACGAGGCTAATCACATCCATCGCCCGAGGTGCATGGAAATTCGACTCGACGAGAATTAACGAGATTTAATGATGTGTTTACGTGTCTTGTTTAATCGGAATACTCGTTGATTAACAGAAATATTATGTATTATTTAATAATATGTGTTTGTCAAAAATCATATAATATTTTACTAATAGATTTTATACACGCACTAATCAGGTGTCTATAAAATTTTCAAAGTTTGATTTACAGATTTTGTGATCTTTGAAAAAATATGAAAACGATAAATAATTACGATTATTGATTTTAGATTCTGAGGGTAAACAGAATTTATTGTATTGTACTGTGGCGATTCTGCTATTTACCATTTTTTTTTTTTGTAGCAAGTTTTTTCTAGTTGATATACCATTAAGGAGGTGGTAATTTATAATCGGGGGAAATTGGGGAAAAAGTTGGAAAAACTGGACAATTTATAAAAAACTTAATAGTGAGCACAACGATATATGAGTTCTCTCAAAATTGGTTATCACTCACCTAGATCTTACGATTTTCCGCACACCTAATTAGTACCGTTGTGTCGTACTATATATAATTTGAAATATATGAAAGTGATCAGGTGATGTTACACCTATTCGCTTAGAGTGGAAATGAAAAGTCCGCGTCAACGTTTAACTAGGTATATTGTTTGGAGTTTTAGGTCGCACGATAAGAGCATTTTGTTTTTAGCGGTTTACAGATTTCGAATTTTCTACCCCCGTGTCCATTCCGAATTTACTTCAAAATCATATTGTAAATAAACAGCATTGTAAAACCAAATTTAATGGGAATGCTGCAAATGCACCACCAAAAAAGTTTTCAGGGGATTCCGAAGCAGCCAGTTAGTTTTCCCGTTGTGTATTTTCAAATTAAATTTATATATTTCTCGATAAATAAAAATCTGATTAACATCAGTATACATTTTAAAATGTGAAAATAGAAAGCCGTGACGTTTAAGTCTTCCATCGATCCTATACAGCCACGCACGACACTGCAGTTTATGTCTTGAGAACGCCATGTAAAGTGTGAAGTGTTGTTGCTGCCAAAAGCCGTAGCGGACCAATCAACGCGTTATAGTGAGTTACATGTCAGAATTGAGTTGGACGAATTTAATTAAGTTAAAAGAAATCTGTTTCCCTCTCGACATTTGCTTTCCAATTGTTTGAGGACTTCCCAGTCCTTAAGCACTGCAGATTTATGGACGTGCACGCGATGCACGAGCACAGGTCCCCCAAATTCTTAGGACCGCTTTCAACTTTAAAAAAAAAAAAACAAACACTGATAGTTTACTTTAAAGTTTGAAGATATCTATAATTAGTACAAATGTACGATTAAGCATTTAATAATCAATAATTATGAAACAAAGTGTGAAAATACTTTTAATTAAATTAAGTTAAAATTTTTCATTTTTTGAACTTAAACACTGTATATAGTATAGTCTATTTTAAATATAATTATTTTTTATAATTTTACTTTCTCACAACGGCATTGGTAAATTAATTACTGCACTATTAAATAGGAAAAATGTATCGGAAAAATAGTCTTTTCACTAATGTATGTAAATAATCAATAGTCAATTAATTGGTACTTTTTTTTTTTTTTTGAAATATTATGCTACGATTTACCTTGACAAATTATTAACTTAATTAAATAATAATTATAAAATTAATATATAGATTGCGGCGTTCAACACGTAAATGTATTGAAATAGCTATCGTGGGATTTTGCAGTTATTATGTTATTATTATTATTATTATTATTTATGAGGTTTTCGAATACTCGCGAATAATTGCTTAATTATTATTTTTTCTCTTTGTAGCTTTTTTAATTCATTCGTTGGTTATTTTTTTCCTTAGTAATATTTTTGAAATCGTGACACATTTTTCTTTTTACGTTTATCAAAATGTATTAAATATAATATGTCCGTTATTTGTAAATAATAAATAATAAGTAAAAATATACCTTTGCTCGGGTATTAATTTAGCTAAAAGGTAGGATGTAATTTTAGTTATGCACAATACACCTAGTGCAGTTTGCATGTAGTATACACCCAACGGTGTAGTGATCGTAAATAAAGATAGTGAATGGTATTAGTAAGTGGTCAAAGATATTAAATGGACGAAAATTATTTGTTATATGTCTATTAATCAATCACTAATATTTAAATTAATTGTCAATAATATTTATCCTGTTCACATAATATTCCAAAATATTTATTACGAAATTTAATCGAAATGGCTTGTGATAATGTGTTAAATCATTTTTGCAGGACATTTTGGAGTTCATCGAGGGTTCGCCTCACGGAGTAATTTACTTTACATTTGGCACAGTCGTTGCACTATCAACGTTACCGGACACAGTACAAAACGCGTTCAAAAGCGCATTAGCCGAAATCCCCCAAAGAGTGTTGTGGAAATACGAAGAGGAAATGAAGGACATACCGAAAAATGTGATGACGGGCAAATGGTTTCCCCAAAGGGACATTCTCTGTAAGATTTAGCAAATACACCGTCATCGATTATCGTCCAAGTATTTTAAATGAATTAAATGTCAACATTTTCCCATCACTTCTATGTTTTTGCATGCGTTTAAAAACATAGGAATTAAAATTATCATCATTGAACAAAATTAAATATATTATATTTTTCTGTTTGTATTCGTTTAATGATATTGAATCTGTCGATGGTTCTAGTAGGTATAGCAGACGTGATCTGAATTCCGGATTTTTGTGGCAAATCAGTATTAAATTATAAAATTAAAAAATTTAGTATTAGACATCTTCTCTTCACCTCATTTCTCGTGACTGTAGGTTGGAACTTTAAACCGAAATACATAATCAGTAAACATTGTAACGCAAACCAACATTTAATACTGGAATACTTAACACAGCCGCGATTTCGACAATGGCATTTTATTGCATTGTTCGTATAAAATAAAATGTCTGTTTGAATCCAAAATAATGAGATATTACGTTCCTGCTTGAAATCCACGCGTTATCTCCCAATGAAATTTATGCGTAAACGCTTTGCTGCCATTGACTCATTATATTAAAATATCACGGCGTCTCGTTTGTGTATAGTGCATCCGAATGTAAAATTATTCATCAGCCACGGAGGTATATCGGGTGTGTACGAGGCCGTGGACGCTGGCGTTCCGGTACTGGGATTTCCGATGTTCTTCGACCAGCCGAGAAATATCGAACATTTGGTGGATTCGGGTATGGCGATCTCGATGGATTTGTTTTCGGTAACCAAAGATAAGCTTTTGAACGCCATCAACGAAATGGTCAACAACACAACGTGAGTATACCTACGGTATTTTCTACACATTTATTTTGGGCGGAACTGCGGTACGACCCGGCATATTACCTTTTAGCTACGGGAATGCATTTTGTAAAAACTAATTAAAAACCATGTGTTTAACATTCAGGTACTCGAAAAATGCCAAAATTGTCTTAGAACGGTTTAGAGACCGACAGATGTCACCGGCCGAATCGGTTGTTTACTGGACGGAATACGTTATTCGTCATAAAGGTGCGCCCCATTTGAAATCCAACGCACTCAATTTGACGTGGTATCAATACTTTTTGCTAGACGTGATCGCTGCGGTGTTGTTATTAGTTTTATTTATTTCGTTTGTTACGTACAGAATATTAAAATTCATCAAAATTTGTGTTTTGAAATCATTGACGAAATTCAAATCGAAACGCGAGTAACTCAGTTGTACGAATTTTCCTGGGATCTTAATTTGCTTACAGTTATAATATGGCATAGTTACAATATTAATTTTTAAATAATCTATGTCAAAATCGTAGGTTATTAAAAATATCAGTGTAATATTAAAAAAATTAACATGATTAATTTGTAAATATACCATATAATATTATGTACCTCTGCCTTTATAACTCGACTATCGTTGTATAATGAATAGGCTGTCGTGTATGCATGGGTGCCTAGTAACATTTCAGGCAGGAGCAGGGAAAAATAAAACAATTTCCCATAATATATGCTAAATGAAGGTTTTAATTTCAATTCATTAAAATTATTAATTCATGTTATGTTTTCAGGATGGGGCAAGTGCCCTGTCTTGGCTCCCCTCCATAGGCGTCCATGCGTGTACGTCAATTACGAGGTTCCTAACTGATTTGCTATGAGTTAATGAACTACCGTGTACAATTTATATTTTAATTAATAAAATAATTACAGCAATAAATTCAAATTATGAATTTCATTTTTATTCTTAAGGAATTTTCAATATTAAATTATTATTTTATTTTTATTCAGCAAGTACCTATACGTTATACCTATCATTTAGGTATGAAAAATGATCGTGTCTTATCATCATGTTATGCCAGTATAATTACATTATGTTTATTATAATATAGTAATTGAGTATAACAAAATTATATTATCATGTATCATAGACTACACTACTATAGTTTGACGCAGGTAGACAGTGAATTTTAAAATATCAAATATGTTATGTTGTCGTATAAGCTTTTAAGCTGATAGAAATAGTACCAATTCTTCAACGATTTAACGTAGTTTATTTGCTACAGCCCCTCCCATTAAAAATTCCTGGGCACGCCACTGAGTGGAATCTACAATTTAACTATTTTGTATTAATTTTTTTATTTTTACAAATCATCCTACAAAATGTGTAATTTATTCACAATATCATAAACCAAATCATAATAAATTGTTATACTGAATAATATAAACGACATAAACAACAGTTTATTTAATCAAACATTTTTTTATAGAAACCTATTTATTTTAATATGCACGATATAAGAACTTCTTATCGTTTATAAAATATATACTGTGCATATATTATTATAATTTAATATTGTAATAATTATACTTAGAAGTAGAATAATATCTGCGTATTATTATTTTTATGCGATCTAATAAATTTATATACATGTAAATTTGATTAGCTATATTTGTTTTTAATTTCAAACGTATATACTAGTACATACTAGTGCATATAATGATTTCAATTGAAAAATTAAATTGGTTTTTGTATACCAGAGGGTTTATTCTACTAATTTTTGTTAAAAAGTACCCGCATACTTGGCATATTGTCGAAAAAAAAAACTTTGACTTTGGAGTTAGACTTTATTCAGCTATTTTCTATAGAAGCATACTATTGCAATTTTTTTAAATTTTTGTAATACCACTAGTGATACTAACTGAGATTAACCATCTTTAGAGGTTATGTAAATATCAAAGTAGTAAGTAACTAATAATTACCTACTTCAATATCCGTTTAAATATCAATATGTAACTTTAATATAATAAATAAGTAACTGTTTTCAACAGAAATACCATTATATTTACGTAGCCTATGTATGTCAGTCAGATGAAGTGTTAATTCGTGCAAAATTCATTTAAACATATATTTGGATGTACGAAATTCTATGTCTGTTAGCTTATATGTAGTCCATTGACGAATAAAGATTCGTTCTATCTTAACCGTCTATTAAATTATCGTTAAATGTCGTCCCATTCTTCATCAATAATAAAAAAATTATTAATCCTCAACACATTCATGTTTAACTATTTTATAAAAATCGAAAAACATTGAATTTTACTATAAGATTCGTTGCATTATCAGCCAAAACAGTTCCTAGCTATCATAGATTAAAAAAATAATTATCAATAATAATAACTTGGAAAGATAATCAAATAAAAAATATACAAAAAAGATTTATACTTATGTGAAATGAATTTAAAACTTACTTAGCAACCAAGCCAAATCAATAAAAAAAAAAAAAGTTGCTAATACAATTTCCGAGCTCTAGTTATTAGTTATCAATTTGTATGTTAATTATTACCAAGGAGTGTTATAAAATTACATATAACCTCATTGAAAAAGTCAACTATGTTGAAGACCCTATGTTAGTTCCAGTAAAATATTTCACTAATACTATGTATTATAATAATATGTCTAATGTTTATGGTCTCAACGAAGACTGCCGTATTATTCCAATATTGTACAACGCGCTCTAGGAACTGTTTTTATAACAAAAATAGTCGATGTTCGTTCCGCTCGAGATAGCGTAGGTAGTCGGTTTGTAGTTAATTATTAATATTATATTATTTATCATTATTGGTTCCCCAGATACTTGTTTTATCTTTTTGTTCCAAGGATTTCTCGAGATTATTATAGTACAGGGCATAGTATCCTTGTGGAACTAATGTACGTAAACTCTTTATAGTATCCTAAGATATTATTGTATTATTTGAGTAAGGTGTATGTACAACCATTTGGCTTATATAGGTTAGGTTAGCCTCGTTCATACTTAAATAATACCTAGGTAAGTATTATTTTTTTTTATTTTCATTTGTTATTGTAAAGTTATGAATGAAGTCATCTTGTTTAGATTATCGAAATTAATTACCAACTAAATAAGTACCCCAAGTAAAATGATTTCCACACTAGTGGGACTTTCTCTTCAAGTTATTTCATGTTGTTGTTATTCAGTTCAGTTACTAAATTTACTTATTGCACACTTGTTGTAATTACAGATTGTAAATATACTTTTGTTTGAATAAAAAAAAAAAAACTAAATAAGAACATACCTACCTATCTGGTCAAATTGAACATTAAAAATAATAAACATTATAATATAATGTTTGGATACAAATGTACCTAAATATGTGTAAGGACATTTATTATATTTATAATAATAACAATAAATTTATAATATATTTATAATACTACATACCCATTAGGTGTACCTGCCTATGTTAAAACACAGACATAACTCTAAGACCATTGTAGGTACCTATTCAATATTTGTTACAGGTATTGATTATTTATAAGAAAATTAACTGTTCTATATTCTGACATTAATATATTACATATTATTTAAATATAATAATAGATAGGTTATAGGTAGTATCAGGTAGGTATTTGGTAATCATAATTATGAATCACAGTTTACAAGTACCTACATACGTAATCTTAAATACAAAAAAAGTCGAATTAATTATTTACATTTGTTTTTAGATATGATATAAACTAGACAAACAATTATGGACATTATTAAAATATTTGGTGTGTTATACAATTTTAGTAATCATATTAAATTGATATTATATTGGTACATCATTTTAAATGTATTTGTATAAAAAAATGTTGATAATTAGGTAATTGAAAAATTTATTTCACCATTTCAGACCTGAAATTAATCTAACTCAAAAATATTTTTTTCGTTTATCAATATTTAATAATGTGTTGCTTCATAAGACAAAATATAATTTTTTTTTTTACAAAGTCATTAGTATGTTCCCAGTACAGGACTTTAGGCGTTTACCGAGTCAAAATAACATTATTAGTATTAATTGACGATTCGTACATGTTGATTATTCTGTTATCATGGAGGTAAAAAATTCAGATTTTAAAACCATATTTTCAACTTAATTTAATTTTACAATTCAATACATTTATTGTCAGAACTAATTAAAATTCTTATGTCAACATTTTTTAAGTGTTTTAAAGTAAAACTTAAAAGTAATAACTGAAGAGTTACGTCGTTTATTATTTTATGATTTTTGTAAACTACATACTCTGTGAATAATATGACATGCACTTTTAATAACATAAACCAATTTTAAATTTTCAATATCACTTAAAAGAATTTCCTTCTAAAGGGACATCAGGTCTGTTAGGGTTAAATTAAATTAACATAAAGGTACCTAATAAAATACTAACATTTCTTATCTTCAACCAGGTAGGCGGGAGAAGTGTTAACAGTAAAAATACCTTATAAATATAATTATAGTGCATATTATTATTGTATCAGTTAGCGATTACTTAATTATATTTAATTGTTATAGCTATTATATTTTGTTATATTTTAATTGCTATATAATTTAATGTCTATTCCATTTTATTCTTACAGCACCAAATTAGTGAATAAGTGTTAAATACTATTTTGTTTTTAAAAACTGCATGCGTAGTATAGTATATTTTTATTTATGCCATTTGTTAGAAATGCACATACGTTTTACAATGTTAATTTCAATATTTTAAACTTCAGTTCTGATTCCACTTGAAGAGTAGGTAATATATTAGATATGTAAGTACAAAGTAATATACTAATAAATACTATTTTATAGATGTACAAATAGTAATAATTCACCAACAAATTTATGTCATAAATAGAAAGGTATGTATTATTAATTATTTACTTTTTATTGAAAATAAAATGAAATCGTTTTTTTGTTTTCGTTGATAAATTAATTACAGTTTTATTGACAACTGTTGCTAGATCGATCTAGTGTTTATCAATCTAAAATATAAATTCGATTAGTAATAGAGAATTTGTTGGAGAAATTAATTAATTAAATTAAATTTAAATTTAAGTTTAATTATTAAACAATATTATTTGATTTTTATTATAATTTAAATTTAAATATTTAGGTAACTAACAATAAACATGTTTATTATTGTTATACGACGACTTTATGAGTATGTGTATTTATGTCATATACTACTTATTGTAGAATAATTTTTCTGAATATAATTTAGAATAGTATGAATATAGTATATATACCCTGTTAGATTATTTAAACTTACACTGTATTTGCAGTATTTAAATTATTGATGACTTTTAAATTAAGTAGAAAAATACTCGGGCACTTAACTAATAATTATCAATCAGTAAGATGATTTCATAAATTAATTATAATTAAGATAAACTAGTTTATGTTCGTACTGGTATATGCATTACCAATAATATTATTTTCCCTGTAATATGTGTACCTACTTAAATGTCGCAAACGTTAATTCTTTTAGGGAGTATTGGACACCGAACGATGAAGACATTTGCAAAACTATTGATAATCATATATTATATTATTGGCTATTACGGGGCATGTAATATTAAAATAGTAGAATGTGAACAAATTTTAGCTATTTCACCGAGAGCGGGTAAGAGCCATTGGAATATTCTAAAAGGGATTGTTACTGCACTAACCGAACACGGTCATAATGTCACTGTCTTTACACCGTTCCTCGATGGTAACCGAGAAAATTATACAGAAATTGATATATCTAAAGAAATCATACCGCTAGTGCATCTGGATATTGGTGTTGTGCGAAAATTATTCACCAGATATTCGGACTTGATTGATTCTGCCAATCGTTTTAGCCGAGAAATGTGTAAGAAAATGTACACAAATAATGCCATCAAGAATATTATCGCTAATAATACCTATACACATTTTGACGTCATTATTGTCGAATTAACGGCCTCGGAGTGCTTTTCATATTTATCTGCTAAACTGAACATACCATTAATTTACGTTACCGCGCCGCCTTTAATGACATACGTGGAACGGTCCGTCGTGGGATATTATCCAAATCCGGCAGTCGTATCGCATACATTTTCTGACCACAGCGTCCCTAGAACGTTTACTCAAAGATTTACCAACGCTGCACTGTTTGTTTATACGACATGTTTACTTCAATGCAAATTTTGGTACACGAGTATAGTCGATCGACAGCCATTTGATTTAGTGGAACCTGTAAAACCGTCAATTGTGTTTAGCAACGCTCATTTTATTATGGATACTCCGAGGCCTCAACTGCAAAATGTCATCCCAGTCGGTGGTATACACCTGAAACCACCGGAAAGAATACCAGACGTGAGTACACTTTAGATTCTGAAAGGAGCAAGGAATGTATTGGTTTTACAATGATGTTTATTTTTATTATCATTAATTATTTTCTGCGAACAATTTTTCTACCAGAAACTTTGCTCCGATTTTTAAGTGTAGCACCTCTTTTGAAAAGAAATTTAATTAAAGTCATTTTTGATTTTTTTTCGGCGGTTTTCATAATAAACGAGCAAAACGTAGAAAAAGCGAGACATTTTACGACACGTATTATTTTCAAATCGTAAATATTACTGTACTTTCAAAACATGTACAACCGAACTCCGCTTAAAATCACTTTTCGTTAGTAACAATTAATCTTCCTCTTTACCATCCCAACTTCTAACCTACAACAGTGGCCCACCCATCGTGCGAAGTACGCCCGTTTGTTTGTTCGTGGACGTTCCACGTATCGATGATATAGATATTTACATTGTCAAATTATAATTACTTTCTAGGATGTTTTAGAATTCATCAGCAATTCGACACACGGAGTTATTATTTTCACTCTCGGTTCCGTTTTAAAAACATCGTCGTTACCAGAAAACATTCAAGATATTTTATTTGAAGTAGTTGAACAACTCCCTCAGAGAGTTTTATTAAAATATGAAGATGACATCATGGTAAATAGGAAGAGAATACCAGGCAATTTGATGATAAAAAATTGGTTTCCCCAACGAGATATTCTTAGTAAAACCATCTGAATAATATAAATTCATTGTATTCATATAGTAAAAACGATTTTTTAATGTTTCTATTTATGTAGTGCATCCCAATGTAAAATTATTTATTAGCCACGGAGGAATATCTGGAATGTATGAGGCGGTAGATGCCGGTGTTCCAGTACTTGGATTTCCACTGTTCTATGATCAATCGAGAAATTTAGAACATTTAGTTGATGCAGGGATGGCGGTTTTATTAAACTTGGAATCTGTAACTAAAGATACGTTATTGAAAACGATTTTAGAACTGATTAACAACGAAAAGTGAGTGTTTGTTAAATGTAATCCGCTTATAACAGTTAGCATTTACCAATATTAATTATGTTATTAATTTATTCACAACTCTGCATAAATTTAAATTATGCTTTAACAGTAGTTTTAAATAGTATTATGTTTGTTGTGTTTCATAGGTACATGAAAAATGCCAAAATTACTTCTGAACTATTTAGGGATCGACCATTGTCGCCGGCTCAAACAGTTGAATATTGGACAAGGTATGCCATTCGTCATAAAGGTGAACCACATTTAAAATCGAGCGCATTTAACCTGACATGGTATCAATATTTTTTACTGGACGTGTTTATTGTAATATCATTAATCTTTTCATTAATTATATATATCACATATTTGGTATTATATTATGGAGTTTATAAATTGTGTGTTTCAATGTTATCATATATTAAATTAAAATTAAAATCTGAATAATTGTTAGATTTGTTATAAATATTGTTTTGTACTATCTAGTCTACACCATTACCAAGTTTCCATGTCTTAGCTATCGATGGGTATAGTGTTAAACTGTAAGTAATCACGGGGGAATGTGAGATGTTCTATAATAATAAGAGCTTATTTATAAAATTAATACCTAACGATTTTAATTTTTTTTGTTCTGAATTTTAAAATTCCAAAATGAGCTATCCAATCTGCCGTACCTAATTACTTGTGTTTTATTTTCTATTTTATTCCAATAACTTAAGGCTGTCGGAGCTGATCGTTTATTAAAAAGCAAAGTATACGTAATTTTATTCGCGTGTGTCCGCGGTTTACGACTCGGCGTGTGACTGCATGCTAGCGTGTTTAAAAAATAAACAGTCTGATTCCAATTTCAGATTTGCATAGGTCTCGTTGGACATTGATGTTTGAGTCGCAACGATACACGCAATTTTAACGTTATAATATATTATATTAATACTAACAGCACACCCGTGTGAACGCAAATTCGTTCATTCGTATTTGTAAGACGTAGACAGTAAAATGAGATATGGCGTCCTTTTAACGAATTGAATAGGTTCGGTAAATACATCTGCGAATCTACTTAATCTACTGAGTTATTATTGTTATTCGTTAATTTATCCATTTTTGTTGAATTGAATAATACTTGTGTTGACATTGGGAAAGTAAAAAAAATACATATATATATATATACCGGGTGGAAATATTATTACTAGTTATTAGATATTTTCAAACGTAAATTCGAATGATTATTATTACAACGATAGCTAACTCTCGTTTATAAGTAGATTCTACTTAGTAGACCATACTGTAAAAACCGTCGGGGTCACGAATTAATTATTACTGTGAAAAAAAAAAATTTAAAAACATAATCGAGTCACGCGTGTAGGTAGTTTCAATAACCTTGACGTATTTGCATTGCGTATATCATTGAATGTTGTGGTTGTCGGCGTACATCTAACGGGTATATTAGTAAGCATGGTGTGAACAATAACCGTGTGGATGTGATTGAAAAAAAGTTCTCATTTAATAAGATAAGATAGGCGGCGGAGCGCAAGCCAGGTTTAGTTGTAGTCCTGAAGCGGCGCCACGGTTAGCACAACACTAATAATAATGGCGTCGTCCCCAGCGGTAGTCCGCCTGTTCCTCGTCCTGGTCGTCGCGTGTATCGTGCACGGCCCCTGTGTCACAAATGGGCTCCGCGTGCTAGCCATCGAGTACATTGCCGGCAAAAGCCACTGGAACTTCATGAGCTCCGTGCTTCGGGTCTTGACCGACAGCGGACACCACGTTACGGCGTTCACGCCGTTTTTGGACGGCGAACGCGCCAACTACACGGAGGTGGACATTTCCGGCGACATACCTATAAAATTGGCCTTGAACGCCACGGAGGCGATAACACAGTTCGCAGGGACGTCGTCGATGATAGCCACGATTGGCACCATCAGCCGGCAAGCTTGCAAAGCCGTCCACGGCAAGCCACAAATGGTTGAGATTCTGGAACGCGGAGGCACCGCTGGTTTTGACGTTGTCATCGCTGAAATCGCCGGGTCGGAGTGTGTGTCTTACGTAGCGGCCATGCTCGGGGTGCCGCTCATCTACGTAATCCCCTCACCGATGATCACCTACGTAGAACGGACCGTGACCGGGCACGTGTCTAACCCGGCCACCGTGTCTCATATGCTGGCTCACCACGCCGTGCCTGGCACGTTTTTCCAGCGGTTCAGCAATCTGTTGCAGACGGTCTACGTGGGGTTCATAGTACACCGGGATGAAATGTTGGCGGCAATCTTCGATCCTCAACCGCACGACTTGGTGAAGCCTCTGAAGTGTTCGCTCGTATTTATCAACTCCTATTACCTTACGGACTTGTCAAGACCCATGTCGTCAAATGTCATACAAGTGGGCGGTTTACATCTGAAATCACCCAAAAGCATACCCCAAGTAAGTGTGGTGAGTCGGGCTAGAATTGCAATGCACTTTGTATTTTTTTCAAATGTTTGCTGTACATTGCTCTCGTAATGAGAATAAGACATTTTACTTTGAATTTTCTTACACTTTTTTTTCATATCATTTTAGGGATTATGAGATACATTCGGGGTTTTAGAATTTCAAAGTTTAGATCCTGAAAAAGTGTCTCCTGCTACACGAACACTGTGTATTAATTATATTATTCAATATTTCCACTTACAGCCGTGTTAAGCGATTTGGATTTAAATGAATCAATTTTTAAACGCATCCTCTTAAAGTATTACATGGGCATGATTTAGGGGGTTAATTCCCCCAAATTTGATGTTTTTTTTTAAATAATTTTATTAAATTCATATTACAATTTCTACATTTTACCTCCACTAAATAATAAATTCTTCTTTATTCCTGATTTTTTTTCACAAATTACGTTACGAAGTTCTACTTACACTGTTCTTATTATATTTATTGTTACTTTAAGCAATGCGTTTAAAAATAAAACGAATAACAAGTGACTTAAAATTAGTGATATAGTTAATTATATTTCGAGTTTTATATTGAGCTGGGTGTTCTATAGTTTTAAAAAGGTATGGCACCCTTGGACAAATAATCACATTGATATCCCTCCTCGCTTCTTTAACATGACCATGTATCCAATACTCTACAACGTAAATTATAAAAATGTATTTTATTTAAATACACCACTAACATGATTTTGACTCAGAATATTTTAGACTTTATCGAGGATTCACCAAATGGGGTGATTTATTTCACATTCGGTTCGGTCATATTGATGTCGACACTACCCGACCATATTCAAAATGCATTCATAGAAGTTCTAGCACAAGTCCCACAAAGAGTGTTGTGGAAATATGAAGGTGAAATGAAAAATTTACCAAAAAATGTGATGATAAGTAAATGGTTTCCTCAACGTGATATACTTTGTAAGTCAATTAAAAACTTTAAATAATTTATATGGATAAGCTGATATTATGTCTAAATAACATGTAATAATTTATTTTGTAGTGCATCCAAAAATTAAATTATTTATCAGTCATGGAGGTATCTCTGGTATGCATGAAGCCGCAGATGCCGGTGTACCAGTTCTTGGGTTTCCTCTATTTTACGATCAACATAGAAATGTAGAGAATTTAGTTTATGCAGGAATGGCGATTTCTATGGATTTATTTAGCGTTCAAAAAGACACACTTTTAAAAAATATTTTAGAACTCGTCAATAACGAAAAGTAAGTTAATTTTGAGAAAATAGTAATTTTAAAAAAATCAATTATTACTTATACAAGGATGACACATAATAGGTACACATTTTTATTATTTTGGAATTGGACATTTGATTTTTAAAATCGTTTTATTCTGATAAGGTTTAAAGAAAAATGATACAATTTAAAAATTATTCAATTTCTGTTGTTTTATAAAAAACTCCTTTTTGAATCACGTTCTTTTAATATTACACATATAAATTCATTGGTCCCAGGTAGAAAAGGCTTAAGTCAATTTTTCACTCAAATTTTTTTTTTTCGTAGATTTAAAGCTTGATTTTTGCTGATTTTTTTGGTTCAATTGGCATAAGTCAGTGACAAATATTATTTATATTTTTAATGAAATAAATAGGACGAACGTGGAGTTTTTCCATTTTATGTTTGGTAGAAAGGGGCTTAACATGACTTGTACCTTTTTATAATTTTATTTTACAACTATAAAAGACTTAATATGACTTATGCCTTTTGTATCACTTTATTGGGCAGGTATAAAAGGCTTAATATGACTGAATAATTGTGTAGAGTGATTATAATATCTATAAACATAGCATAAGTCAAGAATTAAACTGTATTTCATTATTAGTGAAATCAAAAGTATTCATAATAAATAATAATAATGATATAACTATCACAAACTGTCTAAAAATAGTATAGGTATTTTCATATTATAGTTTATTATGTTTCAGATAACTTAATATTATTATGTTTGGAAAATGTTCAAAGAATTGAGAAATGAATTTAGAACTTCGTTAAAATTGTCAAAGGATCTTTAGTTTTAAGAAAAGTTAACGAAGAATGGTATAAGTTTCTTTGGCTGATGTTTCATTGGTCAGATATTCTACTTCTATGTACTTCTAAAATCAAAATGGCGTAACTACAATTAATTCCATAAATAATTATAAATTCAAGAATTTTAAGTCATAAATGTACTTATAATTCGATTAATATACATAAATGATTTCTGTAACATTCGTGATTGTAATACTAAAACACGTAGGCATTTTTAAACTTTCAACCGGCTGCCTTAAAAAGTTGATTAAATTGACATTGACTACCCGGGCCCTAAAAATTAATATTTGACGTACCTGGATATCCAGTTGAATCACCAATCGAAATAATTAAAATTGATTTTGAAAAAAATTGAGTTAAGTTAAACTTAATCGGTCTATCGGTATTTTTTTTACCTCTTTGTTCAGTAGAACTATTGAGAAAATCGTTAAACAGATAATATTTGGAATGTGTTTACCGTTCCAAAGTAACCAAAGGGTAATGTTATAGGCACCGAAAAAAAGCACATAGCATAGTAAAACTAGCCAAAAATCTAAATTATATTTTTTTTTTTATTAATAAGTATATACAAATTGCTCACAATCTGTACTATTTGTTTATATAGATACATGAATAATGCCAAAATCGCTTCTGAAAGATTTAAAGACCGGCCGATGTCATCAAAACAAACGGTTATTTATTGGACGGAGTATGTTGTCCGCCATAAAGGAGCGCCGCATTTAAAATCGCATGCCTTTAATCTAACGTGGTATCAATATTTTTTGTTAGACGTAATAGTTACGATGTTAATTTTAATTGCCGTAACCTTGTTTGTCGTTTATAAATTCTGTACATTTATCGGTCATTTATTAGTTTCTAAAAATGTACAAAAATTTAAATCGAAATCAGAATAATTCGAACTGTGATGGTACGAATATTCGGTGGTTTATTTTTCAATTAAAAAACTTACATTATTTTGTTTTGTTTTATGTTTAAAACGTCACGATGCCACTGTCAAAGTGATTTATTTTAATTTATCAATTTGTAATTTTTGATTGTTAACTTGGCGATCCTTATATATTGGTTGTACTTGTAGGTGTTTACCTACAATTTTTATTTTAATTACGAGTCACAATTAATTAGTGTATTTAGCGCCATTTTTATTATTTATTGGAATATTGGATATTTGTTTTATTCATATTACAGGTATTTTATTGTACTACTTAATAAGCACTTTAACTTTCTGTTTTTGGCAATAATATTGTAAATTAATTATATTTTATTTATCGTATTTCAAAACGGTAAATTTATTTATTTATTACTTAATCGTACTTTAGTTATTTATTTACTATACATATCAGGTTAAAGTCTTATGGATATACATGTTTGGTATATCATGGACGGGCCACTTTTGTGTGTGGGAATTTAACGAGCTCATAAAAATATCTTGTATTTCGCACTATGTGTATAGGCTATTGTTGTAAATTGTAAATCGGGAACGACATATTGTGCATATTGGATTCTTATTAGTCTATCTAATTGCATATTATTTTTTATTGTGCGGTATTGTGTGCGGTTAAAGCGTATTAATATTTAAAATTGCCTAGATTTACAAAACTGCAGACGTTTGTCATAAACGTTCTGTGCAGGCGGTGGAAACGTGAGCCGGTATAATAATAATCATAATAATGATAATAGGTTAGGTTACGTCGTTGGTGTCTTTGGGTGCCTAACAGGGGTCATATACGAGACATATTACGTTTATTCATCGCCCACCGAAATTTATGATACATTATGCTTTCTGTCCAGCCGCTGTACCGAAGGGGTTAAAACCGTGTACCGTATATTATTATCGTTCTACTACCGGGTTGCGTGAAATTATTTTTCTAAGCTAATGGTTCGATAATTGACTATCGGTTCATTAAAATTACAGATATATTGAACCGATTGCGTTCCGCGAACGCAATTCATTATTTTAACAAGACAATGTCCTTTCCGTGTACAGTGTATACCTATTACTACTATTATCATAATTAATAATTGTACGCGTATTGTACGGCAACTCGAAAGCGCCAAATCATTAACCGCGTTTGAAGTTATAATAACCAGTAATATAATCATATGCTGTTTTGAATTGTAAAATTCAAACCATCGTAAGTCTTCAAGATAATTCGATCTGCAATATTTAAACCATTTTACTTCGGCCCTGGTGATTAATCGACATTCAATATATTAACATACTTCCATTTGGTGAACCCGAGAGCGGCGAAACCGACAGTTTATTAATATTTTATAGTTTTTTAATATCACCGCACAGAATAACGTTTGAAATACAAGAAAATTAAATTGATTTTTACGCGACAACAAAATTATAATTAAATGATTAAGACACTGTCCACAGAATATCCCGTGGTTAAACAGGTCTGCAAGTTGCCCGGGGCTGTTCATCAGCGTATCGATCCAATAACTCTATGTTTGAGATAACGTTTATTAGTTTTTCAGAACCACATTTAATTGTACAGAACCGATAGCGCATTGTATTCTTAGAAGACCACGGTCGGAATACCTGGCTCGGATAATTTTTTAGTTGATAATTGAATCGTATGGGTGCCTGTAATTGTGTTGTTCAGTTATTATCGAAAACTCGTAATACTATACTCGTGAAACTACATTATTACGGTTGCTCGGCGCATAACAAATATTACTTATGATAATTTATGTAAATTATTGAGTAATGTTTATTATTAATATTAAAATACGTACAATAATACAAATTACCGCGACGGCCGTACCGGTTATCTATAGGTGCATAGGTGAAACCAGCCAGTTGTATTGCAGGGTCAGGTTAAAAATATTTTTTAAAATCGCCGTTCACGAAAATAGGGTTTTTTTACTAGCAACTCCGCTAGTGTACGAACGTAATTGTACCTATTACGTTTGCTGTAGAAAGTCCAGACGTCGCATTATTTTTTTTATAAAAAGAAACCTTTTCGTTCATTTTTCAATACTTGTTCGTATATTATGTTCAAAGGCCGAACACCCGTCGACATAAGTGGAAAAAAACACAGTTTCGTATGATATCACGGTTATGTGAAAAATAATCGACGTCACGTGCAGTAGATTGCGTTCCAAATGAGTCGATCATCTTATCGACGTGTGTTCAATACTCTGATATCTATTGATCGAATCTTCGACCGAATCACCGACGGCAAGTGGTACCGACACTCGCGTTTCTGACGATGTCCGGTTAGTTCGGCGCACACGATGTTCGTAAACATCACGGGCGTAAATCGAAAATTATAATGCGCGTCGAAAGTTGCGATGTACGTTTTTGGACGGCGGCGGCGTTCACGTTGGCCGTCGCGCACGTTCCGCCGGTGGAAAACGCGAGGATATTGGCCGTGGAGACGTTCCCGGGCAAGAGCCACTGGAACTTCGTGAGCGCCGTCCTCCGAGCGCTGACGGACGGCGGGCACCACGTCACCGTGTTCACGCCGTTTCCGGAGGGCGACCGGGCCAACTACACGGAAGTGGACACGTCCGACCGTTTCGCGAAAGTCATCGCCATGGACCTGACGGCGCTGAAGCGGTTGTTCAGCAACCCGCTGACGATCGTTGCGCAAACGATGAAGATGTTTCGGGCGGACTGCGACAGCATTTACGGCGACCGCCGGCTGACCGATCTGCTGGCCGACGACCCGGCCGCGCGTTTCGACGCGATACTCATCGAACCCGGTCCGCCGGCCTGTCTGACGTACGCCGCGGTCGGCACCGGGTTGCCGGTCGTGCACGCGGTGCCCAATCCGAAGAAGTACTACGCGGACCGCTGGACGGACGGCGAAGTGTCGAACCCCGCGGCAGTCACCACGATGATGGCCCGACAGGCCGTTCCCAAAACTTTCGTGCAGCGGTTCACCAACACGCTGCTGTCGCTGTACATCGAACTGGCCGGAGTCGTGTTCGACTCCGCGATGTTCGCCGTCGGCACGGCGCCGCACCACGCGCACGCGCCCGTCCCGCCGTCCGTGGTGTTTAACAACGGCCATTACATTAGCGACGCGCCGAGGCCCGTTTCGCCGAACACTGTAAACGTGGGCGGCATTCATTTGAAACCGGTCGGAAGTCTACCGAAAGTATTATTACAATTGTTCTGTTTTTTTTTTTTCCGGCTCGACGGCCAAACCGTTTTGCACGTTACGAACAGTCGCCATAGTTGTCACAATTACCGACGACTACTGTACACCATTGGAACAGCGGTGTTATTTTGGGGGGCCCGGTGCCGGTTTTCCGAACTGTCTACAGTTTCGTAAAATTTTCAACATCTCAACGACCGCCTTGAATTCAAGTCACTCTTACATTGATCTACTGCCCGACGACCGTTCGACGAGGAAGGGACAACGGCATTTTTACGGGCGAAAAAATAACTCCGGGAATAGCATAAAACGCATTGTCGATTTGATATTTTAACACAATCGACATTATTCAACATAATATTTACATGTATTCTTTTTGAACCCGACGAACAACAACATTTTACAAACCCCATTCAACTCCGATGGTCAAAAACGCGTTAAACGTAGACTTATTGAAAAATCCGAATTTACGATTAAATAGACTGTACACCTCGGACGCATGCATTTAAAACCGTCGTTCTTTATTTTTCGTCTTCTTCGCCTTCATCTCAACAATCGGGAACAACGTCGGTCAGCGACCTTCGTCTTAAACTTCCGCTTGACCGGATCTCTCACCTCCCATACACCGGCTGTCCTCGTAAACCTTCTCAATCGTATTTTTATTTTGATTGAAATTCTCACGGCCATAACTGCCGTTCATCATAAATCCATAATATAATAATAATAAAAAAATAATTCTGCATGACTTTATATCGTTCATTCGACATATTTTCTGGGTTACAGGATATATTAGAATTCATAGAGGACTCTCCGCACGGAGTCATTTTGTTCACGTTCGGTTCCACTGTTTTAATGTCTTCATTGCCGAACCATATGAAAACTGTTATTATTGAAGCACTCGCCCAGTTACCGCAGAGGGTTTTGTTAAAATACGAAGACGAAATGGAAAACAAACCGGACAACGTAATGATCAGAAAGTGGTTGCCTCAACGTGATATACTCGGTAAGGCGTGCAATCGTATTATGAACCGGACAGAGCAAAACTAAAAATAGCGTAGAATATTCTGTGCGCAGTAAATGGATTATTAATATAAAAATATACCATAGCTTCGTTTATTTTATTTTATGATACCGTTTTTTTTTTTTTTGATTATTGCGACCCCGTCCAGTGCGTATCGTGATTTTTGTGCACCTATGCCTATTATTATTTAAAGTAAATAATTATGTAAATAAAAAAAATGTAAAAATAAAAATAGAATAAATTAATTAATCAACGCGTCGCCTGGAGTATTATGATAAGTGCATTAAAAGGAATACAATTTTAAATAATCTCTCCTGTTAAAATAAATTATTTCTATATTTTATGTAAAACAACCAATTTGTATAATTTTTTTTTTTTCTACGTAATCCTTTAAATTTTTCATATTCAGTCGCGTTTTACGTTTTGATTGTGATGTATCCGATGATGAATTTCGGAAATTCGAAACCGGTCGTATGATACACATATCATAATACTCCAGGTGACGCATTGAATAATTAATTAATTTTTTTTTTTTTTTATGTATACATTTTTTATTTGTATATTTATTTATTTTATTTACTTACGAGTATTAATCATTTAAATAATTGTGTTTTTACTTATTATTTTATTGCCTATTATTTGATACAAAACCAACATTTTGCCATCTTATTTTTGTTTATTAAAAGCGCACCCAAAAGTCAAACTGTTCGTAAGCCACGGGGGAATATCCGGAGTGTACGAAGCAGTGGATGCCGGCGTTCCCGTCCTGGGATTTCCGTTGTTCGCCGATCAGCACAGGAATATCGACAACTTAGTCGAAGCGGGCATGGCCATTTCCATGGAATTGTTTTCCGTGACTACGGGCACGTTATTTAAAAATCTTGTGGAACTCGTAAACAACGAAAAGTAACGCGGCACTGATAACGTTTTATAATAAATCGTGATTGCAAGTTTATACGCTTTGGTAGGTACGCGAAAAACGCCAAGATCGCTTCGGACATATTCAAAGACCGTCCGATGTCACCTCAACAATCGGTAGTTTACTGGGTGGAGTACGTAATTCGCCATAAAGGAGCACCGCATTTAAAATCGCAGGCTTTCAATTTGACGTGGTACGAATACTTTTTGTTGGACGTGATCGCCGCCGTGTCAATTTCGATTGCGACCGTTTCTTACGCGATTTTTAGGTTGTTCAAAATTGTCTTTCAGTATTCGTTTAAACGTCCACGTACCGCGAAAATCAAACCCGAGTAATATAAAATATTACAGGTACCTAACCTGTAACTATTTCGCTTCCGTTATAATATTACACATTGTATAGCTTCCGTTTGTAAATTTGCAGGTATCTGTTTTCATTGCGATCATGATGTAACAATATTATACGAACGTATCCATTGTATTGCACCTATAGTCCATCTTATTTCCATAGTTAAGAGTAATGACTAAATGTATAAAATGAAAAAAACAAATTCGAAGTTTCGATATTATTCGTATGAACCTTAGTTAGATTAAGTTAGGTTACGTTATTTAAAACTTTGTTCAGTATCTACTGGAACTTTAAAAGGAAAAAAAAAATTAATTATTTTCTCTTTGTTAAATAATGATTATTTAGTAATAGCTGGAAATCATAAAATAAACAATTATAAATTATTTAACGTACAAATTATGGCATTTAAAAACGATCTAAAATTAAGTACACAAAATCGGAAAAACACCACGACTAAAACCGTTTGTTTTTACTAATTGATTTAGTGTAAGCATATGAAAATTCACGGCAACATTTTATGCAATGCAAACTAATAATAATTAACGATAAGAATAACTAATACTTATAAAATTTTAGATTCTGAATGGAACGAGGAATGTTGGTTTTACAATCATGTTTATTTTTTTTTTTATTTTGTCTATGAATAATTTTTGTACCAGAAATCTAGCTCCAATTTACAAGTGTAACACATTTTTTCAAAAGAAAATCTGACTGGGATGGTACTTTAAGGAGGTCAATTTTTGATCTTCTCAGAAATGTTACCAGTTAAAGGAAAAACATATGGAAAAAACTAAAAAAAAAAAAAAAATAAAAACCGGAGAACAGGTACAATATCAAACAAATATTACTAAAGAAAATTAATAATGCGTTTATAATTGTTTTACCATAATTTAACAAATATATTTTGGAAAAAGTAACACTATCAACTGAACTCCGCTCAGAATCGTTTTTTCGTTATCAATGGTTAATCGTCGCTTACAGATGTGCATTAAATTACCTATAACAATAGCTGCATCCATCCCATCGTCCTAGGATATCTCTTTTAAGTTTAAATCTTATCGTAACTTTCGTAAACGTCAATTCCCAGCGGCCACAATCATATTTAATATAAACGCATTGCAAACACTACAACGAAGTTATTATTACGTCATTACGGTGTTATTAACTATTATTATTGGTTATATAAATTATTTGTTCCTAGTTAATTATATCTAGACGCAAACAAAACGAAAATATACCCGTAACAGTTTTAATTAATGAGATTGGTTATTAATGTTACGAGTTATTAATTATTTTTGTAATTGGTTAATATGGGTTGTGAAAAACAGCTGGTCGTCTTATCGATAAGAGTTAACACGGCGATTGATACAATCGACCGAAACGAACTGCAGTTGTAATTCACATCGGTCATGTCCGTTTGGCGAGTATGTGTTCGACCGGCCGATCGTAAAAAAAAAAAACAGGCACGCACGTACGAAAAATGATGCTCGTAGAAAATGTCGAAAAACGGTTCTGGGCAGTGACGGCGGTATTTGCGTTGGCCGTCACGTTCGTTTTGCCCGGGGGAAAACGCAAGAATATTGGCAATCGAGACGGTGTCGGGTAAGAGTCATCGGAACTTCACGAGCGCCGTGCTCCGGGCGCTGACGGACGGCGGGCACGGCGTCACCGTGTTCACGCCGTTTCCCGAGGGCGATCGGGACAACTACACCGAAGTGGATACACGTCCGACCGTTTCACGGCGGTCGTCAACACGGGCCTGACGGATTCGTTACGGTCGTTTGGCGGGCGATCTGTCCGTATTGGTACCCACCGTGATCGAGCTGAACAGACAATCGTGTGATCTACTGCACAGTGACCGTCGTCTCAACGATTGTTTAGGCGCGGGGCTGAACAGCCGTTTCGACGCGATCACCATCGAACCGGGCATGGATGGCTGCCAAACGTTCGCGGACCTGCCGCTGATATACTCGTTACCGTGGGCGTACTCGTTCGGCTCGCGGAGTACACCGGACGGCGATCGTCAGAACCCAGCGGCCGTTTCCGCTGTGTTCGCCCATTACGGCGTACCCGAAACGTTCGCCCAGCGGTTCTTCAACACGTTGACGGCGCCGCGGACGGGCGTTTCGATTGCCCCGCACAAAACCACGACGAAAATCGGCGACCCGAAACCGTACGAGTCGCACGCGCCCGTCCCGCCGTCACTAGGGATTGCCAACGGCCATTACATAATTGACGCGTCAAGGCCGATTTCACCGAACACCGTCAACGTGGGCGGGATTCATTTAAAACATCCCGGACGCATACCAAACGTACCTATTGCTAATTTCGAAAAAATCTGTTGAGTTCATGTCATTTAATTTATAAACGTTCTGGTTGAAATTTGACGTTTTTCAACGCACACTTCCGAATTCAAATAATTTTAACGACGGCGTTATATTTGTTTACAAAATCATAGTATTGTTACGGGCCGCTCGGACACATCCTTTTGATGGGAAGATGTACGCGTGTGTTGGGTCTACAAACGGGGTTTTTATTTAATTAGAATTTAAACAAACCACGGTTGACAAATTGTATCTATAAGTGAAAACCCTGCGACACCAGACCCGGGTCAAGACTTGGTTGTAATTCTCGGGTATAAGCACACTAAAGAAATGACTGAACGGGTCGGTGACGAGGTGACGGTGCTCCTTCTTACCGTGCGTCGGTGGCGGTGTAGCTGTCTCGAATTTTGACTGAGTTGATGTTCTCCTCTGGTGATGATTCCGGTATCCCTATGCATGGTTGTCGCCTCGATCGGGCCCTAGGTGGAGGCGGACGCTGCCGCCTTTGTCTACTGGTGGCACGTCGTCCGTACCCGGACGCGTTTTCCTTTCGGCCCACGAACACGAATCGTTCGTTGTTTAATGGGAACGTCGTCGGTTTACTACACCCGTATTAATGGCCCTGACGAGCGTACACTTAATGCGACGACCGATTTCATATCTTGTCGCGTGGAATTCTTAATTCATTATTAACAAACGTTACACGTGAAGGACAGAGTCCGTAACAGTATTATCATTACGGTATACTCAAACTGTTTAAATATATCTCGAACAAAAGAAACTTAAAATAATTATTAAAAGAACGCTACATCTCCGCACGTGCTGTCTCTGTCTTACAAACGCACAACATTGGAAATTTACGTTCAGAAGGGACAACTTAGTTTTAATATCGGAGGGAAAAGAGTGAACTTCATTAGGTTGTGAAATATCACAATGTAAAAATAATTATACCTCGTATAAAAATTAAATTATCGAAAAAAAAAAACCAACGTAGATAATATCTACAGATAAAGTAAGACCGAGACGGCACACACTGATCGATTCTTAAGCAGTTTTAAATTCATTACCGAAGGAGTTCATCTGGTTACAGGATATATTAGAATTTATAGAGGACTCACCACACGGCGTCATTTCGTTTACATTCGGTTCAACTGTTTTAATGTCTTCACTGCCGAATCAAACGAAAACTGCTTTTTTAGAAGCACTGGCTCAGTTACCACAGAGGATTTTGTTGAAATACGAAAATGAAATGGATGACAAACCGAAAAATGTAATGATTAGAAAAATGGTTCCCTCAACGAGATATAATCAGTAGGTACCACTGTAGAAAATTAACAACTCATTATCATTAATTATATATAACAGCCGAATTTTGTTTCAAATTATATTTATAAAATAGACGTCTTGGATTTTTTAAAAACAATTTTCACTTTTAGTTATAAAGTATAAAACTAAAATAGAAGAATCTTAACGCAAGGCTTTCTAGTTATTATTACAAGAAAAATAAACTTTACAATTTTGAACAAAACAAAATGTATTGACAGATCTTTGTGTTACAACCTATACATTATATACACGTTTTTAATAGGTATTTATTATAATTTCAAGCCTGGCCCAGGGGCGAGTTTAAGGAGGGCCCCTTACGCCTAGATTTTATTTTAATATCGTCAATAATTAGAATCTGAACATTTTTCATTTTTTTTGTTATCCAATATTATTGCACTAAAAAAAATAAAATATACTTATTATTTCTTTTTTTTATTATTCGTCTGCACGATGCATCCGTCGCCATCGCGTTAATTCATATAATACACAATATGTTTACTTATTCGCGATGCTTACGAAATTGTAAACTGTAGTGATTTATTAAGTATTTTATATTTATAATAATAATAGACAAAATTCTTAAATGCATTTACTTACTATTAGTACACGAAATAAAGTATTTTTTTAATGTAATTAATTTAAAATTGAGTGCAAAATATATTTATCCCTACGTTTCTCCCTAGCAATTTTTCGGAAGACGGCAATTTTCGAATGAATCCTTAAACTAAAAAAAAAAGAGAAAAAAAAGAGTATTAATAAGTGATAATATAAACTATTTCTTGTATATTTCGATTGAATAATAACGATGATTTTAAATTATTTATGGATCTTAATAATATTAATATCCCTTCGAAAGAATATACAATTTGTATAATAAAGTAATATTAAAGGTAATATTATTTCTAATAAGGACATATTATTAGTTAAGCAACACAAATTATTTAAAGTACACATTTAGAATGATTGATAATTGCAGTTGAAGTATTTGGATGAAGCTCAGTAGTTTGTGAATTAACATTTTTTTGTTAATTCGAAATGAAAATCCACAAAAGCAGTCGATGAAATATCACAAATTAAAATTATTGTAGGTCATTAATTTGTAAAAATAAAATTCAAAAAGGTCATTATATTTTTATTTTCTAATACCCCGATGGAAGCGGGGAAGTTACTAATACTGGGTTTGCCACCTCTAAACAAATGATCTAGCTACGGTGATACATTTTTTAGCTTGAATAAGATCTTTAAAATTATGAATATTTTTGAATTTTTGAGATCATGGTGAAGATTGAATTATTTTACTACACAAATAGAAATAAGATAACAGGTAAAACCAGAATAAATATTTTTTATTAATAGATTTAATAACAACGATTTAAAGATTTCTTGTTTGAATTGATTCATTTATTATTTTGATTATGCAAATTCGTGTGTTAGACCCAAATTACGATTTTGGAAATAATAAGCCAAATTGACCACAGTAACTTTATTTACCGACTATAATATACAACTAGTTTATTAACTATCTGTTTCATACATAATTACAATATACGGTTAAGGCCAGATTCAGATATTTTGCGCCACGGGGTATGAATTCAAAACCTTTTTGTTTACTCCATCAAGTGCATCAGAAAGTTCTGTGTTAAAAATATATAAGATAAACAAAATTCTAAAATCATGAAAGACGTGGTATTGAGGTAATAATTAGAACGTTGTACGTATATGTAAAAACGCAACATCGCAAAAAACTATTATACCATAAAAACTACTGGTTTTCAAAATGTTATTTTTGCCCCATCGTGTTTACCTCGTTGAAATACATTAGATTAGTAGACAAAAAATTTAAAGATTATTAATTGAAAGCAAATAACATGGCTAAAACATCATTATTTGCCGTGTGCTGCAACAGTGTTGTGCAAATACACTCGTGTGGAGTGACGTCATTACGGTATGGGGGTAAATATGTTAAATTTGAAAATACAACGCTCCGCCCATATATTTCATCATTCTAATTTACTTAATATATCACGAAAAATGATTTTTTTTTTTGAAACTTTTTGTGTAACATATATTCGTAATAATGAATGCAAAAACATAAAATTTCGATAGACATTTAAATTATAGTATACATGCTAATTAAACTTCAGTCATACTAACGTACAGATTGGTTATTAGTGAAGCGATAAGAAGTCTGAAAGCAATGAAACAATAAACCTATAAAATCATTAAATATTAATTATACTATGTGAACAAATAGATAGTTCATTAATGAAAATAAAGTGCAGGTAACTAAATAAAATTTTGAATTTCAACTCGCCCTCCTTCTGATGAGTATAAAAACCACACCTGACCTAGCCTTAAAAAGACATTTGTGGGATTTACGGTGAATACGCGTCTTCAAATATTATTGGGAAAAATGTAGGTATAGAGTTCGTAAAATTCAGCCTTGACCGTTAGAGTTCGGAATCACGTGCATTATAATACTGTTTGAAAGGCCAAATTTTTACGATAATCGTTTTAAAAAAGTGTGTAACGGAACGCCGCTCAGAATCGTTTTTCGTTAAAAGCGGTTTGTCGTTGCTAAAACATATATAAATCAAATAACTGTATAGGTCCTATCAACTCAAATTCCTACTTATAACGGTAGCACACCAGTCCCCAAATAACTTTTTTTCTTTATCAATTATACTGACAAGTCGTTGCTGATATCCGTTTATTCTTAACCGATTGCAGTATTGTCGAGCACGTCTGCACTCGAGCAACAAGTGCAATATTAAATGTTCGCGATATTTTTTATTCGTATCCAGTCGCGTTTCTCGAATCAGTTTGGCGTACGGTTCCTGGACGGCACTGTTTAATTCGTGATCACGTTTCGTACCGATTATCATAACACATCGCGCCGCGTTCCGGAAACAAACGATGAGACTGCCATGTTTCGGATTCGCCTATGGTGCGATCAGTGGTAGTTATATGACCGCGGTGTTTATAGTGTTGGGTTCGTTGTCCGACACGCTATTCGGGCCAGCGCAGCCCGCGAGAATACTGGCAATCGAGACGATAGCGGGCAAGAGCCACTGGAACTTCATGAGCTCCGTGCTCCGGGCGTTGACGGAAAACGGGCACAGCGTAACGGCGTACACGCCGTTCCCGGACGGCGACCGAGACAACTACACGGAAGTGGACACTTCCGACAGTTTCGCTAAGCTGGTCGGCGTAGGCCTGACGGAACTTGTACGAAAATTCGGCAACCCGTTTATAATCATACCCATCGGTGTCCAGATGAACAGGCACACGTGTGAAATGCTGTATGGAGACGGACGGTGGCGGCTCGGCGAAAACCGAAGTTCCGAGTTCGACGCGATAATTGTCGAGCCAAGTCTGTTGGATTGCGTAACGTACGTGGCGAACGTTTTGGACATACCGTTGATATATTGCGTACCGACGCCGGTGCCCACGTTTGTGGACGGCAGGGCTATCGGCGACGTTCTAAACCCGGCGGCCGTTTCCCAGCTCTGGGCTGATCGCGCCGTGCCCAAGACGTTCTTCGACCGGCTGGCCAACACGGTCACGACGTTGTACCTCCGTTACGTGGTCGCGTACAAAGTAGCCGTGCTTAAAGCGTTCGAACCAAGACCGTACGACGCGGATGTGGCGGTACCGCCTTCGCTAGTGTTCGTCAACGGCCACTACGTCAGCGACCCTTCCAGACCGATGTCACAGAACGTCAAAAACGTGGGCGGCATTCATTTGAAACCCGCTCAAAAGTTACCAAAAGTGCGTGAAAGTTTATCAATGTGTACGAATTCATTTTTTTCAGCTTGATATATTATACGATTATTATAGTACGGGTGATTATTACATGACTATTATTCCATATAAAAACGATATCGAGGAAACAAATTACTAAAAATCTTATAAGAAAGTTCTCATTATTATTTAAACGATTGAATACCTTTGTAATGTAAATACGTATTAACATTTCGTACAATAAGTACCACGTAAGTCTAACAATTTTTTATCTACAGAATACCTATTAAATAAAAATTACGTAAAAAACTAGCCAAATAAACATGTTTATAAATAACTCAAATGTTTTGAAAATTTTACCGCGTCTAGAAAAAGCAAATATAAATTTTAAAATTTTAAAAACCGAAAAATTTCTCGTTATTTCGAGGTATTTTTCAGTTCTGTTTAATTATTAAAAAAAAACTATAAGGAAATGAAAAAAATGTCTCCCTTAGTCACTAACTAGATACAAAATTTAATAAAAAAGATCTCATGTTGTTTTTCTATCGGAATAATATTTATGGTAGAAAACATAAGCTGTAATAATTTAAAATCTAAGTATTTTTACTAACCGAGAAAGTTATAGCTTTTTCGATATACTTGAAATCTAAAAGTAAAGTATGTCCCAAACATTTGATAATTATATTATTACACGTTATTATACAAGGTTATATAATAAATTAGATATAGAATATTATAAAATCTATACTGATAGGTATACGTATATTTTTTGTTATGTTTTAAAATTGTTTATAATTTTATCAAGTAATACTATTGATATGAATTTGAACGAGGACGGTACTTCAAAGCTGTCGGCACTTAAAAAAACATTAGATGCCCATTTATGAGCAAAGCCCATTTGCTGATAAACGAAAAGAAAAAATACTGAAAATAATAATTATAATAGTATTACTTAACTAATAATATTTATCTTTATCTAAAAGTTATAGTGTGTAACTGATATAGCAATTAATATTTACAACTGACGACTACTTAGGTATATCTAATATAAGTTGTCAAATGATTTCATATTGCATTTGATATTATACGAATTGAAAAATATCATAGTATTATAATAAATTGGCTTCACTTAGCAACTAAAATTTAATATAAACATTTTCAAGATGACATAATATCAGTAAAAACATAGAATGTCACCTAGTGAAATGTACGTGTATACATATACATATGCATGTAAGCGATAAAACTCGACCTAATAAAAACACCATTACAGTACATTAGAAAATACCTAAATTCAAAATTCCCATTATATGTCAAGCGAATTATTATTCGTTTTTAATGATTTACTATGGATTAATACTACAGACCGAAGATATATGTTATAATTTTTTCGCCTACTAACGCAATTTTTTTTTCGTTTCCAGGACATATTAGAATTCATTGAGGGTTCACCACATGGCGTAATTTTGTTCACATTCGGTTCAACAGTTTTAATGTCATCAATACCGAACCATATAAAAAACGCTTTTTTAGAAGCATTGTCTCACCTCCCACAGAGGGTTTTATTGAAATATGAAGACGAACTGGAAGACAAACCCAACAATGTGATGACGAGAAAATGGTTTCCCCAACGGGATATACTCTGTACATTTTTTTCCATATTAACTAGGTTACGGGATGTTCTCTGGATAACGAACAGTTTAATTTCCAGTGCATCCCAAAGTCAAGTTGTTCGTCAGTCATGGTGGAATATCCGGGGTGTACGAAACTGTGGACGCGGGCGTCCCGGTCTTAGGGTTTCCGTTGTTTATCGATCAGCATAGGAATATAGACAATTTGGTGGAAGCAGGAATGGCGATTTCCATGGATATATTGTCTGTGTCTAAAGACACGTTTTTAAAAAATGTCGTGGAGCTTATAAACGACGGAAAGTAAGCGATTTTTTGTGAATCGATTTGTCAAACGAACATATCTACCTCAAAATAATAACTTGTTTTTTTCAGATACAAAAAAAATGCCAAAATCGCTTCAGACATATTTAAAGATCGTCCAATGTCACCACAGCAGTCGGTAGTCTACTGGACGGAGTACGTAATTCGCCATAAAGGAGCGCCGCATTTTAAATCGCAGGCTCACAATTTGACGTGGTATCAATACTTGTTGTTGGACGTGATTTCTGTTCTGTTAATTTCGATTGCAATTTTTTCGTTTGTAATTTTTGTGGTGTTCAAAATTGTCCACCAGTATTTGTTTAAACGTTCGTACACCATTCAAAACAAATCCGAATAAAATATAATGTTAGGCAACTACCTTAATTTATTTTGCTGACATTGCATGTATGATTGTCAGTTGTCCAGGTTCAGGTCTCCAGGTAATTAACGTGTTGTAATAATTTTAAAAATAGTTGTAAGTTATATTTATATGTAATTATTTACGGTATATTTAAGTAAAATCGAACGACCAATAATGATTATTTAACTGTGACATTCCTTATCAAATTTCAATTTAATAATGACAGTAAGTAATTAAATGTGCGGCACACTGTAAAGTGAAACATAATGGTAAATAATCGACTGTATATAATAATACATAATAAGAATCTTAAGTGTATTTTTATATAGTTATTGTTGACACGAGTGGTACATTTTTTCCAAGTAGGCGACTAGTTAGCGACAATCGTTACATTTACAAATATTGAAATTTGCTGCAGAAGCATCGACTGTAATGAACGGTTTCCCGTCGGGTGAGGCTGGATTAGGTTTTCGATTAGCCGTTTATAGTCATTTTTATTTTATTTTTTTAAATTAAAATTAATAATGTTAAATGATGATTTTGGACGACGTGACGGCATTGTTGGTGTTGAACGCTATGTGCATTTTGGCGGTCGAAAACGCGAAAATCTTGGCAATAGAGACAGTTGTGGCCAGGAGCTTCGAAAACCGTTCGCTCATCGGTTCTCCAACATGTTACTGCCATTATATACCAAAGCACCTTAAGGAAGTACCTTACACGAATCCACGATATTTACTATGGACTAGAAACCATACGTCACGTCTATTCTCGTCCCCAAGTCAATAGTGTACACCGATGGCCATTACACTAGCGACGCGGCAAGACCAATTTCACCAAATAAAACTTAAGCGGTGTATACATTTAAAACCGCCCGAGCGAATACCGAAAATATTTTTGCTATGTCTTTTTTTTAATACCTACATTAAGTATTTTTGCTTCCATTACCATTACCATTAACGTTGTCCATTACTATAACCATTACCTACCCAACAAAATTATTTTTTACTGCGTACCGGTTAAACCATTTTGTATGTTCTTCTTTCACTTCGTTTTTATTTGTTTTTCAAATAATTCCTATACGACCAATTATCGGGGTAATTTCGATGTTAATATTTTCGGAAAACAATTAGAATATTACAAATTATTAACTTAAAAAAAATTATGTTATACATAAATTATCAAAATGGTACCCGTGATAGATCCTCCCAAATTGTAAATACAACACGAATGTAGGTACTCCTATACAGAAATCGACCTATGGAATTTAACAGTACCTAGACAATTAAATAGAATCCCTTGAACATCAATAATTTAACATTTTCGTTTAATATAAAATCAATATATACCTACAGAGAGTGTAAATTAATTTTAGATTAGGAGTGTACCGAAGGATCTATTCGTTTACTAAAATGTGTGTTTTTTGTCTATAAAAAAAAAAAAAAAATTTTTAAAGGAAAATTTGCTCATATATAATATATCAAAGTGTAGTAATAAATATATTTTATTAAAAGACATATGTAGCATGTGTACAGGCGTAGATTGCTATTTTATGTGGAAAGGTAAGTGTAATTTTAGAAGCAATTTCTCAATTGTTTTTAGAAGAACTTTCAGAATCTTTATTGATTTATTTTATTTATTTATTTATTTATAATTCATACGGAAAATGTCTAATTTACAATATACGGGTGGTAATACAGTAGTGATATAATTGTACTTAAAAATTTAATAAACTTCCCTATTAATACGAATTTAAATAAACACTAGTTTAAAGTATCATTATTATATTGTAACGTTTAGGGCATTTAATTTACTTTTTTTTTAATCAACTAAAAAAAACCATATATTGGTCTAATATAATATAATGGGACTCCCGTTCTGGTAGTAATGTCTTTAGGAAATCGTGGAAGAGTTTACAACGGAATACTACTTTACAGAGTATAACCGGAGATCCTAATTGAAGTGCGAATAATGTTTCCAGAGAGATAACAATATTGTCATTATCAATCACTATTAAATATTATTATATCGTATGGTGTAGTTTTATTTTTATTTTTTAATCAACATAGGAAAACGCCGTTAATTTTAACAGTCTCCTGTCCTTGGAAAATTGAAAACGTCCACAAACCTGCATAACCCATATAGTAGCGTACTTAGACCTACCTATGTTCTCGCGAGGGCAGTTGGCAGGAAACGGTTGATGTAAGTCCACGTTATTATGAGTATCGTTTACATTATTAAGGCTCATTGTTCAACGGCATTTCGTTGTACGACATCTGCTGGACGTTCAATCGCCGGTTGGATGTTTTTCTATAATGGTGTGCACGGAAAAATCCACCGCCGTCGGCGACAGTAAAGCTTATCGATAATCGATAAGTTAGCTGCCCCGAAATTTCGATAAACCTACATGGGTGATAATAAATTACTATCTGTAATACTGTTTTCCGTCTAACTACACTATCATGCACACTATACGCGGTTAGTTATTCCACACTACACGAGTGCATTATCATATTATGAAATTGAACATAATAACAATTATCGTATTATCGTAATGCACCGTTAATTTGATCGGATACGAAATACTTCTACCGACTATAATCTACACCGTAATATCACCGTAGAAATCGACAACGTGAATTTTTTTCTTGCATCGCTCGTGTAGATATAAGATTACATTATCACACCGTACCTATAGAGTTCCCATTATCTACAGCACCGTTGACGACATGTGACAGTAAGTGAATCGTGCATGTACACCAATATACACGAGTGCAAACGGGAAACGCTATACATTTTGCGAAACGTCGTAGTATTTAAGGATTAACCTTTCCTTCCCCCACTAGAAATTTATCACGGTAATAAAACGCGAACATTTAATTCAAATCTACGAGTATATCATAATACATTGTTACCGCGGTGAAATAAAACAGGGCGGATATTATCAACTGCCACTGACCTCCCTCGACCCTCCGCCCCGTTCGTTTCTATAATACAGGATGTCCCACGATTCACGAAGATATTATAAGTAGGTGTAGTCGTTTCATCCCTGAAAATAAGAGCAACGCCAAATAATGATAATGCATTATCTCAGAAACTTCTCGGTTTTTAAAATGTCAAAAATTACAAAAATCGTTCACACCCACCGAGATATCACAATTATTCACAATGAGTGTAATATCCTTGTGAGACACCCCGTATATTATGACCAGGAACGAGTGCGTGACGCCAGCGCGGCCAGCGTCGGGCGCACTCACCTACGGCCGTTCGACCGCGGGGAAAATCGATGCGGTTTTGCCGCACGGCGAGTACGATGTATGCAACCCTGGCGGACAGCTGTGCCATGCGGAGCGCTTCGCCTAAATATTGTAAATAATAATAATAATAAAAGCCTGTCGTTGTCGTCGCGTACACGCCGTCATTATTTTGTTATCCGGCAATAACAACAAGGCACAACATAATACGATGCGATAACATTAAACTGCTACTATATTACATTCGTATAGCGAATTTTATTCGAAATTTTATTTTTTATCGCGTAAACACGATAACGAACGACCCTGTTCGCCCGTGGTCCGTCGCCGTCGCTTTTTTTTTTAAATGCTGTTATCTCCGGTCGCTATTCAGTTTCGTTGTTCGACGAACATTCAATAACGCAGTTTCGATATTATTGCACGTAGATTTATGCGATTACCATGACCGAAAATGACGAACGACACAGAGTGAAGTTTCTCCGTAATCACAGGTCAGTAATTACTATTCGGTGTCAAACAATAATTTTTATTTCCATCTTCGAGTTCGATAACAATAGTAGTATGTGTACGAGTCGTGTATTATAATATGATAATCGAGAAATAATTTTAATTATTTTAAATTATTATCAATATTATCTACTTTAAATTCACTAGTATTGAATTTAAAGCAAAATGTATATATGCACGTAAAATAGATACGAATTCATATGTAATAGTTGTAATTGGTAGGTACAAATTATTTTTTACGCCAAATACAATAATAATTATTATACGATTCTACGAATTAAACCGGTATTAGAATTGTATAGTCATTGCGCCGTGTTCGGCGATGTTGTACGTATAATATTAATATTATATGAATATTGATAATACCAAGTTATTTGATAGCAAAGTCGACATCATTGTTGATATCGCGTCCCAGGATAATTTATTTTTTTGAATGTTATGATAAGAGAACTACGAGTAAAAAAAATTGATATTTTTTATTTACAAAAAATAAAAATAAAGTCTGGTATACTTACGTGACCAAAATCTATACGCAATATAATACGCCGAATCGTCGTTCCAAAGATTAAGTGTGATTTTCGAATTATTTTGAAACAGTCATACACCGTGATAATAACTATAGTTATAGAAAAAAAAAAAATAACTGATACAATATTTTTTTTCCCGATCAAATACATTATGCTTATAATAATGTTTATGCGTACACGGTAGATTAATTTGTAATTATGTTTATATTTTGGTATTGGAAACATTTTCACCAAAGGATTTCAACCTTTGTTTATTCTACGTATTGTATGTTCGTGTGCAATTATAATATTCTTACAGCGGTACCTATGTTGCGTGTGTATTCGTCATTGAAAAACATAGAATTGTATAGTTTTGAAATACATTTTGTAAAACGAAACATGCAGTATATAATGTATGTATGCAAAGCTTCAGCATATTAAGTGTGATTTCAAATTAGAAGTTGTAAAATATATATAGTGTAGTAATTATAGAATACAAATATAATATACCTATATAATTATATTGTATTTAATAAGGAAAAGTATTTTTATGTACGACTTTTCCTTCTATAATCTACGGTAATTGTCGATATTTTAGATTTTGAGTAAAATCAATTGGGGTATTTTTTTCCGTGTGTGTCTGTCAACGGCTTATTTTTTACCCAAATATCTTACCCCAATCAAAAAATCTATGGGAAATTTCTTGTAGCGTTTTTGATCTAGTTGGCAAGTCAAGTACATTTATGAGGTCATTTTTTAATTTTCATTGTAGTATTCTTAATTCACGGGAAAACTGTTTTTCAAAAAAAAAACAATTTTTGGATAATTTTTGTTGTTTTCATGTTAATTTGAAAACAAGGAAAAAAGACGACTTATAGTGCTATGCTCAGAATAGTTATTCGTTAACGATAACTTATTGTTGCATACAAATTAAATTATTATATAGGCATACCAATCTTAACATATAACTTTACTCCCAAACAGTGATACACTTATCAGCAGTATCGGTCTTTTTTTAAATATAAATTTAACAATATAGATATCTATTTGTCATTCTATAATTTTTACTATGGTGCGTTTATTTTTTTTGTATCTATAAATAATTTTCACCCGAAATCTTTAATGAATCAAAAAATGACAAGACATATTTTTTACAGGTATTAAATTAGTTAAAAATTTGGTTAATCATTTTAACACTCTAAAAAGCCATGTTTTTGTTTTTGGGTGTTGAAAAATACTTTCCCTAGCACCCTTAAAGATCAAAAATGAACTTAAAGATTTCAAATCGATGCGAAATGAAAGAATTTCCATGTTTTGTTACTCAATATTATAATTAATTCTTAAAATTATAACAAATTTAGGTACATTTTAAATTTGTGTGATATTAAAATGAGATTAAAAATCCCAAATTTGTAAAAAAATGTATCATAAATTCATGACATAATTTTTAAGTCGAAATTTCAAAGTTGGGTCCCAGGGTAGTTGAGTTCTTTTTTGTTGCATCATTTTAAATATAGTTCACACATCGGAAAAGTAATTTTTTGATTTTTCTTGTAGTTTTCTTATAATTGAGAAATACGGAAAAAACGTATAAAGAACGGATACATTAACGGACATATAACAACGGTTTTATTATTTTTGAAATTATTTGTTGTTTTTTTTTTGTTTTGTAATTCTGTTAAAAATATTATTTCTTCTTGGAGACCTGACATTTTCCCGGAATTGTTATATTGAACATTTTAATTTTCTAGACGTGGTATTCCTGCAATTGTTTAGATATTTATATAGGCATTTGGCATTTCGGAGTTTTTTTATTTGATAATTATGCAGGAATAACATTGTTTAATCAAACATAAATGCTTGGATTGAAACTTATAAATGATAATTATTATTCATTATTGTTCATTAAACATTGTACTAAGTGGTGAAAAAAAAAATAAGTGTAATGTATAGTAATTAGTTTTTTTTATAAGTATTTTAAGATCAAATCGTAAAAATGACAGCGATTAAGAAATCTATAACGCTCATATAAAGGCTTTTCAATATTAATATGGTTGCGTATAGATATAAACTAAATAACTTTATATTCTCCACTTCCAAATTATTTTATTAACACGAATTTTGTGATTTTCGATTAAAAATACTGGTATTGATATTACTGCATAGCGTGATACTATGGTACAGATAATATATAACGTTCAATTATTCTTGTACCACCCTAAATCAAGTAGCGATATTAAAATGATAATTTATGAAACTCTGGTTTACACGCATTTTCGTAATTAACGAAGGTTTTAAATTGATTGAAAATTGTATTCATTATTACAGAAAATTTAATGATAAAACTTAACGAGGAATATTTATGTTTTGCCAACTAACAGATATTAAGTAATTAGTTAGCATACCTAGTTTCGTTTTAAATTATGACGCCTACAAGGCGCAGTAATATTATATACCTGACCTTTTCAAAATGTCGACAAAATCCATCAAATTATTTTCATTTTCTTTGTATGGTAATCGTCAAAAACCATGAAAACAATAACGTTAAATAATTATGAAAGTAATAAAAGTAGGTATAAAACGTGATAACTATCAAATATAGGTCTATTTTTAATAAAATTATATTTCAACGTTTTAAATTTCGGAAGATGCGAGGAATGTTTTGGTTTTACTATTTGTGTATATGTTTTTTTTACACTAGTTCTATTCCAATCAAAAAACAATAAAAAACTTTAAAAATAAATAAATCTGTTTTGTTGTTTTTATAAATCTATTCGGCAAGAAAGAATTTTTTTGTTTTGATTTTCCATTAGTACTCATTATAATTAGGAAAAACCGGAAAATGACGTAAATTAAAAAGCGACACATTTATGGTGTTAACTATTCCGTCTTTCCAATTTTCTTTTCTACCAGAAATATTTCTCTAAATTTCAAGAGTAGCTTCTTTTCTGAAAGAAAATGTTATCTAGTTAGCGAGTAAGAAATTATTGTTATTTTTTTTATTATTAATATTATTTATGTGTAGTTTTCTTAATAATTTAGTGAAAATCTGAAAGAAAATAAATAATAGAAATAAAGTTTTCAGAAAATTTACGAAAAAAACGGTTTTATTATTTTAAATTTTTTTGTCATTCTATTGAAAATTATTATAAGTACCTAAAATACTTATATTCATCTTTTCTAGACGTGGTCAAATTTTCAAAATTTAATTATTATATTTATGATTACCGGCTAGTAATAAAATAATAATAAAACGAAATATGCATTTTTCTTCTTATTGACAGAAACCAATTTTGAATTCTTGATATTTTATTAGAAATCTACTTTCATTATAATTTTCTTGAAATTTTCAAGAGGGGAGGTGGTTTCAATTCCTAAAAACCTCCTTGTATACGTGTCTGGTAACCTTGACCAAAATTGTAGGAAGGAGTTTTAAATTAAATCATTTACTATTATCGTTCTAAACATATTTCGAGTATATTTATTAGCATTTATCTTGGATAACTGGAATCGTCGGATCAAAATAGATCCATGACTTTTCAACTTTTCTTCAATAGATTGAACTTTTTTTACTGTAAAAAGTACTTATTTTGTTAAAAAAAAAAAATTATATCAATAGATGGAAAATATTCATTTGAATACACGGAATGACGGAATGTAATATGAAAAAAAAAATGTCTAGCTTATAAATAGTCCAAATATCCTGGCTATCAGTGCACACACCTCTAGTTAATATACTTTTTATTTTTAATAATTTATCAATAATTTTTTGATACAACAAATATATTTATATTGTAATTGTAAATATAAACAATACGATGCGATGAATTTTCACATCCCTTACAAATTTAAAACGAAATTATTGCAAAAAAAAACCGGCCAATTGGGGGGGGGGGTTAAACCCCATAAACCCACTCTTTATTATATTAATAATTTTTTTTATTAATAGTTTTTATTAAAAATACAAAATGTTTGTACACATTTTTTATATTTTGATAGGTATATTGTACATGTACTTTAAGGTACCTAATAGGTTTAAATTTAATTTAAAAGAATAATATATACGGATGTAATATTGTGTAACACCATTTATATTAAACTTATACTTAAATATATCAGTAAACTGACAAAACTTTTCTCTAAAGATACTGTATGTATTTTATAAAGTTTATTTTTCTTGTAATACACAATCATAGTTGTGTGGGAAAAAACAGAGTTAGAAATAAACATTTTTTCCTCGTAAAAAATTGTTCAGTTTCATAATAAACACTTCTATACAGTAAACTAGATTGTAAGTTTATTATAATTTTATGCATTTCAATTTTCTGATAACTTTATTGAAATGGCTAAAATCATTAATTCTTGAAATTAAATTGTGTATTTTTATTTATGTGTGTAACCTAACTGTTATCTGTAGGTAACTTTTTGGTTCAAATTTGATCAAAAAAAAAAAAAAATTACTTTAAAACATTCATAATTTTAACATTAAACATTTAAATTAGGTACATATATTTTAATATTTATATAATCGAATGAAGCGAAACAATATTTTTTCGGAACTTTTTTTAGATGTTATTGAAAAATAAAAAGACCCAGTGAAGTTTGAACAGACGTACATGTAGTCTAAAATGTATATTTACCGACTAATCACACGTGATAATCTCTTCGTTTTCCGAAACCGGTGGAGGCAGTGTTGCTGTGGTTTTAGACAACTCAACAGAACTTCATTCAATGCTGTAACGAATTTTGGCCATCTCATTATAGTATTATTATTGGGTTTTGGGGTAGCACATTGTAAGCATACCGAATGATGTGGATCATCGGTCATCAAAGCACCCGAAATCTCCGCAAACTGGAGTACTTTGAAGTCCTCGAACGCGTTTACTATGCCACCTAATTTGCTAGCAAAATACGTGATAGAACCATATTGTGGATATTCTGAATGAATTCGGTCGTCGACTGTCAAAGCACCTGAAGTCTCCGCAAACTTTGACGTTTTTGACCGGATTTGCAGATGTGTCAATGATTTGCAAATGAACACACGAAAGACTTGCAAAATGTCTCTGTAATTAAATTTAAAACTCGTATAAATATAATAGTTTAGAACAATTACTAACATACTAAAAATATCAGAAGTATAATATTATAATTCGACATTTATTATCTTTGCGGTAAAATTATCGTCCAGAGACGCGGCGAATAAAAAAAAACTGCATAGGTATGACGGGAATCGAGCCGGTAATTTACAAGTCTACCCCGGACAAAAAATGCAACTTTCTTTTATAAAAATATACGTTTTACTTATTATAATTGAATCAAGTTTTTTCCATATACAACCTAACCAAGGGGAATTGGATAAAAAAAAATTAATTTTCGTATTTTATATAGTATATACTTTAATGACATCTTTCCAAGGTAAAAACATTAACCGTTCGATCTCTTGAGAGAATTTAATAAAATACTATTGAACTTTTTCATAAGAGAAATCAAATTTCTAAAAAACGTTTATGTATTTGTACTTGCCTACATTGCCTCTATGTATATATTATTTTATGAAATACAAGAAACTTCTGTGCGAAATTTCGGATTTCTAGACCCAGCGGCGGTTCGAGCAGAACGACAATGAATCTGTCAGGAAATATTTATAATAATAATTTTATATGCCTATAGATATAACATACGAATAAATCCATACAATTTACACATAATAAAATGGATTTAAGTTTGGTTCAAATGGCGGGAATAAAAATATAGTCAGTTGCTTTTAGCTGTAACGCTGGGCGAATTTATACTCGTCACTCGTCAACGAATAAAGTCATATAGAGACACGCGAACTATTAAAATAATAAAATCTGAATAAAATTTCTTTTTCGCTCTTAGTCGCGAACACGATATTTACACCGGCGATTTTACTACCTAATGAAATAGCCAGCGAGTGCCGACTTTGGTATAGCAAAGTGAAAATTCGCCTCACGTAGTCGATACTCCAAATTATCTATTAATAATTTAAAAGGATAAAATAAAAAAAAATAATAATAAACTCTATTAAATGATGTCCAATCATTTTTACACACGTGTCTTATATTATAACGGTCGTGCGCCGTGCTAAAATGGCGGTTTTTTGGCATTTTCGCACACAGGCAACACAAAACCACTAAGAAGATGTACTTCACGATTATCGTGCCCTGGGCAATGTTCGATGTCGTTTTAAGTAGGTGAATTGTCGTATAACTGATTGGATTGGTATAATAATAGAAGCAAGTCGTGTGACGCGTTGTGGAAAAAACATTTCGAAAACGTACGAATACTATAACGGGCGATGAATGCTCCCGAAAAAATTTCATAAACCTTAAAAAATCGCCGCAAGAATATTTATTCGGTTGCCGGGACCTCGTTAATTTTTCTGGTTACAGTATCTATGAAATAACAGTCGATTCGTTTATGTATTTAATTAGCCAACAGTGTTTCCGATAGAATTGTTTCAAGCTAACAATAATTTCCTTGTTGTTTTTGTACGAACGGTCGTCATCACGAAGCACGACGACTGATAATAATCTATTATCGTTTTGACAAATGTTTAACGTTCTCCGGGCTTAAATTCAAAACCCGGGTATTATTATTTTTTATTAGTTTTTATGAACCAATCAATTATTTATTATTATATTATATTCATAATTTATATACATTTGTGTTTGTATTTTTTCGTATATAAGTCAATTTGGGCATAAATTCGATCATTTTGATTTTATTATTTTCGTTTTTCTTAATTTTAAAAAAAACAAGAAAAATCACGTTCAACATACATGGCCTTTAAATATTTATATTTTTATTATACAAGTATACAAGTACAAACAGTGGGGACTGGAGGTTTTTCAATAGCCGATACAATTATATTTGTGAACACTCATTCATCCCACTACCAGTGGTGTATTTCCATTTAAAATCCAAAATAAATACAAATGTAGTATGGTTGTTTCATGGCATTTTCAAAAATAATATCTTATTTTTGGAGTTATTTGAAATTGAAAATCGACATGCTATTATAACATGGACAGTTTGTTGAGAATTCTATACATACTTTTTAAAATTAAAACAATGTATTGTTCAGTTTCTCCATGGTCTATAGAGAAAGACCTAAAAGTAATTATCATTGTAAATTGAAGTAAACACACAGGTGAAAATGGAAAAATAATCAATTTTATCTACTAAACCAACTACATAGAGGTATCTAACATTAAAATTATTAGTATTATCACAATTACACGTTATGGTACAGAATAAGTCTACATCAATCACAACCATACAATAGCCAATTAACTACTGATTTATTAATTTTACCTATTTTGATAACTTACTCCTATTAAATTTTAACACACAAAATATATTAGATGACCAATTCGGTTATATTACTTAGTGAGGTACATGACCGCCAATAAGCATGAGTAAACGTGTTTGATAATAATTATAACATTTTCGTAATCCACAGAAGCCGCGACGACGAGAGTAGCGGCCACGGGACGCGCTGTCTGAAGGGTAGGTCGACGGGTATGACAACGGCGACGTACCACGAAGAGGTTACAGCAACAAGTGAGGTTTGGTGAGTGCCGCCGCAGCTGCAGCAGGTCTAGTCGGCACCCGGTGATGGGGCATCACAATAACACCACGGTCGAGTCGGCAAACAACGCGTACGCACCTCTGGCCACAACGACCACCGCTCTGCAGCGGGACGCAATCGTCAGCATCACTACCGTCGGCGCCGCGACAGCTACCGAACGCAACAACAGCCACGGCAACACCCGCAATAGCGGCAACGGTAACAACGGTGCAACGACGACTGCTGTTGGTGTTGCCCCGGTCGTGGTGGCGATGCACAACGGTACTCCAGTGCCGGACCGGTCGGCCAGCGATTATTATTACTATTACGCTTACGACAACGTCACCGACACAGCATTGTTCTTCCCTCTCAACGGTACTACAGCTGGTAGACCGAACGTACCGTTCGAAAAGCCCACCTGCGCCTGGATACCCACCCAGCAGAGTCTTTTTCAGTTCTCCAATATATGTTTCCTGACCGCCTTCATTGTCCCCAGAAGTTACAAATTCAGCTTGCTGTCCTTAAGGTAAGATTGATAACAATTTCGTAACCTAACCTATCCTAAACTCTTGGTAGGTACTCTTATTGACTTAGAAAAATCGTTTTATCACACATTAACAAAGAGTAGTACTCGAAGACATTTGGAAAAAGAGGACAGGAGGAGAGGATTATAACTCTCTAAATCTGCGGCTGTCTATTTGCAAAACACAGTATGCGCCACTTTATCAATATGATTTTCTTCCTGTTGTATTGTATTTGTCAGTTTATTATTTATATTACATATCAATTTTGAATGTAAAATAATACATTATTTATTTATTACCAACATAAAGGAGAAAGTAGAAGTAGTTTTTAATGAAATGTATCTATGGACAATCCCTAATGTATTGATTATTGTGACACGATTATTTCATATATTTTGTTTTATTTCATAAACAATTTTTACCACTATCGTAATAATTAATGTGTTGGTAACTTATTACATTATTAAAATAGCTTTTATTTAAAAAAAAAAATTATATTTATTATATTATTTTAAAAGCTATTCCATTAGCACATTGGAAAAAGAAAACGTGACACATAAGTAATAGGTATTAGGTATATTTTACAACATTATAATACCTACTCGTACATTATTAAACACTTTAGGTTATTGGAATGTACTGTTTTTACCGCATTGATTCAAAAAATTATACACACGTGTGGCCGCTCTGAAAAAAAAACGGGCACGGTTTTGGATTGTCGTTTACATCGTAGTGGCACTAGTTTTACTAAGTTTTAAAAAATATACTTTACATATGAGTTAGGTACTTACACAATTTGTTATACGCATTTTTATACAGCACTTTTATATAAATTGTTGAAACCTTATAGGTAGATAAATACAAGCAACGGACATATCGAAACAACTTGTCTATTGCAATTGTATCTTACTATATCTTACTACACCTTACTAAAAAAAAAAGAATTTAAAATTTTTTTTTTAATCGCTGTAAAATCTCTTATCTACTTAATTTACGAAATTGTTCATTTTTCGAATCGTCGATAAAATGACAACTTAAAAGTTTTGAAATATTTAGCGATATTTTGCAAGTAAATATTCTATAGTTTTATCGTACTTGCGGATAGTAACATTATTTTTTCGTTCAAAAAACTTAGAAAAATGTCGTACATCAATAGACATTTACGTAATGATTAAGTAATCTATTTTGTCAATAAATTGCAGTGTATAACATAAGCCGTCTCCTATATTAGAGTAAATAGGAACATACTAAAATAGTTTTATTACTGTTAAAGCGATGTAAAATTTTGCATTAGGAAATCTGTTGAAATGAAAAGTTTTTATTTCTTTGACGACGATGCGCGACGGTTAAATAAATTAAAACTTACTAATTGGAACGGAAATGACGCGCATAAATCTAATTTAATTAGGACAACATTTTAAATGCAAGAAAATTCAATTAAGTATTTCTGTTTTGAATCATTGAGTAATTATAATAATTTATTTTATTATAGTAAGTATGGCTATGTAAATAAGTAAATATTATGGCAGGTATTTTAACAGTAGCGCAATCAAGATTTATTTTTAGAGGGGGTTATAAATTTTAAAAAAATCCAATTTCGGAAGGTGTTTGGTGAGGGGGAAGGATAGTAAGGTTAAGTTAGGTTCATGAGAAAAATCTTTAAATTGTTTAGCTTTTATTTATAGATATCGGATATCGGAAAATAATTTAGACTAATATTAAATATTTAAATATTCTATACTCATAAGTCATAGTCTTATGATAAAAATAATTTACAACTTTATAAGCTCAAAATTAAATTCTAATTCAAAATTTATAATTATATTAGACCATTTAAATTACTAGTTATATAATCAATTATTAATAGTATCTGAATATTCTGATTTCTCTGCTGATATTAAAACACGCCGTAACATAAAATATGAACATATTTGTATTAATTCATTACCAAAGACTATAGGAATTTATGCCATCAGCGTATAGAATACTTGTGGGTATTGACTAACTAATATTTTATTTATTAAACAAGACGTCCTAGGATAATGGGGATGGGTGCAGCCGCTGTTATAGGTAACTTAATGTATATCTGTAGCAACGATAAACTATTGTTTACTTAAAAGGATTCTGATTTTCTGGGGGGAGTTTAGTTGATGGTGATGCTGCTTTGTCAACAATATATATGTTATATTATGGTAAAAAAATTAAATAGGCATCATATATTTTCTTTAATAATATTTGTTTAAGATTGTATCGATTTTTCCGGTTCTTTTGCGTTTTTACCATATTTTTTCACGGATTATCACATTTTCTAAGAAAACTCTTAGAAAAATAGAAAAATGACATTTCTAAAGTAAAATCCCAGTCAGATTTACTTTTAGAAAAAGTGCTATCATTATAAAACGGAGCAAAATTACTGGTACAGAAGGTGTACACAAAAAAATGCCATAATATTTTTTCACTTATACCTACATTTCGTACATTTTCCGTTTTTCCGACATTTCATCCCGGTTTTTCCCAGTTATTCATAAAACTAATTGAAAAATCGTAAAAATGACCTCCCTAAACCATGGAGATAAAATTTCCTTTCAGAAAATAAAATACACTTGACACATGGGAGCAAGACTTCTGGTGGAAAGGTTTGCACAACAAATCAAGGGGTATTTTTCGATAAAGATCGTCTGAGCGAGCGATAGCTAGGTCTCTGGGTATACTTAAAATGCATTTGCTTTTTCTCTATTTAGGTAAAAGAGAAAAAAAGTGCAAAAAGTTTCTTTTCGAACTCCGGGTATGAACTCGCGACTCCTAGTATGACAATACGTATTTATGACCATTCGACTACAGTAAAAATATTACAAGAATAGACAATATTGACTTATTTAACATGACATATAATATCTGCATAGTATTTGAACTTCAAAAAACTATAATTTCGAAACTTAGTCAGTCCGCTCAATTCTGACTGTACCGTCTTCTTAAATCAACAATACATATATGTTCGAAAAAAAAATTGAAAAATTAGATTTGTTCCATATCATTTTTTACTCAAACAATTTTCGTCAAAATGTAGTATCAAAATTTCTTTATAAAAACAAATACTACATAATCTCAATTTTTTTTTTTTTTTACCAAAAAATATTTTTCGAATCATTTAAACATCATTGTATTATATTTATTATATTTATTATTATATTTATTATCGTATTGATAAAGTGAAAAATAAAATATATAGATACACATACTTCACCTCCAATCACTCTAGTTGCGTATTTATACTACTGGGTATTTATAATCGTACTATAATGTCTACCATCATGACGCTTTATAATACTCGGTTTTTGTTTTTTAAAGTTCATTCAAGAACTATGCACATTTATGTATTAGGCGTTCGCTCCTCCGACCCTTAAAGGCTAAATAGTATAATATTATACAAAATTTATTTAAATTGTATCGCTGTACTAAAAAAAAAAAAAATAAAATAAATAGATATAGATATATTACGCTTAAGTTACATGCGATTTAAAATGTTCAGTTGTTTATTTTTAGTTGTTACGAATACGAAAATAGAAAAATGATCAATAAAAAAAAAAAAAAAATAAATAATAGATTTCTCGTATTTCAAGGGCCAAACTTGGCGAACATGTAATAAAAGTGTTTGTATAATATAGCTATATATCTATTTTGAAAGTCTTATCAATACGTATTGAAATAAATATATTACTATATTAAACTCTGTGAGCTCGGCGAAAATTTAATTTAAAATGTTCTCAGGGTTTTGTAAACCTATTAGTATTTTGCAGAAGTGAATTATAGTTAAAATGTACTTCTCACCATTTACACCCATTTAAACATTGTATTTTCAATAACCATTTTACTTTTAAAAAGCAACGTACCTACCCAGAATTTTTCACGGGGTGGGGGAAGGTAGTTATTCATAAATGAAATTACAATAAAATAATATAATTCAAGTAGAACATAAGCTAAATCTATAATACACATATAAATATTTTTTCTTGGGATGATTTTTCAAAATATATAGGTATAATACAATTATTTGTATTTAGTTGAGTTAGTTATTCTTTTTTCTTTTGTATTTTAACACGGACAACGATGGGGGGGGGGTTGAAACACCCTTAGCTACCGCCTATGGGTACGACGCTGACTTCTAAATATTTTAACTGCTAATACTGATTATAGGACTATAATAGTTTTAATATACTATGGGCTTTATAAAATTGTTCAATTTGTTTTGTCTGTATACACGATTTCAACCACAACACTTTCAACACTTTCTGCGATTAAAAACTACATTGGCGCATAGCTCGTAGCTCGCAGAATTTTGTATTTAGTAAGTATAGGTACTTTATATAAGATATTCCTTGATGCTCTCAGTAACTTACTATCACGAACGACCGAAAACCCGAAAACGCATTTTACGTTAAAACCAATAATATTTTCTGTATAAAGGGCGTTGCTGTTCGTTGGCTTTATAATCTCGGGCCTGTGGTCGTCCACGGATGTGTGCGCCGTGGACGCGCTGATCTGGTACGCGCTGCTGGCCCTGATTAACGGCGTGCATACTTTGAAGTTGTGCAAGAAGCTTTTGCCCCCTGCGCTGTCTGTTGAGCTCATGGAGCTGTACGTGCGGGTGTTCAAGCCGCTCAAAGTCAGTCAGAAACATTTTCGCGAACTCACTCGGGAGGCGATCATCGTGGAAATGACACCCGGAGAGTGTTACGCGGTCGAAGAGGTGACGGCTTGTGACGAGCGGCTGTCCATTTTACTTAGGGGCAGGTAAGCGACACGACTGGTCAATGTATTTAAATCCAGTGGGTATTGTGATCAGTTTTTTAAATGGTTTGGTCAATAGTCATAATAATAATATTAACACCGTTTACCTATTTAGTTATATTCAAGATCTTTGGGAGGCTTTACTTACCGATACCCCATTCCTTAAAAAACCATTTGTTTATATTCATCAACAATTTTTGCTATTAAATATTTTTTTAGTATTTCTTAATTTGAATTGCAAATTTGTATTATATAATATATTTAAATTATCAATTTTCGCTGGTTAGCCGCCATCGTGATTAAACAAGGACGAGTTCGATTTGCCTTATTTGAACGTTGTAGTCTAATAAAATTAGATGACAATCATATTATCATGTAACCATAACAACAAAAAAAAAAAAAGGACATACTCCGAACTATGAGTAGGCCACTGTTGTATAGATGCAGGATAGTTGGGAAGATAGGGCACATTGTGAAATTAGGGTTAATGCACAAATATACACAATATACTTAAGCACATAATTAAACACAATATACTGCATTATTGCATTAAAAAAAAAAACGATTATGAACTGAGTACTATTATTTATTTAAAACATTAGGGTAAGCCCAATTACATATTACATATAAGTATAATGTTTAATTAACAGAAAAATAATTAGAAAACAATACAAAGTGGTTATGGTAAAAAGGTTGACTGTTCATTAGCCATGCGCATAGTACGATAGATAGGGTTGTTGTGACCGTAGTTTGTGGAACAATTCGGCACAGAGAAAGGGATATGGAATCGGAGGGAACGCTGTGGTACTCTGAAGTTTATACTGGAAAAGAGAGTGAGGAAATCTATTGAACCGTCTAAGAGTGAAAATTTTAATTAATTTTAAAAATTTTCACTAATTTTAATAAGAAGCGAATGACAAAAAGCGTCTCTGGGCACGCTCTAGTTGTAAAGAACTTGACACTGTAAGGATCCTATAATACGGATCCATATTTAATAATAGATCGAACTAAGGAACAATAAAGACATTTTAAAGAATACTCAAACTTAAATTCAGAGGCTATTTACTAGACAAAACCCAGTACTTTGAGATCCCTACAAGAAGATAATTCAATGTGTGTTTGAAAGTCAAGTGTAGGAGTGTATTAGTATTGTTTTTACTTCATTTACAAGGCAACCTAAAAATGAATAAAAATCAAAAAACCCATAAAAAAATATCAAATTATAAAATATATCCCAAAAATTATTTGGGTTTTATGTTTTACATACTTAAATAAACATTTTTGAACAATTTGATAAATATTTCAAATAAAATAACTGCTCAAAAAAAAAATAAAAATTTCACCAAAAAGAGTTAAAATACAAATATATATATATATATATATATATTATACCTTAATATAAAAATGAAAACAAGTTTCCAAATAAAGTGTTAGAAATGTCGATAATGTGTTCAAATAAAATAAAATCATACAAACAAATCTGTAAATCTGTATTTTTTGAAGTATAACATGACAAGAAATGGAAGTATAATTACCTAAAATTAACATTGCATTTGTATTATATACACTTGCCCCTAAATCACACCATTCGATATATACGTCTTTTTTTTGTTTTACTACAGTTTTTATATGATGTTATTTTATTTTACAACCAAATATAGTAACCTAATTATCTAATTAGGTTTTTATCGATTGGCTTTGCTTTACACACCTGATTTGAAACGCTATTGTACATAAAATATAAGGTTTAATTTAATTGGATATTTTTTTAAGCAATTATTGTCGACCCTGATTTAAGCAATAGGTGAGTCACGAAAACACGTTAAATATAGGTATACTTTTTTTTTAGTAAATATTAATTTTCTAATGTGACCTATCCCTATAATAAAACTATACGAGTTTATTAGACACAAAATACACAATTTCATAAATGTAATGAAGGTGATATCCATAGCTAATTACATTAAGTACTATTATAAAATCCAAAAATCCATAAAATATTTGCTACTTAAATATTGAATATCTATGAATTATTATCTTTGCTAAACTATTAAAAAAACTATAGAGATAATCAATAAACGACTTTCTTATTCACCAACAAGATTAAAAATTCAACAAAAAAGATATCTTGTTATTATTTGATTGAAGCAATATTCCTAATAGAAACCGTAGTGTAAACAAATTAAAAACATTGAAAACGGCAACGTCGTGGAGCACTGTAATTATTTATCGTTTTACCTGCAATTTTCTTTCGGGTTTTTCCCAATTATTTCGAAATCTCCCAAGAAAATCAAAAAAAGATCTGTCTAATGCATCAACTAGGAAAAATGTCCTTTCACAAAAGGTAATATACTCTATACATCAGAGCAAGTTTTCTTTTCGAAAAGTTGTTTACAGACAGAAAAATAAAGCACCGTGGTAAAACCAATATATCACTCGCTACGCTCTGAATCCTGGTAAACAAAAAATTAGTACTATAATATTAGAGTGCGCGTGTATTTAACCAGTGCCTAATCGCCATAAAATAATGCATTTTTTGTAAATTAAAATTACAAAGTCCGAAAGGGTTTTGCATGACGTACCTATATAAGATTGTATCAAGCGAAATAATAAAATATAAAAAATTAAATTATTATACCCATTTTTTATTCAAATTTGCGTAGAACATTATAAATTCTATTCACCTATATTTAATACTACGTGCACAATAAACACACAATTACTTTACCTTATTAGATCTTATTGGTAAGAAAAAAAGAAATAGAAATTTCTAAAAACGAAAACCTTTTAACACATTACCTACAGTAAAAATGTCGTCGACAAAACACATTGTCTGACACGAAGAGAAAAAGTTACAATTTTGTCACTTCACTTAATTATATTTTCGATTTTACAGCAAGGTAATAATATAAACATTAATGTTGAATTGATTTCATTTCTTAACGTATCATGAAAGATTCGATTGATTATTATTGGTAAATTCCTGAACAAGTTATTAATTATCAAAATAATGAAATATACTCAAGTAAATAAACTTATATATGTAAAAAAAAATTATTTTTTAACTTTTTTTTTAAGAGAAGTACATATATTAGATTTAGGTAATATTTGACTACACGATAAAGTGTTTAAAAATAACCTATTTATATTATTCGTACTTATAATAGAACCATTGAAAATAAATATAGATAGTGTTATATTAATGTTCCTGTTAAAGACACTAGTAACTTTTTGGTCAGGTAGGTGTTGCTAAGTTTAATCTGACCAATATCACCAATTCACCATTTGTATCGGGCCATCGATTGCATCACTATAACTACTATCAACACATTACAATCTTAAAAAGCTTCTTAAGGAAGCCAAATCAACCAAATAAGTACTGTAATGTGTTAGCATCCCAAACAACTCCAGTTGAATTACTATACAAAGACAATAATGGTAATGCTAAAATATATAAAAATTATAAAAAAAACTAATAAAACTGTCAATTGTATGCATAATTTAATTTAATTATATAATATTATTTATCTACAAAATAATAAATATGAGTTACCGGAGGCCACATATGAATATATAAAAAAAGAAAAGGTTTCAGGTATTACAATAGCCTTATTTTGATGAATGGGAGAGGATTGGGGATAGAAGGGGTTTTATCTGGGTACATGGTTTAGAGGGTGAATTTGAGTATGGTAATGAGGAGATAGGGTAGAAAAGATAGGGGTCAAATAGGTAGGGCAATGGGGGGGGCTAAATGGGGTGGTACTTTTCGGAGTTAGTAAGTATAACGTTGTGTAAAGTAATTTAAAAAAGAATTTAAATAAAAATGAATTTATAACTGAGATTCGTTCCCGCAACCGATCGGCTGGTACTGCGTCGAGCAAAAATATGTCGGTAAAACATATCATAGCTATCATTTTTTCGATTACCCTCCATAAAGGAGTTTCACTTTAAAATGAATACACATGAAGCGATTAACGAGATTTGTTGGTTGTAAATAATAATAATTACAACACCATTCGTGTTTAGGTGTAGTGTTACATGCGAAGGTACTCAATTGCACAACATCAACTCGTATCAATTCATCGATTCGCCCGAATGGATGGCTTCAAGCCTAATGCACGGAGAATCAATGTTTCAAGTATGCACCACTTTTTAGTATAAATATATTTATATATTATAAAATGTATACAATATGTTACCGTCGATGATTATATTTAAGCATTATAAAAAAAAAATAGCTAATCTGTATTATTATGTTGTCTCTCGTTGTTTTTTTTTATAGATATTGATATTATTGGTTATTTTTGAGAATGCCTGACTAGGACAGAAAATATAATATTATGTAAACTATTTAATTCAAATGAAAAACTATCTGGGTTGTGACAATACATTTGTAATCTGTATAGCGAAAAGCAGCCGAAAAACAAATATAATGAATAGTAGATACAAATATATAAATAAGATCGTTTTATTATTACACATTTTGATACATTTTCAGTACATTAATTCGTTACAAATTTATATTTATTAACTTCACTAGTATTTTCCAATAAAACGGATAGGTAAACTGCATCGTTAAACTTTTGTCGTGTTTCATTTGGATCCGTTGATTTAAAACAAATTATTTCGCACCACGTGACACAATGAAAAATGTATATTACATTAAGGCGACGCAAAAATAATCGCACGAGTCATGACTCAATGAAACGGAGACTAACGAATAGCGAAACCAAATTTGGTACAACATTGGACTAACGCCGTCATAGTACTTCAATAACCAATAATCAATCAATAACCATCGTCGCTTCAAAATATATAGGGTCAATCGATCTTGCTAGAGATACTAAAATGTACAACAGATAACACTGACTGCACGACATTCGGTAATGTTATAACGATTAAACCAAAGTCATAAATGTTTGTCCATTATAATATATACTCACTATATTGACTTGCTCGGGTATTATATGCATTGACTTGTCAATCTCGTTACTGCCCGAATTTACGAAATCGACGGTAACACGTTGTATATTTACTGTTATATTCATTAAATACGCAACACGGTTTGTACTGCTATTATTATTTTTAGGTAACGATAACGGCTGCTGAAGATAGTGTTTATTTGTGCTGGCAACTATCTAAGCTCAATCGGATATTCAAACACAGAACACAATTGCACGCCGTTCTCGCTAGTATTATTGGTGAGTGCCCAATTAATAATGATAATTAGGATTCAGGACTTATTGCACTTAAAATTCAAAAAATCAATTAAAAATGTCAAAAAATCCTTGAAAAAATAAATTATTAAAACAAGTGGTATTGATTATATAAAATTGTACGTGGTATAAAAAAAATTACTATTTTTAAAAAGTTAAACAATCGTATTTAAATTAGAACGACATTTAAACTTTTCTACCGTTTTTGCTTTTTAAATATTTTTTAATGCTTTTTTCAGAATTGTTTGACTTTTTTAAGTATATCTTTGTGGATTTTAAATGTAATAAATCTCAAGCTCTAATTACAATCAGTTTTATCATTATTTACACAATTATACCTACGTTAACTATAAAATGTTTTTTCGTTTTTTTTTTTTTTTTTGGTCCTTATTGTTCTTTTTGATTTTGATGTTTTGAATATTTTTACAAGACAGAACTTGTTTAGAATTTTTCGTTAGTTATAGGCCACGGTTAGGTTGGGTTACTTGTAACCTAACAATTAATCATGGTATTCAAAAAACCTTTTGTGAGTAGAGCTCATTATATATATTATTTTAGGGCTCTGCTAAAAATGTAAAAGACAATAATAATAACCTTAACGAATAGTCGTTAGCATAAGTTTAATATTCTCGTTTCGTAGCATTATACCTACGCCTACTGTATAAGTATTATAATTTTCATCTTATTATAATGCCCTCGGTACTCCCAATTAATAAACTTACAAGTGCTTTGGGCACAAGAAATAAGGTATTTGCATCCCTTAATGTATCTCTCTCCAAATATATAGGTACCCTATAATAACAATTATAATAATAATAATTATTATTATTAAATAGTTTGTTTTCAAATTACAATGCTGTGGTGTTTTTGTTTTGTATCTGTAATCATTATTATTTTTGAATAAATAAAATATTATCTTAATGTCCCAACGTAATTACATTGTATTTAGTTTGCGATCATATAACACTCTTGCACTGATATATAATAATATAAAATATCTAGATAGCTTAAAAAATATATAGGTATATAGATTTTTTATAATATCGAATTAAATATGATTTAAACTTTATTAATCTCAACATATTGCTTAAACACATACCTACACTTAAGTCTTTTATAGCACATTTTTTACATTCTGAGCAGAGAAATGAATATATTGGTTTTACAATGATGTATTTTTTTTTTTTTATGTGAACACTAATTCTACCAAAAAACATACTTCAATTATCAATTATAGACTTTTCCTGAAAGACAATGTTCTCTGGGTGATACTTTAAAAAGGTTATTTTTTAAAGTTCTCATTAATATTCGAGATAATGAAGAAAATCTCAGTCTTTGGGTTAAAAAAAATTGAAAGATTAAAAAGAAGTCCTAAGATAATGGAGACAGGTGCATCCACTGTTGTCGATAATTTAATGTATATCTGTAAGCAACAATAAACTCCGAGGAACATGGAAAACTGACCTCTTTAAAGTACCTCCCCAATGAAATTTCTTTTCAGAAACATTGTTATTATTAAAAGTTGGAGCAACATTTCTGGTAGAAAAGTTGTTAATAAAAAAAAAATTGTAATATTCTATTTATTATACTTTGTAAATTTTCCTGTTTTTTGGGGTTTTTCGCATTTAATGAGAAATCTTGAGAAAATCGAAAAATGACTTTATAAGTACTTCCCCACGCCGATTTCCTTTCAGAAAAAGTGCTACATGTAGAAATCCGAGGAAGTTTTCTGGTAGAAAAGTTGCACACAGATAAAAAAAAAAAAAAATAAACATCTTTTAAAACTATAAACTTCTTCACTCCATCCAGAATCTAAAATAAGGTTCTTATTGGCAACCGATTTTATTTATTTTTTGTAATTATTAAGTTTTTATTATTTTAATCTTTTTTAAACAATCATTATTGTCGTGGAAACGCACATTGTTGCAATAATTTTACCATAATATGGTAAATATACCAATATTGAAAAAGCAACATTATCAACTGAACTTCGTTCAGAATTGTTTTTTCGTTAGCAGTGTTTAATCGTTGCTAATAGATATACATTAAACTACCAATAACAGTGGCTGCACCCGTCCTCATTATCCTATGACATTATTTTATTTTTGTTGATGAAATTTGAACCACTAAAAATTGATTTGTATTAACAATCACTTTACGGCCTAAAGAGAATTATTCGCGTTTCCGGAATTTACGTCGTTGTTCAACCATACTATCTGTAACCGTAATTATTATCGTGGAGTCCAATACGATTGTCACTCCTCGAACAAATAAGCTATGGAGTCTGTCTCTCTCGCACTAATGATTACCCGGTAGTTACCTATCGCCAAAGCGCGGTCTATCCATTTTAAGTCTTTAATGGGTGGTATCTATAACATCTAGTCTAATAACACGGATATTTAAAAACGTTGATTTATTGGCCGAAAGAAACAGTAGCATCATCACAAAATCAATATCAATCTAATTCCGCCGTCATATATTGTTATTATTTAATTTTTTTTAAAAAAAAAAAAACGCATTAAAATATTTTAATGTTAAACTTTTTTCGAAATAAAGTATAAATCGATAGAGATAGCGGCGATGTCGTCCGCCTGCGAACTCCCGGGAGAGATGGGGAATCCGCTGTTTAACAGTCAACAAACGAATGAACTACGAAATGTCCACCGCACTGTCGCACTGTCGCAGAAACATAATAATATATCATAATATTCGGGAAATATATAATTTATCGACACCCATATCATTGATATTTTACCGCGTTTAAAAGAGGTTTTTTTTTTTTTTTCTGTTCATATAAAAACGAATGCAGAATCGTAATAATATTTATACACCTACGGTCACCGGCTCACCGCAATAGTTTATATCATTAGGAGTTTTGTATTGTTCGAGGTCATTATTTTTAGTACCGCCCCGCGTACCCTACGCACATCTGACAATTGTGATTAGGTACGGATAGATACGTAAAACGTATTCGAATATTTAAAACGCTTCAGTTATTTCGGTTTTATTTTATCCTGGTCACATTACGCTATGCGGTTACGCAAAATAATTATTTATTCAATATACTGTATCGTGCGCACAATACAATATTATGCAAATAATGCGGTTTAACACGGAAACCGTGTCCGGGCACTCAAAAATACACCGCAGTACGCACGTATAATACAATCATTATTAATTAATTTAATATGAAATATAATTCGATATGTGTACGCGAAATTATCGGTTAAATATACACGTGTGCGGAATACCTATAAATACGATTATTGTAATACCCGCTTCGGTTCTGATTAAAATATACGGCGTTTCGCCGTGAGAATTTAGAAGTTATTTTCAACAACGTTACCATATCTGACGTATTTCTATTTTATTATTGTAATACGCAATGCGGAGAAATTGTTTTGAAGAATTCGGGGTTTTCAATTAAATATCCCGCACGTACGCAGAGCCTGATTTAGAATTTTTCAGGCCCGGGACAAAGAGAAAATGTTGGCTAATTTTTAATCCATTTAATACCAATGTTTCTTATCTCATAGCCATATATATATATATATATACCTAATCCGTTCGTAAAATATCCCCAACACCGAATTATATTTTTATTTTTTTTCGAAATTGGTAAAAAATTCGCCCCGTCGATTGATGGAAAACGAACAAGGCTAATACTTTGCACGGCCGTGATCTCCAGTCGGCGAGTTACCTCATGCATTTATTGTCGATTTCAACTACGACGCCCGGGCATGTTGAAAATTCTTTTGTGACACCGCTGCGGGTGTGCATTCAAACATGTTGCAGATAGATTACCTACCATGAAACGAACACTGTCGTCGCAGTGTACCGACAATAATAAAATTGTAAGTTTGTTCAAAATAAAAACTGAAAAAATATTTATAAGTATACGGTTTTCGTTTCTCTCTCACTCTCTCTCTCTCGTCTTTTTCGACGATAAAAATATTATATTAAAAAAAAATCACTCGTGCGCCCGGGCAAAGGCATAAAATACAAAATTACACGACAGACGAATTACGGCCAGGTCAAACATAAAAAAAAAAAATCATAATAAACAGATGAATAGCGATTCTTATTACTTCGTATATTATTATTATGTGTAGTCGGATTAAATTAGATTACCGCCATATAATGTTATATAATTGTATGATTCGAAAATTGTATTTAAACACAGAACAGAACATTATTAATACAATTTTAACTCTCGTCTCGGAACCCAATACATATATAAGCGGGTATTGTTAGCTCTCTGGATTTTCTGCCACGTCGTGTTTCTGTGTGTTACGCGCTGAACATTTTTTTTTTTTTTATATATATATATAATTTGCATGTTTTCCTTTGACATAGATTATGTTTTAGATTTTTCCATCAAAATACGGTACGAAAATTCGTGACAAAAAGTCATGCATATGACCTAGGTTGCCCAGCAACGTATAAATAAGATACGAAGAAAAAAAAACCTAAAATATTCCTAATAAATATGTATATGTAGGTTTACAGGCTTAATTAATATGGTTGTCAAGACAACATGTATAAATAAAAAAAAAAGACGTCCTCGGATAATGAAGACGGGCGCAGCCACTGTTATAGGTAATTCAATGTATATCTGATAGCAACGATTAACTATTGCTAACGAAAAAACGATTCTGAGCGGAATTCAGTTGATAGTGATGCTTTGTCAACAATATATTTATATATGTCATATTATGACAAAATAATTAAATAGCCATAATATATTATCTTTAATAATATTTGTTTAATAAACCGATTTTCCCATTTTCCTACGTTTTTTTCATGGTTTTTCTTGGTTTTTCGCAAGTTCTCTGGTAGAAAAGTTGTCAACAGAACAAAAAAAAAAAACAATGCCTTTGTAAAACCATAAACTTCTTTGCTCCACTCAGAATCTAAAAGTCAGACGCGTACTTCATACCGTGTGTGGGTCACTGTATAGTCGATGAGAAGTTTGAAAAGTACAGTAGAATAAAATCACAATTTAATGTATACATGTTAAAAGCAACGATAAATGATTGCAAAAAAAAAAAGCGATTTTGAGCGGAGTAGTTTACAAAACCGATACATTGATATTTATTTTCAATGTTTTAAACACTGTTTTAAATTTTGATGTTGATAATATAAATAAACTTAGCATAACAATATAGGATTCCGATTGGAAACCGTAACGATTTAGTGACATTTTTATCAAGAAACCTCCGAAAATAATGTATCTATGATTAATATAGCCATTGTAGGACACGACAGATTCCTTTCGTCCGTCACTGTTTTCATACGACGTGTGTCTACGTGCGCGCTAAGACGTAATTCGCAAAATAATACTGGAGCAGTATAAACGATGAGCAGTTGGCCCATAAAAAAATTCACTGCCGACGCGTCGCGACATGGAGTGTTACAGTCTGTGTGCTTTCGTAGTCGTCTGTTGACTGTATACACTATCCGAGTTTAATATTGTTATCATACACAGGCTTAGACGGTTGTGAGCCATAAATTATTACCATAACGGTCGTTTTTTTTTCACCGATTATTAAAAATGTAGTTTTATCGCCCGTCATGATACTACTCTCGTCTCTCTTAAGCGGTCGCTATAATAAATTATAAAAGTCTATAGAGGGCGTAGAGGTTTATTGGCTTTGATTTTATGGTTGATGTAATCACCTACCCTATATACCTATATAGTATATATCATGGGCGCCGTTTCAGTTTTTTATAAGGGGGCGCCACAGTTTAAAAGTTTCCTTTCCTCTCTACCAAGCGTCAGGTCAATTAATGTTGGAAAAAATTACCATCTATATTTTATTGAAGCATATTTTTTTCTCAAAATTGAACTGAACTATAAAATATGATACATATCTATAGCTGTATGTAATATATATATATATATAATGTATATAATATATTTATAATATTAAATTATAAAATTATAATATATAAAGTTTATAATATTTGATTAGTGTTGTAAAATCGAAAAACAAATTGATCAGACTCGAACAAAGCTGGGTAACACAGCTAGTATAAAATATATACTAAAATAAAATATACGTACTTTTAAAAAATACATTTTTTTTTTTTTTTTTTTTGAGTCGCGTTTTACATTTTGACTGTGATATTCCTGGTAATGAATTTTTAATTCGAAACCGGTCGTATAATACACTTGTGAAACTCCAGGCGACACATTCATTCATTCATTTATTTTATTTTTATATATACATTTTTTATTTATTCATGAGTATTAACTATTTAAATAATTTTGTTTTACTTTATTATTTTATTGTTTTTAAAAAAGAAATTGAATATTTAAACACGAGTGCTCGTATCGATTAACACGTATGGGCAAATTACGGATGCAAATCGTAAGAAGGTATACAGTGTGTTACTCATACCCTGTTCCCTTCCCGAATGGCGCCCTTGCTTGTACGTATTATGTTTTATGTACTGACATTATGTTTTCGGAATATTTGCAGGCAAAGACGTAACTCACAAAATGTACTCGCTCAACGAGCAGCTGGGCCAGGCGAAGAGTTTCGACGACCAATCGCGAGCGGCCCGTAACGACCATTGGCGGCAGGCCATCTATAGGAGCGTCAGCTACGACGCCGTCAACACGGGCACCAAAGGGACGGTCCGGTCGAACGTTTGGAAGCGGTACCGTGACCGGAAGCAACCGTCGCTGTTTACGGAGCCCCCCGACAGTGAGTGCACAATCAATAGGATATTAATCGCATATCAATAATGAAAAACGACCGGGCACACAGAGCGGTTAAAGTGTAATGTCGGACGCCGCATCATGCTTGTCGTAATCATGCGGGGCCGTACGTGTCGAGTGGGGCGCGAACAGTATTATTACCGTTTAGTAATCAGGACGTGAAAGAAAAAGTATAGAGGCGAAAGAAGAGATCTCCCGGAAGACCACTGTTAAAGTCCGGGAGGACTGCGTTCAAAGATACTGTAAAGCTGGTGGTGCCCGGCAGTCAGTGTAGGGAAATAGCAGAGGCTATATAGAGACCCTGGGGCACTGTGTTTACTAAGCGGAACCGGCCGTAACCGAAACAGGAAAACAGGTAGAATTGGACATGATACAGGCGATAAGTATATTTCCAGTAGTTTTTTCAGCAGTAAAATCCAAATTTATTTTAAACATATTTTTTTTTTTTTTTTACACGGATCGTGAGTTATTTATTAAATTTAGGTAATGTTTAATTTTTTAAGTACACAGATACAGTATAGTTGGATACACTAGAAACAAAATATATACATTTATCATTAAATTCATTACTCGCAGCTTCTGTTTGATTATACCGCTCGACTTGTAAGAATATATAGGTATTTATTATTAATGATACGTAAGGATTCTGTAGGAATGCACTAATCTACTTTTAAATAATATGCTCAAGAAATATGTATAAGTCAAATTCAATAACGAATACAGAAACGATTACGAATAATGATTTATTCAAAGGATATTGCAATTTTTATCACTCGATCGATAATAATGAAAATTTCGGCAAAACGAATAAGTATTCTGTATTTATTAATGTAGTTCTTAAACTGTAGGGAGTAAGGGGTCATTCATTCGGCGGGAAACGATTTATGTTCAAGGATTTTATACAGCATAATAATAAACAAATTAAAAAAACATATACGCAGTTGGGTTATCGAGAAAACCGTAAAAACACACACACAACGGCTTTTTAGAACTATATTTGTTGTGTACGGTTTTCTTAAATCTAATAAGATAAATCGTGATTGGAAAAATAAAAGATTTGCGAACACGGTCCGTCGACCAAATTCATCGAGTTCCTTTTTGTATACATGTACACATATTGTATAGAACCTACGTCCGTCAATTTCGATATTTATGTATTATATAAAATAATATACTTTGTGGTATTGTCGGTGCATGAATATCATTTCGAAAACCGCTTTTTCTACATATCACGACGATTAACGGCCGAAGAGAAAGTGGTCAGAGGATATTACGCAGAGAGATGTCTGAGGGTACGAGGAGATGTATGAAAAAAATGTTTACTTATTTGCTGTTACGTGATCCGGGGTTTCGCTCGGTTAGACAGACATCGCAACAACCCGATAAAACTAATCCAGACACTTGGAAAAACGAATTGGCAAAAAGAGAGAGAGAAACGCAATTTAAAAGTATCAGAACAGAGGGTTATTAGACGGTCAATCGGCTCGTTTCGTCGGAGGTCGGCGCCGTGTTTTGTGGCGTGCATGGCGCGAAGGGGCTCTAAAAGTAATGCGCGAGGGGGCGAGCGTTTGGAGAACATCGACGGCGCCAGAGATTAGACGGCGGCGAAAAGTAACGTTACGGGATTGTCGGCGGCGCACAACAGACCGGTAGACGGGGTGGGTGGTGTGCTTGGCGAGCACGGATTACAGAATACCTCCAAGACGTAGTAAATGTCGATGGCGAAACAGTGTGCGCACACGGTTTCGCCGAGTCTTGCTGTAGTTTTTCCGTACTAAACCCGTCGCGGTGTGCGTGTACTCAGGTCCGGTGCACGGGCCGCGGAAGTGTTGGATTCCGGTGATGAGCGCCCAGATGTCCAACAGCACTACGGCGTACGCGAGCATGGACGGGCACTCGCTGTCGGCGGCCACGGACGACGACGACGAACGGCAACCGATGCTGCCGACCGCGAACTCCGGCGACATACAGCTGTACCGGTTGGACAGCCGCCATCAGCCGCTGTCGGCGGCTACGGCCGCGGTGGCGTTGATACCGGTCATCGTGCCAGTGGTGTCGGCGGCCGGCGTGGTCGGCCTGCAGTTGAACGCGGCCGGCCAACCGGCCGCGCAGCAGCTCCGGCGTCCCGGTTCGCTGCGGCGGCACAACAGCGGCGCCAGCAACGGCGGCGGTTGCAGGGAAGTGAAATTCGACGAGACGGTACTGTGATCGTCGAACGCCCGTAATACGCAGGGCGTTCGACACCACTGTGATTTCCCCCCGTAATTTATTTGTTTTTGTTATTATTATTATTATTATCATCATTATTTTTTATCGCGCGGTATGATTATCCGGAAAAAAAAAAACAAAAACGCGTTCCGTTTAGTATACTTTAAAAAAACGCGAACAAATTAAGTATATATATATAAAAAAAAAAAAAAAATCCGGGACAGACACCGTGACAGTACTCTGTAAGTATATAATAATATAATATACACGCGCGCTCGCTCGTCTCGATCATCGTCACGTCTCCCGCGAGACCGTTTTGCATACGAAATTGAATTAAAAAAAAAAAGAAAAAAAAACCCCCGGTAATAATAATGTCCAATCTATATGCCGTTCTCATACGTCAAGACGTGCTCTCTCGTCTGTAACCCAACATAATGCAGGGTCATTCAAAATGATTCATCCGATTTAAAATGCTTACATGTATTTAAATTTTATACTTAGAACAATATTTTATACATTAAATTAAAGAAAAGTATGTCAAGTTTAATTAATTGTACTTATAAATGTCCCATGTGAGCTCCTTTGGTCACACGAATAACATCTAGTCGGTAGACAAATTCATTCCATACTTCTTGCAACATATCTTTTGTAATTGACTTCGCCGCCGTTGTTATTCGATTTTTCAATTCATCTAGGGTCGATGGCAATGGTGGTTAGGTTAGGTTATGTTATGACGGTTTACTTTACCACTCGAGTGGGAGGACGCTTCGTCACTGAAAACTAAGCGAGAAGCAAAATTTCCATCTTGCATAGCCTCTTGCATAAAAATGCTAAATTCAAGTCGTTTCAACTTATCACTGGGTTTTAAAGCCTGCAACAGTTTCAACCCGTATGGTTTCGTAGTTAAACGCCGTCTTAAAACACGCCGAACAGTTGTTTGTGGAATTTCTAGTTCTCGACTTGCGCGGTTTGTTGACTTACACGGACTGCGTTGAAAACTCTCTCTAGTTCTTTCCACATTAGCATCGGATACACGAGGTCGACCTGTGCTTTTTCCTTTGCACAAACACCCTGTTTCTTCAAACTGCTTATACCATCGACGTATGCTCTGAGCAGTCGGTGCATCGATCCCATAATGACGACGAAAATCGCGTTGCACAGTTATTATCGATTCACACTTCGAAAATCGCAACCGTCGAAATCAATTGATGACCTTCTAAAACTTGGGATTGCCCTCTATTAATTTCTACATAATTTGATAAAATTAAATTTATATTTAACCATTTTACAGCTATCTTAAATCGGATGAATCATTTTGAATAACCCCATATTGTGTGCACATACAGGACGATTTTCGACCGACTACCGAAACGACGACCGGCTCTAAAATAGTATACTGTATACCGTGTACACGCGGCGCTCGCAGTCGCGGGACCATAAGAAAAAAAATACAATTAACAATGTGCGGAAGTCAATCAAAAAACCTAATTAATAACGATATCGTCCCGCATTTTTTTTTTTTTTATACGAACTCTACACTCGAACATTAGGTACCCGGCCCATACCGTGGTTATTTATGCGCTCTCCTTAATGGCCCGTGTAATTCGCGCATTTCCATTCGGAACAATCAGCAGAGAAACCACCTTAAGGCGTAGAAAGTAGTACGGAAATATTGGCATCTCCGGCGGCGTGTTTTAGGAATATGTCACGAGAGTAGTGATTAAGATACGCGTTAGTATCCGAAGGAAAAAAATATAAAGAGTCAAAGCGAGGGTTCGTCCCCAATCGCACTCCCAACTTACATATATATTATCGTTAACACAAGCACTGCTCTGTTTATAATATTAATTCAACAAAACAACGTTTTGAGGATCATATAATAAATTAAAACGAGAGATTATTGTGCGGAGTAGACATAGCCACGGTGGCGAGACGAACATTTTTCAAGTTCTAATTTATTGCCTGACCTCCCCCAATATCCTTTTCACATATTTCTCGGGGTTGGGCGATTGCGTTTTTAGAGAAAATCGCCGTTCACAATGACACTGGGTATAACATTATATATTTATAATATCCGCATACACTAGCGCGCGACATTTTATTTTATTTTCATTAGACTTGGTCCTTTCTATGGAATTGTAATGTTTCGATAACACGGCAATAGAGGGAAATAGTAGAATAGCTACACGGTATCTATTAATTACTGGCAAATATATTATGACTGAACACTGTTGTCTACAGCCCGTGTGAATGCGTGACAAAATGCGTACAATTTGTGTTGTTAAGTATGGCCATATACTAATATAATAATGTACCGGTGTGCTACAATCTCCTTAAATCGTGAAATAATTTTACTATTCGTTTAATAAGGGGTTCATCGGGGTGTGATTGAAATCATTTTCACCTCCATCTTGCCGTAAATACGTCACTGATATTTTCATTTTGTCCTTCTCGGAATTTTTTATAAGTAGGTACCGTGACTGTAAATATATGTATGGAATCTGCCGGTTCCGTCCTTTCGTTCCCAAAGACAAACTTTAGACCATACACTGTTCGAATCGAAGAAGGGATCGAAAATAATAATCCCCGACGGAGAGATAAGAGCACATTTTTTTTATAATATAGTCATCTAAAATAAGGGTACTTATCGGCGCTTGGATTTTGTAAATCCGTCTTGACTATTTGAAACCGAGTGCATTGAGTAGGTTTCGAGTCGGTATTGAATACTTCAAATGAACGCGTTAAAGTTGTCAATTTGTATGAAATTCCAACATTTTTTTACACAATATTGTATACAAGCACAATCAGTAGTAATGCCTACTCGTCGGTAAATAATATTATTTTCGATCACGCGTACCCCGACGGTTATTTTAGAAAAATATATTATAATTGCGTGGACCGTAACTTCGCAGGTTGTAGCAATGAAAATATCAAACGTACACCCAGATGCACCCATCTAGTTAATAAATAAAATGACACAGATGGGGTGATGCCGCGTGGCGCGGTATAAAGCGATTTAAAAAGAAAAATGATGCGAAGGTAATTGGGGTCGATCGTCTTGCCTGGCTGTTTTTAACCGGAATTTCTACTCATACCATCTATTACCGATACCCTAATGTACCTAGTCGAATATAGCAGCATAATTTTTATTCATAGAGTTCACATTTTGTATTTTGAGTGAAGCGAGGGATCTATTGGTTTTACTATGATGTGTATATTTTTTTCTATCTATAAACAATTTTTCTTCTAGAAATCTTGCTCCAATCAAAACATGACAACAGGAACTTTTTTTGTTGAATTTAGATCATTTGTTTGAAATTCTCGTTAATATTCGAGATGATGAGGAAAAACCGGTTGTTCAGATTAAAAACGATCACAATTTTAAAAATAAAGTCGTCATTGGTAACCGTTTATATTTATTTTTTGTTATTATTAAGTTTTTATTATTTTAATTTTAATCTTTTTTAAGCAATCGTTGTTGTTGTGGAAACCCATTGTTTCTATTATTAATTGTTATTATTATTGTTATTATTGGTTTTAAAGAATTGTTTAAAGGAGTTTCACTGAGAATAGTTTTTCGTTAGAAATGGTTTATCGTATGGTTTACAGGTATAAATTAAATAGCTTTATGTATCCCACCTTCTCAACACCCACCTACAACAGTGGCCGTAACCGTCGCCAGTATTAGCTCTTTTTTTTGTTTTGTTTTACATTTCACTCGCAATATGTATAATTGAAAATAAATATTATTCGACACTAACAATCCAGATGGTTTTACGTGCCAAAACACAATGAACGAATAAAGGCTCGCCTGTCATCCCCTTTAGCTAGCAAATTGGACGTTCACGTGCATTATAATGATACGATACTATGTGTACATATATATTATATGTACACGAATAAAAAAGATTAAATATCATAATTGAGAATCGTCGAAATCCCTCGAGGATTACCGTTATGTGTTATATTTTACCGATTTTGCTATACACGCTCAAAATTGTAAAACGATCCTGCAGACGTATTATTTTATTATATTACGACGATTGACGATTGACAATGTATTCGTGGGATTTTTCGGTTGTTTAAAATCGTAGTTCATCGGATTGTAATAACTGTAATGTTATAATCTATTATCTCATCTGTACCATTATAATACATTGTCCGAGGCAAGGACGTAGTCAGAGGGGTCTGGACCCCCCTCCGAAATTTAAGCTTCTCACCAAAAAATCAGATTAGTGATAGTTATTGGTAAATTTCGTGTTTGAACACCCCCCCCCCAAAAAAAAAAAAAAAATCCCGGCTACGTGTCTGGTCTGAGGTGGACGCTAACAAGAACCGACGGGAAGTTAGTAGATACGATTAAAAATTCGCCGGCTTTTTTTTTTGTTTTTTTTTTTTATACCAGCTATTTTGCTAGTCGGCAAATCATGTAATAAATAATACTTTTTATTACGGTAGTTTTGCCGGCTTAAAATTAATAATAAATTTTAAAATTTAAATTTTCGTTAAATTTTCGAATCGGTGGTTCTAAAATTCAGACCGGTACCGAATCATTTACATTCCGAATAATTTCTACGCTATCCATTGTAGCCACCCCCGACTGTTATATCGTTTTCTTGTAAACGACCGTAAATTCTAATAAGTAAAAGTATACCGCTGCGGTCGGACGTTTGGTGGTTCGGTGTCGTTGGAAAAAAATAAATGACGATCAACCGAATTTGGATGGGCGAGAGCGCACCGAAAAAATATTATAATACGTATTACTTATGGATGTCTTGTAAAGCCGTTCGTTTAATTATTATTATGATTATTTAAAGTACTTGTAATATATTATTATGTCTGCCTGTCTCTGTTTAAAAATTAGATTTGTGATACATTTTTTATTTATTTATTTCTTTTTGCAACAAGCTCTGAATAATGTTTAAAATATTATTATTCACCGTGAAAATGTTTAATTTAACGTATCGTATAAATTTTTTATTTATTTATTTTTTTATTTTTTCTGCAACAAGCTCTGAATAATGTTTAAAATATTATTATTCACCGTGAAAGTGTGTAATTTAACGTATCGTGACTCGCATGGTCTTACGAACTTAAAAAAAATATCAAAACCCTAAGGGGCGTACTATAATGGCCAATAATGATCGCATTTATACTATTATACGCATTGCGCCCCGGTCAAATAAAAAAAAAAAAAAATAAATAACATTAGATTTCAAGCCAATGGATACAGTGCAATGTAGTGAGTAGGAACCGACGACGCACCGTCCAAATTTGTTGGAAAACCGAAATAAAATGTCGATGCGCCAATAGCTATTTACCTACAGCAAATGACTATAATAATCCCTAGAATATAATATACTAATAAAACCGCTAACTAAAAATGAAAATAAAAAATGTGACAATTCACTAACCTTATGTGTATTGGATACGGGCTTCGACGATTTTCGCTGACCGCCGGTGCTGGTCAACTTGACGGAAGAGTAGTGTCGCGACGGTGTATTACGTGACGTAATAGGTCATAATTTTATTCTATTATAGTTTTCTATGTTGACGCTTTTGCTGTAAAAATAAATAAAATAAAAAACGCCGATTGCGACCCCAGGGGGAAAACAGAAAAACACTATAGGCACGCGACTAATTTGAAATCCAGGCGTTCTGAAATAGTGCGATGAATGAGATCATGTGAAACTACTGAATTTACGTAAAAAAATATTGGTAAATTATCTCACGTTCGACTACGGTTTCCATCTAATGCGGATCGCCATAGAGTATCTGTTACGCGTCGTATACTCTATGGTTTATCATGGAAAAATAGATGGATATTTGTACTCATCTTCCAAGCCGAATATAGACCAACAAAAATTTCCATAAAAATGGATGGGAATGAAACTTGTGACATTACGTTACTTGTCCAGAACAACCCCGCGCTGTTGTAATTATTATTAAAGCTACGTACCTATAGGTAGGCAGGTATACGTATTGTTTTTATTCTTTATGAATTGATTGCCGATTACATGTTTTAGAAGAACGTTGCAACGTTGGTTTTATTTTTCGATAAACATAGGTCAGTACCACAAATAATAATATTAAAAAAGTTATTATTTTTATACAGTATTTTTAAGATTTTAAAAGTCAAACCACTCATTTCGAAGCGAGGGCATATCGACAAATCAACGCCAGTGCAAGTTCTCTTTTTTTTTTTTTCGATTGCAAAAATTTGATTTTTCAATTAAGTTTATAGCAGCTATACATAGCCAACCCCTTAAATACTATAGAGGCAGCACACTAGAGCACGTTCTAAAAACACATTACATCCTTTTTGTCTGCGAATTATTTTCTTGCCAAAAAACATACACCGCCATTGGTACTGCCATTGATTTTTTTTTTTTTTATTAACTTTTTGATTTATAAGTACGATGTATTTTTATACGGTCACGCAGCTGATAATATGTCATCCCGGACTATTCAAAACCATGTTCCTATATAAATATCGAATTCGTAGCCGGGCGTATTATATGCATGCCTACTGTTATAATATATACATAATATTTTAAATATTGTCTCGTTTCGAGATTTTCCGCCGGAAAATATAATATGTAAATATGTAATTATTGTTTACCGAGATTAATTATTAATTTTATACATTCATTTGAGGGGTAATATTTTGCAGCAGAAGCAGCATCGATATTATTATAACAAAAACCGTTAAACCGTTGATCTATATAATAAATAAATAATCAATTAATTACAATATATTTCGATTCGTAATTTTCAACCGTGTAAATTTATTACGATACGGGGTTGATATAATCGAACGATATTAGGATACTTTTTTGCGCAATCTAAAAAACCCGAAAAAATACCATACCCCGATAATATATTTTTATAAATTAATTGTTTAAAATCGATTCATACTAAATAAGAAAAAAAAAAATCCCCCCAAGGCGGGCATTGCTCCTTATGGTTTTTACAGGCGAAAATCACCGCCTTATTTCGATAGTTTACGCCTACGGATTCGAAAGTGTACATTTTGAAATAAATATTCTCAGTTACACAATATAATTTTATGCTCCGTCGGCACGCGTATTAAAATATAAATGCACAAACGTAGGTGTTTTTTTGTCTAGTTTTCGTAAAATATACAAACACCATTTTTTTGCATCATCAGTTAAATGTCGTACCATTTAATCCGTTGTTTTTTGATCAAATTATTTACGGTAAAAAAAAAAAAAAAAATGATTTTGAAATCGAAATTCGATCGCTTTGACCCTGTGGCTCGCAGTAGCTATAATATTACTATTATTGCATGTGATGTATTTTACAAAACGATTTTCTATTATCGAATAAATTATTTAAGACGACCCCCTAGATACTTTTTTATTATAATTATTTATAATGCACTTTATCATAAGTACCTATTTATAAATATATGCTATTCTGATTTAGTAATAAGTACCACCGGATGAAAAATCCGCATTTTTTAAAATACGGTGCGAAACAACTGAGTTAATTTTGCTAATCCAAAAAGTATTATCTGCAGACCAAAAAAATAAAAATAAATAATAAACATCTTGATAAAACTAATACTTTATTTGCTACATTCATAATCTAAAACATAAATCTGTTTGTGGTGAGGGGGTGGGAAGTCCCACACAACTTATGCTTAACAAATTGTTCAAAATAATTATAACTAATTATAGAACAAAATAATTATGATAACAGCACCGTTGGGTACAACAAAAAAGAAAAATTATTTTTATTTTTTTTTTCCAATGCTCATTAATACACGACTACCTATATTTTATAAAAGTGTGAAGATAATCAAAAAAAAAAAAAAAAAAAAACCCTGACGGAATTATAATGAATAATTTTATTAATTTAATACGTTTTATTGTATATTGTATAATAATAATAAATTTATATTAACAATAGATTAGTGAGAAAAAAAAACGCGCTGTTTCAACAGAACAATCAAAACAATCATAGATACTTATAATTAAGAGGACGCCACACCCGCAGCATATTCTACTGTCTCTGGTCTTACAAACGTATACACGACGTAGGTAGGCAATTTGCACGGACACATTTCGCGCTACAAGCCGGAAATTATGGACGGCGGGTTATAAAATGACGGCGATTTAAAATTTATCATTTATTCGTAATAAGGAAAACAATATAGTATTGGTGTACTTTAAGGAGAGAGTAATACAACTAAAAAGAAAAAAAGAGATCCGAAACTATATTTCGTGCTAATCTACTAATTTTTGTACTGAATTTGTTGACGTTGTAATATACAATGCTAGAGATTCGGAGGCCGAGGTGTTAGTCAAATTTTGGGACCCGCTTCTCTCTTGAAGAAATTTATCCAATCAATAATTATAAAAAAAAAAAAAAAAACAAAACACAACGGCTTACATAAATGTATTTACTCGTTCGATATTAGGTACTTGTATAATTATTCGAATACCTGAAATAATTATGGAATAAAAGTAGTTCAATAAAATTATTACCTAGACATTATAAACATATAAATTTGATCATTCGTTTACCGTTTATGTAAGACGCGAGACAGTAGATCCTTAATAATAAGTTTTACAATAATTTTAGGTATACGTAATACGTTTCGCACATTTTGTAAATCACGTCAACGCTCATAATTTATTACCTGCACCGGGTAGTATAGGTATAAATCATTATTATAATATTATAGGTATACGTTTTCCATTTTTCGAAATCTATTAGGACTTCGCGTTCACAACTCATAGGCAATCATTATTGAGACTATTTATAACTTACTATATATTATTATATTTTATTTTCGAGTGCACGTGTTTTTTTTTAAACAATTTTCTTTTTTATATAGGACACCTAATGTAATTGCACAAAAGATATCACAATAATATTACTCAAATCGTATAGGTACGTGAATGTACGCCTATACATTATTACAATCGCATCACGGTTGGAAAAAAATATTATTGCGTACGCGAAACACCGCCGCGTGTGTTCCGTGTTTTTGTTGTATTTTTTTTTGATAAAAATTGTATTCGTGTAAACGTTAATTTTAAATAGATTAAGTAGATAAGTAAACACAAAAATGAATAAATAAATAAATTGACGTCATTTTTAACGTCGACATTATTAATATTCTAATTGTTTATTTATGCGTTTTGCGCGCGCGTTTATATATAACGGATTTATAAGTAAAAAAAAAAAAATTTAAGATGTTATTTTTCTGAAAAAACAAAAAAAAGCAGCTTTTTATAATAATAAATATCGAAAGTTTTTGTACACGTTGTTTTATTAGATAATTATTGTTTACTACGGAAAATAGACGATTTGATGTGTTGTATTCGTTAAATGTGTTTGTTAGAGAATATGTATTATATTATATTACAATAATAATATACTACCGATGACAAAAATAAATGTTGTTTTGATGTACCTACCCACCTTGTTTCCCGTCGACATTAATACGAAACATTCACTATCTTTGTGTCGGAAAAACTGTAATAGGTAGTCTCGAAAAACCACGCAATTTCGCGTTTTCATCCCGTTAAATCGGCGTTTATAACTTGTCGCGACGTTTCGTGTGAAACTAGATTTATCCGGTTACCTATATAGATTTTTGTCATGATAACTGATGATTTTTTGAAATAATTGAACATAATAGGTATGCACTGATCGCACGATCATTGACCTGTACAGCCGCAAGTTGAATACGATATTCTACTCCCGGTGACGTCTAGGCAGATCGCTTAAAAAGTAGGTATCCATCACGATAATATGGGTGTCAATCATAAAACAGTATTGTAGACGACTCGACGAAAACAACAAATCGACAAATCTTGAATTATTTATAAGTGTGGTACGTTTATTTATTTTTATTATTTTGCTCTTTAAAACCGACTGTAGCGAAGGATCCGTGTTAAAATATTACTACTCTACTATGATGTATAATATAGGTACTGTCATCATTTATTTACACGGTATTAAAAGACAACATCCATCCATGGACAATTTGTAAGATGTTTTTTTTTTTTTTTTTTACTAGTTCCTATTTTCCTAGAACATGTTATTTTACATGGAAAATTATACAGAAAAAAAAATAAATATATTTGTGGTCTTTCATTGGTTTGTTCAACTAGGTATTAGGGAATAGCCAAATGTTAACTAGACCACACAGGAAAAATCATGACCAACACCTTAAAAAGCTCTACTCGAAATCATTTTCTGAATGTAATGATTTATTGTTGCTTTCAAACTAATTTACCTTATTTCTTATACCGCCAAAACCTGACCAACAACAATGAATAATGGTGTATCAATGGTACAAAGAATATGTGACATATGCATTTTAGGTTATTATTCAACTAATGAAAGTATAATAAAATATTTTATATCAGCGACATTTATTTACTATTAATCTCATCGAAAAAAAAATACAATTTTAGATTCTGAATATAATAAAGAATCTACTTATTTTTTTTTTTCAGAAGTCACTTTTACATTTAGGGTAAAGTTACCAACATAAATGCTTAGAATTTTGTAGGTCATACTCAAAGAGATTCAGATTTTTCATTTGATGGTACTTTAATACCTGATACATCGTGATAGCTGACATTTTTTTCATCTCTACATATCAATAAAGAAAGAAACTCAACTAATCACGTCTATTGTAAGCATAGACCATACCTATACCAAATACATTGAGAGCCATGTGACGGCCATAGAGTAATTACTTAAAGTAAAATTACTCTATGGTACCGACATGGCACAGTAATATATCTTGTCTATAAGAACAATGTCACCATAAAACCATGTGTACAGTATATTGAAAAATATTGTTCATTAACAATATAATATTTGAAATTAAATATTTATACATTTAATACTATAAATCAAATAAATCGTATAGGTTGTATGACTGACGGTTCTATCATGGCCAAGGAAAACTCCCTTCAATCTTTGTCCTACTGATAGAATACTTAGTATTTTAATTCTTAATAAATGGACATTTCATAATACACATTTTTCCATATCAATGCATTAATAAATTAATTTTTGAGAAAGCTCTCCTAACTCAAATAGCAAAATTTCAGTAAAAAATTTAAATACATAAAAATCTAACTGACCAGTATAAAAAGTAGGTACTAACTTATTAAATATGATGAAAAGCAACTTGGAAGAAAAGTACTAAAATACATTCTTTAAAAAGAGAATTGTATGAGTAATATTAATACCTTTTAAATAATATTTAAAATGTTGTAATGTTTTATACATTAAAACAAACACCATAATAGACATAAACAACATAAAATTGACATATTGTACCATTATATTCTGGAAAGTTACAATATTTTATTATTATATAATAATACTTAGTATAAATTGAATAGTTTAATGAAACTTCTAACTTAAAAAATATCATAATTAATACAAAATTAGTCTGTATTATGTGATAGAAATGTTGGCTATTTTTGACAATATTAATATTATAACTGATAAAACATATCTATATGTAATCATACATTTATTGGGAAATTAAATCCAACTCAAATTAATTTTCGGGGTAAACAACCTCCGTTATAAAAGTGAAATATAATAAACTAACTTGACAACTAAAATACGTAAATATATAACATTTAATTTGTTTAGTCACACACAAATACACACAAATTTGTATATTTATACTTAATAGTGTAATTGAAATTTTTATAAAATTGAATAAAATCTCTTAAGATTCTTTAGTGTAAACTAAAAAGTTGTAAGAGATCCATTAGAAGAGTTACTCGTCATTCAAGTGAGAATAGCTAACACAAATATTCACAAGTGTTTCCATTAAAACATATTTGTCATTGGCCTAGCCATAATTTCATATATTTTTTTTTTATAAAAAGTAATCTAAGGCCGTATAATTTGGAATTATTCTTAGGAATGTAAACAGAATTTTTTTTTAAAAATATAATCAATTATGTTTAAAAAAATTTCTAATAGAAATAGTAAAACATTTGAAAAAGAATCGAGACTTCCTGTAACTTTAAAGGTACGGCCTTGTAAATGTCTATCACCTTGATTTTTTTTTACAAATACATTGAAAGAAGTTTTCACACACAAAAAGAAGTTAATAGCAAAACCTAAAAAAAAAAAAAAAGTGGTTAGATATAAAGTATATATGTATATAAAAAAAAAAACTACATAATAAATAAAATATAAAATCATACAGTAACAAAGATAATTGCTGAAAATAGTGTGAATAATAAATAATTTTTGTATTGACAAGGTGTGACAGTAAAAATAAATTAACATGTTCGAGATAATAGTATAATTAAAACATAAACAATTTGCATATGATACATACACTGAAACCTCAACAAGTTTTTATTTCAAAACACAAAGGATTGTACTAACACAATATTTGTGTGATTGCAAGTCGAGTTCAAATTATAATATGTGAATTATATATTAATTAAGTTCACATATTTAAATAGAATAATATGGTATATCATGAAAAAAAAAATTAATATAATACTAAATTTGGTAGTTGACAAATAAAGGAAAATATTTGTTTCGTAAAACATAGTAGGTATAAACTGTAAAATTATTACAAGACAATTGTGTGTTTGCAAATAAATTAAAATATTCAATTATTTTTAATGTCATCAAAAAAGTGATTTTGTTTAATAACACAATGCAAATATTAAAAAATTACAGGATCAAATTTCATCAAGTTGAACTTAAGGTGCACATACATCACACATAAATAGAAAATTACTATAACATATGAAACAAAGAATTGCACCTATACTTAAAGTAAACAGTAAAGGGATCTATTATAATAAATTTATATAATTATTATAAGTTTTAATTTAAGAATATATTTATCGTTCACTTTTATAACAAACACTCAATTGTCAAGATATTAACTCTGGTGCAGCAATTATTTTTAATAATAATATTAAAATTCAAATTAATAAATAATACTCATGTACACATCAATTAACCAGTTATAACTTATAAGGAATAAGATTGATTATTTTAGATTTTCAATCCTAAGCTATAAGCAAAAGGTAACTTTATTGATAGATAATATTTAAAATTAAGATGAAATATAAAAAGTGATTATAAATTTTATTTGTCTTACTCAAATTCATTAGCTATAAATAAATTAAAAGAAATGTACAGCATTTTCTCATCTATATTTAATGTAACAAATATGTATGATTATTACACTACAAATAGAAATTACATAATATGCTTATGAAAGTTATTATTATTTTTAAATACTCATTTATTTCTAGGTTTAAGATTTAAAGCTATGTCTCAACATAAAAATTATATGATTTATTATCTAGAAAAACGAAGCTTAGAATAAAAATAAAAAAAAAAAATTAAAACATACTTTGTTTGAAATCAAATTCATTATACATAATATTGTAATGAAATTATACTATTATATAATGAAATCCAACTTAAAATTAAGGAGGCATATCAATTCATAAAAAAACTTTTATTCACTTTTTTTCCAACTCTAAAAATAATATATAATTTTTTCATTCTCATTATCAGTTGATTCATATTTTTATTTACCGCGTATTTATGACTGAGACCACCAATCAGGAGATTTGGAATTTCCATTGGAAGCAGTATTACCACTAGAATATGATCCACCATAATTACCACCACCACCACCATAAAATCCACCTCCTGTAACAATAATTAATTAATAAATGTAAATTTGATTAGGTTTATTACCAACGAAAAGCAAAATTCTATTATTTAAGCATTTTTCGCTGATAAAGCACCTGGGAAATATGGGTTGACTGAGTTACCATTGTTGCTGCCACCACCATAGTCTCTACGTGGTGGACCAGAACTACGCGATGGAGGCATGCTGCTCGTGGTACGATAATCTCGAGAACCAAAACCTGTGCCACCAAAACGACCGCTAAAAGAGAAAATAAAAATATTTAATACATTTTATTAGTATTAGATAATCGCAAAACAATTTACCCTTTTGATCCATTACTTCTTCTTCCACTGGACATTCGGCAATCACTAGCCATACTTTCTAACCATCCAGGCAATTCCTGCTTTGATTCAGTTATCAATTCCATAAGGTCTCTAGTTAAATTGCGGTTCTTATCATTGAAAAATGAAGTAGCCAAACCTTTAAAACATTAAATATATATAAAAGGATAGGCATACTTTGCACATGGGTGCAGTCACTGTTGTAGGTGGGAAGGTGGGAAGGTTACAGATGGGAATTTAATGTATATCTGTAAGCAAAGATAAACCATTGCTAACGAAAAAACGATTCTGAGCCGAGTTTAGTTAATAATGTTGCTTTGACAACAATACTATACATGGTATTAAGCCATATTATGGTAAAATGAATAAAATAATGTGCAATTCATGACAATGATTATTTAAAAAAAAAGAAAATCTAATTTTTATTTAACCTTTCAATCTTTTAAAACCTGAAGACCGAGGTTTTCCTCATTATCTAGAATATTAATGAGAATTTCAAAAAATGATTTCTCTAAAGTACCACCCAGAGAAAATTTCCTTTCAGAAATGGTTCTACACTTGACAATCAAAGTATGCTTATTGGTAGAAAGTGTTCACATAAAAAAAAAAAAAAATCATTGTAAAACTAATACATTCCTGGTTCCACTCAGAATCTAAAATTGTATTATGTATATACAAGTTTTGTTCTATTTTTTTTTTCTGATTTATACTATGTTTTACAACTGTTATTAGTGATTGATAACAAAACAAGACTATAAGTTAGAATACTTAGATAGTTGAATATTGATTAATTTTGTAACAACTTATGATATATGAAAGCAAACTAGGACTTACCCAAGTTTCCCATACGACCTGTACGTCCAATACGATGTACATACTCTTCAACATCTGATGGTAAATCATAATTTATCACATGTGTAACATGAGGTATATCCAAACCTCTTGCTGCAACAGCTGTGGCAACTAAAATAGGTGTATTTCCCGATCGGAAACTTTTTAAAGCATCTTCACGTTCTCGTTGTGTTCGATCACCATGGATAGAAGTTACTGGATAATTATGGGAGTACAAAAATTCTTCCAATGAGTCAGCACCTTTTTTTGTTTCAACGAACACCAATATCAAAGATTCAGCAGGTTCTGTGAGCATAAAAAAAAAAATTCAGAAATTAATAAAAATGAAACAAATAAACTCAAATATACTAACGTGATCTAATTGGAGTTGCATTTAGTAAATCTAATAGATAAGATCTTTTGTTTCTGTCTTCAACCCAAACAATTTTTTGTGTGATATTTTCAGATGTTGATCCAACTCTACCGATTGCTAAGAAAATATAATTGTCAAGAAAATCTCTGGCCAACATCTATCGAAAAAAACAAACAAAACAAACAAATTAATAAGAGTATAAAAACTTAAAATTGGAAATATTTTATTTACTTGGATTTCTTTAGGGAATGTAGCAGAGAACATAAGAGTTTGCCTGTCACCAGGAGGAGGCATAGAATCCTTTTCAACAATACGTCTGATTTGAGTTTCAAAACCCATATCCAACATTCTATCAGCTTCGTCCAAAACCAAATACCGACAGAAGTCTAACCCAATTTTTCCTCTCTCCAACATGTCAACTAAACGACCAGGAGTGGCAACTAATAAATGACATCCTTGTTCAAGATCACGAATTTGGTCCATAACATGTGAACCCCCATAACTAAAATCAACATATTGTAATCAATTATTTTATATACATAAATTTGATTCACTATTACTGACATTTGAGAATAAAATATGGAGTTGTGTGGATTTTATTGAAGAGGACAAATACAGATTGGAAGAGGGAAAATGGGGAGGAAGTCTAAAATTGAGAAAAGTGAAGCGACTATGAGACTATGAAAATAACAAAAACTATATTATTATTAAGCCAGGAAAGAAAATATACATATTTTAATTTATTAAATTAACTTACACAACACAGGGGCGCACTCTAGAACGATAAGCAAACTTTTTTGCTTCATCATAAATTTGAGTAGCTAATTCTCGGGTGGGAGCTAATATCAAACCAAGAGGATATTTACGTCTTGACTGAAGCTATATATCATAAATTAATATATATATATATACATATATTAAGAGCAAATTTTGTATTATAATTATTATTTTAATAAACTAACCTTAGGTCCCAAAGTATAGGCAATTGGCCCTTTTTCATAAATTTGATTAAGAATTGGAACCAGGAATGCAGCTGTTTTGCCTGACCCAGTTTGGGCACAGGCCATAACATCACGACGCCCAACAATAATTGGTATGGCGTACTTTTGTACAGGAGTAGGCGTATCATAGCGTGTCAAAGCAATGTTCATACGTATAATATCTGTCAGCTTAATGTCATCAAACTAATAAAATAAATTACTAATTTTCAAAATGTTGACATTTTACTACAATAATTTCAAAGAAAATTAATATTAATTCAATATAAATATCCAACTTACTGTATTAATGTGAGGGGGCACATCTTCACCAGTTGCTTCAACTGGGATGTCTTCATATTTATTGAAGTTAATACCTGTGCTACGATTTCCAAATAGTTCTTCTTCCATACGCTCATCAGCGGGAAGTGGTTTTGTCCAATCTTGATTAGCAGCATTTGATTCATCCCAACGACCTCTACGACCTTCTCCAGTTCTATAATTCAAATATTTAATTAAATATTTAAAAAAAAAAAAAAAAAACTTTTTTTTTTAACAAAAGTACTACAGACCTTCTTCCATCTCTTCCTCCTCCACCTTCTTGCCACCTACTGCCGCCACCTCCTCCACCACCGCCCTGATTGAAACGCGACCAATCGCCGCCTTCTCTATCATTGCGGTAATTGTTTCTATAACTACCTCCGCCTCGTCCGCCAGCATAACCGGAACTCGTAGATCCATTATAGGAAGAGCGATCTTCATACTCGTCTCTACGGCCCCCACGGCGATCATTTCCTAAACAATTTTTTTGTTATGAATGAAATTAAAACATGAATGCAAACATGGTTTTTATCATAAATTTAATTTAAATACAACTTTGGTTTAACAATTTAATATAAGAACCTGATGATTGCCGAGAAACATTAAAATCTCTTTCATTAACTCTGCATTCTGTAAAATATTAAAAATAAATGTTGTGATTATACCACAGAATTATTGTGATGTTTATTCTGTGATTTTATGTTAGAATACAGATAAGAATATAATATATAAAATTAGTACATTGCATAAATTTAAAAATGTATAATACTATTTTTTTTTTTAACTTAAACTTGCAATTACTATTATATTATTGTTAATAATTGCATTAAACTTTAACTGTAACAGTAAACATTAATTAATAAGTCATGGATGGACAAATTCAAATATTTAGTATTGTGTTTAGAAAAAAACACTTACAATTTAGATGAAAAATGACCTTATGTATAAAAAAGAAGGGAAAATATTTTAGTGCTATATATGTAGTGCTATATTGAAGTACTATATATATGCATATATATATATATATATATACACTATTTATATTCTACAACATTTATTGAATAATTATTCTTTAAAAATATAATTAGTAGGTACCCAACAGTTATTTTTTCAATATTTTGCTACTATATAAAATACTGAACATTCACATTCCAAAAATCATGACTATAATAATAGTCTAAACTATAAATATGTTGTTATTTAAATAATGGGGCTAATGGTAACACAGTTGGTTGCGTCAAGTTTAGCACCTGTTATTATCTATGCTAGAAACCAATTTATTACACTTTTCATCACTGGTTATTGCCTACAACTTTAAAGTTATATTAGTTAAACAACAATACTACGGCATCCTCATAAATGAGCTTTACTACTCAATGAAAGAATTTGAACTTGAAGGAGACAACAATTTTTTTTTTCAAATTATTATTAAATGTTAAATTTTTGAAGTCAAAACTATTTAAAACAATTTGGTCAAAATTCAATGAAAAAAAAATTATTTAAGGAGATATTAAGATATTTTTAGAATAGCCGCGTGACATAATTGGGTTGGGCTCGTAATAAGTGACTATCTTACACATGTAAAAGTTATTCATTTTACAAATGATTTATCAATTGTAATTTAAAAGTTTTATCACTATACAAATCTGTGATTTTTGTGTTAAAAATGATAGACGTAACAAAATTTCAACATACCATACAGTTTTTTTTTTAAAACTAAAAAAAAATACTAAGGGATATTTTTATTAAACACAAGTTGATTTATTTAATCTATGGCGAACAAACAATGGGATCTGTCACTATCTTATCTATCTAATATTATGAATTTCTATTTTTATAAACATAAATTAATAATGAAGCAGTGTGCTTGTTGTAGTTACAATGGTGAACATAACAAAAATTATTTTAGTAAAATTTTAAATATGACGAAAAAAAATTGAACACTTTAGAAAAATTCTGATTCCATTCGCATCTTCAGCGACACAATAAGACAAAACATATAAATAACAAAAATTGTACAATACTTTTGAAGACAGGTAAAGTATTTTAAGATAATATTGAATAATGTGAGTAAAAACATTAAATCCAAAGCATTTTTTCAATTTGAAAAAAAAAATATATATTTTTAGTTTGAAAACATTTAAAATGTAAAACATCTAGTAGAATATAATATCACAATGTATTTAAAAGTAATCTAGCTAGTAGTAAATTTAAAAATATTCTAATAATTGCACAAGTTACAAATTATTGTTTGATGGGGAACGAGGTGAATATACAAACAATTATGATAAACACTCAGATACCATCAAATTTTTTTTTTTTAATATTGGAAGATTTAATAATTTTTTACATATTATGTATATATAATATGTATTATGTTCATGAATAAATTTACTCAAAAATGAACACTACAAACTTCCGTATTTAATATATCACCTATCATTACTCTAACCTGTACCTTAACCTTTAATAAATGCGTGGGGGTTTAGTTGATCATCACAATTTTGAAGTTAAAGTTTTTTTAATATAATTTTTAGTAATGCATATAGTTTGTTTACATTTTCATTTTATTTTTTTATTGTTAAATTGTTATCCATATCATATGATAACCTATTTTATTTTTGAACTTAAAAATTTAACTTTTTATACATATTTTACAAATAGGGATCTGATAGACCCCCATGCAACTACAAATGTAAAAAAAATGCACATGCCTGTTTTAAGGTTATTTATTTACATGATAATATGTTTTTTTGTTTACAATATATTCATGTTACGGGGAAAGTAGGAGGTACTGTAATAGAATCCCCATTTTTTCCCACATTTGGGTAATGTCAAACTGATAATTTTAATACTTCCAATTTTCCCTATATTGGACCAGACATAGTACAAAAGTACCTGGGCAAAGTGAATTGAATACAGCGCACAATTATACCTATGCATAATAAGTAGACTATACCTACCAATATACTTTATTTGTTTGATACTACAACTATCAAAATAGATAACTAAATAATTTAGGAAAAAAATATACATGTTAAATAGTGAACCAACCATGAAAACAGTAGTCAATAATATGAACTGGTCCATAATCTCATTAATAAAGTGATCAAGGAGTAAATTTGCACATACACAATAATTGATATTGTTTATCAAATATTTCATAATCTATTTGATATTTTGGATTACTGTACATACAGCGTATTATTTTTCATTAGTTTAGTTGATGTTATTTCACAGAATTTAGTGCAAGGCTGAATCCACTCTTCATTAACAGGGGGCTAATTAAAAAAAGTTTGTAACTCAAAGTGCAATAACAGTGGTTCATATGATAAAATGTCCAACTTCTTACTTTACATGTAATAATATACATAAATGGAATATAGGGTATTTATTTATTATCTCAACCACAGGATATAAAAAAGTACAACTATACATAGTGAAGGTTGGCATGTATAAAAAACACAATTTAAGTGGGTAGGTATATTATTTTATTAAAATTGAATAATTTTCACCATTGTTTAATGAAATCAGTTGCCAGGACCTTTACCCCAATTTGTTTACTAAATAATAATAAAAAGTGTGTGTAATATTTTTGATAAAAATAAATGTATTTTAAAAAAATTGTATTTAATATTTTTGATTTTGGTCATAAGTCACCTGAACATCAGTTCGAAATGGTCACCCACAACAATATGAATTAATACTAATGGAAGTAATCCGTAAACTATTGTAATCATCACTTTTTATACTAATATTTCTAAAAGTACATGTAGGAATAATTGTATATTATACAATAAAGTACATGTAGGAATGTATGTATATTTTTTATTTGTTTTTACATACTTAATGTTTTTTCTCTGTGTGATTAGTGTTCACAAAATAATACACTATAACTATACAATTTAATATATATAATATATAATATTAAAACGACCTAAAGGTGAAAAAATTAAAATTAAATAGAGAACAAAGAAACTATGTTGTATGGTAAATTAGTGATATTAAACAAAATTATTTAAAAATAAATTTCTATAAAGAACTTATAAAAATATTACCTGGTTGTTCTACAAATTCAGAATGGTTTGGTCTATTCCTTAGATGTGGTGGAACGTATTTAGAAGGAGCCGAACTGGGCTGTGAATCGCCCTGCAAGTCCAGACCAGCAAACTGGAAAAATCAAACAATTACATTTGAATTAAATTAATCTCCAATAACAAGATGTGACATTTGCTGCATTTATAATATTTTATTGCAAAATAATGTTAACTGAGACAATGAATACTTTAACATCCTTTAACCTACTTGGGGAACAATACATAGTACCTACTGAGCTGAACAATTAATTGTCTTACCTGCTGCTCTAGACCTGATCCATTTTGATTGGGTACATTACTCATATTATTACAAATCGGCGACGATAAATACTTTACTGCACTTGCGAATGTAAATCAACAAAATGATCTCACGTAAATTATAACAGTGTAATGAAAAAAAAATGTTTTATGGCAAATGCCAATAATGGCCGACGAGATTGAAAGGAGACAGACAGCTGATAACCTTGAATGCGAAGATACCAGACCAGTGGTTGATACCGAAGCGCAGTTTCAATTTATTTCAAAATTCACAAACTTTTAAATTATTATTAATACTGAAATTAATTATTTAAATCATATTTTAAATTTATGTTATTTAAAATTTCGATTATCTTGCGGAACATTCCTAAAAATTAGTCGCTATTTCCAAACATTCAAAATTGGCTACACTGCTTACTGCTTAAGTGGTTTCACTTACTTAACCTGACAATACGAAGTAAACCTACATCGTCGTCTGCACTGATGACTGATTACAATGTTGTTTTTTGATTTCGTGTTCTTTCTCATGTGAACATTAAACATTGATCAGTTTCTTTGGTAGACATTTACAAAACGTAAGTATTAATTTTTATCCATATTTATCTGATTAATCCTTTTTTTAATACAAATATCCATGATCAATAAATTTCTCCAAATTCCATTAACGATATAAGTAATTTATTTGTGTCGCAGATAATATTAGTCTGAAACTCTGAAACTACCGGTGTTTGAGTCTTAATTTTAAGTTTTTCTTAGGTTGTGGGTTAAGTGTACTCGGATATAATAAGAATGCTTGAACGCAAATCAAATTTTTTCGTGCGTTATTTCTTTAGATTTGCTATATATTCTTAACAAGTGAATATTATTAAACGAATATAATTTTGTTCCTGCATCACTTGTCTGCTGTTTAAATTATGTTTATACGTTTTATCTACATACATAATTATTGATCATGATATTTGTATTTTAGGTATTACAATGGGTAGGGTTATTCGTGCTCAGAGGAAAGGTGCGGGAAGTGTTTTCCGTTCTCATACTAAACATCGCAAAGGTGCCCCAAAACTCAGAAACTTGGACTACTCTGAAAAATATGGTTACATAAAAGGAGTTGTTAAGGTAAATATCATTCGATGTATGACTTTAATTACTACCTAAATATATTAAACATCTATTTTTTTTTTTTTCATACTTAAATTACAATTATCTTTTGTACTACTTTATTTCAGTTGTTAATCAGTGAAGTTTATATTATTTTACCAGAATATCATATTTAATATAATTTAACATTGTTTATTTACTCTTCTATGAACATTTTATTTAACTTCCAGGATATTATTCACGATCCAGGTCGTGGAGCTCCTTTAGCTGTTGTTCATTTTAGAGACCCATACAAATATAAGACCAGAAAAGAATTATTTATTGCACCTGAAGGTGTATATACTGGCCAATTTTTGTACTGTGGAAAGAAAGGTATGTCATTAATCATGATTAATTAATTCATTTTTTTTTAAATTTTCAGATTAAAAATATCTTTATTATATTTTAAAATTATTTTACTTTTTTTAGCCAAATTGAACATTGGTAATGTTATGCCTATTGGTGTAATGCCTGAAGGTACTATTATCTGTAATCTGGAAGAGAAAACTGGTGATCGTGGTCGTTTGGCTCGTGCTTCTGGTAATTATGCTACTGTTGTTGCTCACAATCCAGACTCAAAAAAAACTAGGGTAAAGTTACCATCAGGTGCAAAGAAAGTAATTCCATCAAACAACCGTGCCATGGTTGGTAAGTATTATTACATTTTTATGACCTATCTAACATGTATTCGATTTAATTTGTGCAAGTTAAGAATTTCTCAAATATTTAATTTCTACAATACTATACACTTTCAATAACAGTCTATGTTGGTTTTAAAATCAAGTTAAAAAATTCTTTTAAAACCTAATATATGAAATTGAGTCTTGTTATATTTCAAAATTACTAATTAAATTGCTTTTTTTAAAAAGCATTAATATATATGTATTTTTATCAATTATTTTTTAGATTAATGAGTGAATTACAGATTCTATTGGTTTTAATATGATTTTTTTTCTGTTTGAATCACTTCTACCAGAAACTTTCCTCTAACCATTGGCTTGTGTATTACTTTTTCTCAAAATAAATTTTCTTTAGTAGGATTATTGAGAAAGTATCTTTCTGATTTTTCTGTAGGTTTTTATAATGGTTGGGAAAATATTTCGATTTTATTTTTGTATTATAATTCTGTTTTGGAAAAATTAAATAAAGATTTTTATTCAGTTCTATGCAGAGAAAATTTTTTTGGTCTAACGAAAGAGCTTGAAAATTATAAATAGATCAATTTTATATATTTTTACAACGGTTTATAAACATTGTAAAAAAATTGTTATGGCAATTAAAAACATTTAATCTAAATTTTTCCCTCTGAATAGTTTTTCATTAACAAATATATTTGCTTTATAATGTATTACTTTCCCAACATACCATATGGCGGTTTTGGTTCTTTTATTATTTATTAATGAAAGTTAATTGTGACTTATGGCTAAAAATAAATATTATTTATTTTAATTCAAATAGTATTCAATTTTTAATTATTTAAAATATCTAAGTAAAGATAACAATAACATTCTCTAATGGTATTGATGTATTATAGTTAATAAAAATCTATGATGTTTAAGACATTTGAAACCTGATATATTATCAATGAAGTAATAATATTATATCTGAGATTTTATTACCTATAGTAATCATGATAATAAACAAGTTAAAACAATTTTTAGATTCTGAGCATTAGCGAGAAATGTATATTGGTTTATTATCTTAATAAACAAGTTTAACTGTTCAAGCAATTGAAAGGTTGACTGAAACAACCGGTTATGTCCACTAACAGAAATTACTTTTTAAATCTTGGTATTACAAAATGTTTAAGCCCTTAAACACACAGTATTGTTATTTTAGATGGTCCTATGTTATTTTTAATCATTAAATATTAAACATGTCCCCGTTTTTGACCATTATATTTACTTTTATTTACATTTTTAGGAAAAACATTCATTAATAATAAAGTTGAATATTGTATTTTTACACATTTTCTAGACATTTTTCTAAAACTTATATGTAACTTATATTGCATCTAAATATCCTATATTTTTATAAATATTTGTATGATGTATATCATATCCTTTTCTTGGTAATTATTTTAATTAAGTATGATTTGTAGTTATTAGACACTAGTTATTTAAATACCAAACCTACATTAATAGATTGTATATTATCAAACAAAACAGATAAGTTCAATACAGTACTATTATCCTAAAAGAAAAATTAAAAAAATCTATTATTTATATAGACTCAAAGATAATTTTCTCCTTTATATTTAAATGTGAAAAATTGATTTTGTTTAAAAGATGGACTTATCCATTTGTTGTAGTTGACCGTTCAATTTTTCGTAATGAATTTATGATGAAAGTTATATAGACATTTGAAACCTGATTATTTAAATGAATTAATATATTAACTGAGATTCAAATAAATATAATTTTATCGGAAACTAGCATTATTAAAAATTAATAAATATTTACTTCATTAAAACTATTAAATGACTGAATTTTAAAGGTTTGGTATCCGGTGGTGGTCGTATTGACAAGCCTATGTTGAAGGCTGGACGTGCATACCACAAATATAAGGCCAAGCGTAACTGCTGGCCTAAGGTTCGTGGTGTTGCTATGAACCCTGTGGAGCATCCTCATGGTGGTGGTAACCATCAACATATTGGTAAAGCATCGACAGTCAAGAGAGGAACCAGTGCCGGAAGAAAGGTAAATTATTATTTAACTATAATTTTAACCTACAGTACTCTAATTTTTCTTTTTAAAATTTTAGGTCGGTCTCATTGCTGCCAGGAGAACGGGTAGGATTCGTGGTGGTAAAGTGGTCACTAAGAAGGGTGATGATTAATCTGAGTATTGTCGTGTTTGTATTTAATTTTACAAATAAAAAAAAAAAATCCAACAAATTGATTATTGTTTTTTTGTCTAACTAGTATTTCTTTCCTAAATTGGTATCTTAATAAATATTTGAAATAAGTTTATATAAATACAAGAATAACTTTAATTGTGTATGTGAAAATACTATTGGCATTATTGGACTTCGAAGTAAGAACACTTAAATATTGCAAAATGCCATAAAAATAAATGATAATTATTATCAGTTCCAAAGTTTTTAACTGTCTTAAAATTTTATTAGTACATTACTTCAATAATAATTATGAAAAGGTATGTATATAATGGTGTGTGTATATTATATTTGTATAAAATTTAAAGTAAATTTTGAACTATTACTATGATTTGGTATATTTAGTATTGCCCAATATATCATTTTTGAAGTATTTTGTTTTGCTAAAAGATTTTTAAAAGTGTAATGTAAATTTTTCTGATCTGATCAATTTTTATACTGATGCTGTTTATAATTATTGTTTTATTACTATAAATAATATTAAATATAATGAATAGTCATTTTTGACTTGTGATTATTTTGTCTAATATAATATTTTATTTGGGTTAATATACATGTTTACAAAAGAACTTAAAAGTTTTATAGATATTTTCATTGACTACTCTGTTGTTATAGTAACATTTTTTACTTCAATTTGATACCATGGCAACAGAACAACTTGTGAATTATGAGTTATCAATAGTATTGGCAGAAATAGTTGGAAAAAATATTCAGAATACTCATTGAATATAGAATAGTATACTAAAATGGATTTCATTGATATGAAAAAATTAAGTGAAATACTTTCACCACCAAAGGATGATTCTTCAGACAGTGAAAGTGATCTTCCAAAAACTTCTTTAATACAACTTTGTAAGTCTAATATTATTATTAGATATTATGGAACTGTTAAGTGGATTAATACTAATATAAACCTAAAGTTTTTTAGAAATAAAAATAGTAATTTATTTTTTCTTGATTATCAATTAAATACTAAATACACTAATAACTGGGTTTTGATTATCATATTAAAAAATTGAAATGTTGACACTTATACATATTTATACAGTAGTGTGTCTTAAAAATTTGTGGATTCCCTATCAAAATTATTACCTCTGTCAATAGTTTTCTTAGTAAAAATGTTTGTTCTATCCAATTGTCTATTCATCACTAAATTTGAATGATATTATTAGTTAAATAATATATAATAGTATTTAATGACTATTTTGCGCTATAATATCAATTGTGAGTGAAAAAAGATGCCTATGTAAAATTGTTACAAGGCACTGGTATTATAAAAAATTGTAAAAGAATGATAGATGGTCAAAAAACTTCTGATAGTGTTCGATCTGTAATATTTATATCAAGTTTTTAAATATTTTAAGTGCTCAAAAATAGAAATAAATATTAAAAAGTTATTTTTTTAGAAATGTATTTAAGACAATTGGTATGAGGTACAGGAAAAAGAACTTCATGTTCATAATTAACTTAAATAATGTATGCCTAACAAAACATTAATCAATTTTAAATAGATACAATTTGAATATTTAAAATAATGGACAATACCTATGAAAAAGTTATTTAATTGGTTTGTATTTAAAATAGTATTAAAATTATTAACATTATTTTTGGTTTTAATAATATAATATTATTATCATAGGTATGATTACTAAGTACTTGTTTGAATTTATTTTTAGTAAAAATATTTCTTAATTAATAATTATATACCTACCTAATTCATATTTTGTGGTTTGGGATTAAATTTATTATTGGCTGTTAGTACCTAATATCTTCCTACTAATCTATGGTTTAATAACATTTAATAATTTAAACAGGCAAGTCAAAGACAGGAAAAGATACAAAGATTGTATCAAAAGAAACCATAAAAAACGAAAAAAAATGTGAGAAAATTGAAGTGATACAGTCAGAAGAAGAGAAAGCTAAGAACATATGGCTAGAAGAAGAAGTTGTAGCAGCCCCAATAGCAATTGATGTCGTTTCAGACACTAGAACTAGACCGGATTACAATGTCAAGTATCAGCAGTATGTCGGAACGGAAGACGTTTTTTTGCAAGTAAATATAATTTTAGATATTGATCAAAGTGAGGAATGTATTGATTTTACAATGATGTTTTATTTTTATTTTTTATACTGTGTATGAAATATCTGCTAATACACTTGTTCTAATGAAAAAAGATCTCGGCATTTTGTGTCAAATTTTGGATTTTCTAGTTGGTGACAAAGAAACCATTTTTTTAATTTTCCAAGTGGTTTTCATAATAATATTGAACAACTGAAAAAGATAAAACATACACACTAACAAATTTACAGCAGTAACATTTTTTCATGTTATATTTTTACAATCAGGAAAGGAGTAGCTTGTCTGGCTTATAAGTGACCCAAAATGTTCAAAATTAAAAATAGTTTGATAATTAAAATATTTTTACAGGATAAGAAACTGATATTTTGGATTTATTGATAGCGTCATCATAATAAATGCATATTATATTGAATGATGTACCTATTTGCATTTTTATAGAATTTCATAGATGATATTCTGATAGGTACTCAGTGGCAATTTTAGGTTTTTGTCTGGAGGGGTGGGGGTAATATTTAACAGTAATCACCAATTTGAGGTGAGCTCTATCCATCTCAATCTTTAATAAGTAGCCTTAGATTATAATAAATGAATAACTTATTAGCATCATAAATACAAATTATATTGCCAAAATTATAACATAATATATAACATGTTACTTAAGATAAAATGTTCTACTAAAACAAAATTAAATACCCATGAGAAATAAAATACCCAATTATTTTTTATTCTTGTTTAGAAAATAAGGAGTTGTAAAAATAACTGTACATATTTTAACAAACAAATGAATTGTATGCCTAACAACAAGGTAATATTAAATTTTTTAATAGTTATTTTTATATTACAAAATTTAATTTTCTAGATTTTGTTGCTAAATCAAAGATAATTTCTTCAACTGATTAATTTATGTTTTGATGAATTAATAACAGTGTTTTAATAAATAATGGATGTTTAAATATATATCATTACAATTGTCTTCTTGACTTGTCTTGAGTTTCTAAACCATTTTTAGTTAACAAGTCACTAGTCATTTAAATTTTCACATCTTTAGTTCAGCAATAATATTGTGTTTGTTAATTGTGAGGGAATTTAAAAAAAGCCAAATGTTAAATTTCCTTTCTGTCTTCATCAGAACATATTACAAAAATCATATTATTTTATTTAAAACTTTTAATTTAATGGATAATATTTAGTAACAAGATAGTACCTTATTATGATAATGAACTTAATGTTAAAATATCTTTTACATACCTATGAAAACTTTTTTATGGTTTATAAAAGGATCATTAACTTCAAATATAAAATTGTCTAAGAAAAGTAAAAATAAGTAATTATGGTCAGTGAACAATCGATGATTATTGTTAGTGCCGATTTCATGTGACCACTGACCAGAGATACTAATTACCTATGAAATATACAAGTAATACCTTAATTCTTGCCAATGACAGAGCACATAGGGGGATTGATTGTTCCCTGTAAATATACCATTCTAGATATTAACTATTAATATATTTTTGTTATAGAATCTGATACTGATAATTAAAGCAGAGAAGTTATAGGAAGTAAAATTGGAAAAATATGCATTTAAACCATTAGATATGCAAAAAATATTCACTAAAGAATTTATATTTTAGAAAAATTATCTATCATTCCGAAAATTTCCAATTATTACATTTGCAATATATCTTTTATATCTGTTGTTTTATCTATAGAAACCCATATTTTATTTCCAATAACGTCTTTTCTAATTTGATCCATAGTTTCTAAATAGCAATAATTTGTATACATTTTTCTCAATTGACTAGGAATGTCAAAAGTGTAATTTTCAAGAAACAATTGGAGTTGAACATTAGACATTTTCTGTAAAAGAATGTTTTGCACACATCATAACCTTACATAAATCATGTGAAAAACAGATTTTTTTGTTTGACAGTTGTGATTGTTGTTTATTTTCTGCAGGTACCTACAGTAGCTTACATACATATAATATACATTAGCACAGTACATATATAATACCATAAAGTTTTTAATAAATCAAAAATAATGTAATTTTTCTCTCAAAAATGTGTGAATATTTTGAATATTATTTAGAATATGCACAAAATAACAAAATATGCCTTTTTGTTTAAAATTGTCAAAATATGCAAAACAAAATTTTATATTACACTTTTGGTGCTTGCGATATATTTATAACTTGGTTTTCTATGAAATAGAGGCTCAGAAAAAAACATGCAAATCCTATAACTTCCTCGCCTTACTGATAATTGACCAATCGGTACTATTTTGTATTTCTAAAAGCTTTTCTTCATCGATTATGCAATATTAAAAGACTAGGTATTTATTATTTTGTGTGCAGTATAGGCATTTTTAAATTCTAAACCATTCTGACTATTGAAATTATCTTATAGTAATTATTTGGCTGAATGAAAGTCTCTTATAAAAAAAAATTGTGTGGTGGATATTATAGAAAAGATGTTAATGATGTTAATTCAAGTTTCTACAACTGTGTTATACTTCTCTAAATCAAAATCAATACTATTATCCAAGCTCTGCTCATAATCGTTTTTTGTGAGCAATGAAGTCATGCATATAGATATATATTAAATTCCACTCCATATCCTACGTTACTAGCTTCACATCTATAAAAGTGGCTTATCCAATGTGTGAAGAAGGTCCGTTTTTTAAAATGAAGTAACAATATTTCTAATAATATTTAACAAACAATTTTTTTAATTTAATAATATCCATTCAGTATGAATATTAAGCCAGGATTAATTGGGGGTCTAAGGAGGGTCATGGCGGAGGTATGGCGGTCAAGGAGGTATGATCTATATATATATGTCTATATTATTTATTTATTTTTTTTGTTAAAACGTATTGATTAGTTAACATTTTAAAAAAATGTATGTTATTAGTCTTTCAAAAAGAGCCTCATTGAAAAATTAGGCCGAGCGACCTCTTAATCCCGACTAGCAAAATAACTCTTACTTATTGATTATTTTTTGAGTAAGTTGTTATACTCGTGTACCTAAATATTATTTATTTAATAATGAATGACATTTTGAATCATAACGATACTTTAATAACACTGATGATTTTTTTGCATTTACACCTACCTACATAAACATCTATTATTGTTAGAATATTTATCAATTTATGAAATTACCTATTAATATAAGTAGGTACAATCTGGGGGATTAGGTGAGAAAGTGGATTAAGTGGAAATTTGGAACGAGTGTGGCTGACCCAAATAGTTTGGATGAAAACGACTGAGAAAAAAAATACCTATTTAGTTTATTATAATTAGTAATTAAATAATAATATAATAATATAATAATAATTAAAATTATTATAATTATAGTTTAATTATAAATACCTATTTATAATTTGATGATTAACAATGTGAAATTCGGCTTGAAATTATAATTATTTCCAAAATCATAGTCAACGTCTTTCAGTAGCAATAGGATTTTTTTACATCCAAAACATTAACCAAATATTTGAATAATGTTTTGTTTATTTATGTTTATCCATTTTAACAGCACATTTTTGTAAATTGTAACCGATGTCAGTGTTATTTAACTTGAAATTAGGTAGTTTATACATAAACGTTAGAAATTATCAATAGGAATCACAAAAGTTTCTCAAATGCAAAACACTGATTTCAATATTTAAATGTGTTTTTAAATGACTGCACTCTATCGTTCTTATCTTAACAATACCCACTTGTATATTTTATTTAACCCTCATAAGTGGTAAAAATGTTTGACGTGGGCAGTTAATTTAATTTTTATGTTGTAAGTGATATTCACTGTAGGTTGGTATGAGTAAACACTAACCAAATTGTATTATAAATGTTTAGCTATATTCAGATTCTCATACGGATTTAAAATTTCTCAAGTCGAGAATTAATTTTAAAAACTAAATTCGTATAAATGGAAAAAAAAGTTTTTCTGGGAACCCAGACACAATTGTTAAACGTACAAGTTTTTTTCTTCAGATGGGCCCAAAGACGCCGTTGACGTCCAGTTGCGAGGCAATGATCATAGAAGTGAAAATGCCGGGTGACCGCATGCCGGGTATTTGCACGGACGTTACGGACGATTCGGTGGACGTGCGCAGTCCCAAGTACAGGTTACACGTGCCATTTCCGCACAACGTGCACAAACAAGTGTCAAAGGCTCAGTGGAACTCGTCGACCGAAACACTTACTATCACCGTGTTCCTGAAACGCGAATTTGACGCTATAAATTTTTGACTCATTTGTATCTATGTATAAGCGAATTTTTGGCGTGTTGACTGTATTTCCTTTTATTGTATTTTACATTCCTACACACTGATTCGAATTAAATATTTTCTGTGTTTAAATATATTTGTATGCACTTCATATTATTACATCAGTGTCGTGGCTAAGAGTCTTTAGTCTCCTTCCCATTGACAGTGTTAAAATACCAAAACTATTATAAACTATTCAGTATAGAAAACTTATTACTCATAAACTAGTAACGATAAAGTATATGTTAATATAATCATTATCAACCATAAATACAAATAATTATACTATCTACACAATTATTGACTTGGAAAAATAACCTCAATAAAGTAGTATTTATGGTTTACATAATAATTGATTAAAAGATTAAAAACCCCTAACTAACGTTTTCATAATTGAATTGTTATCTTAAAGCAATTTTAAAATTAAAATAAACCTATTATCTTGTGGAAAATCAGAAAAAAAATCTGGAGGATGATGCATATAGATTATTAATACAGAGTGATACAATACACAATATTAATTATTTGGAAGTCCCGTTGAATTGAGTGTCATCAAAATACAATTTATTTATTTTTTACAATGTCTTCCGAAAAAAAACAATTGAAATCCTTGCCCATATCACTCCACAGTCCTTAGAAATAAGATTACCTATTTCAACGGATCAATTGCAATCGTAAACCCATTTGCATCTAATCACATCACATCTTGTATAATAGTTATTCTATCAATATTTACACAGCAACTTCTACTATTATAACCGAAAACAGATTTTACTATATTTAGAGATTTTTCGTATTAGCCAACCACGTATAAACCTAGAAAACAATATTGAGAAAAATACAATCAAGCCCATAATTTTAAATTCTACGCATTTTGTCATTTTACTCTAACCCAATCCGAAATTCGAAATTGTTTTAGATTTTGAACGGAGCGAGGAATGTAATGGGTTTACAGTGATGTTTAATATTATTATTATTATTTTTTTTATGAACACTTTATACCAGAAAGTTTACTCCGATTATCAAGTATTCCACATTTTCTGAAAATAAATATTCTCTAGGTTGTAATTTAAACAGATCATTTTTTGAAACTCATTAATATTCGAGACAATAAGAAAAACTTGGATCTAAGGGTTAAAAAAAGATTGAAAGATTAAAAATAAGGTTGTCAGTGACAACCGTTTTATTTATTTTAGATTTTAAGTGTAGGGAAGAACCTAATGGTCTTATAAAGATGTTTATTTATTTTTTTTTTATCTGCGCAACTTTTCTATCAGAAGACTTGCTCGGATTTCTATGTGTAGCACCTTTTCTGAAAGGAAATCGGCGTGGGGAGATACTTTAAGTAGGTCATTTTTCAATTTTCTCAAGAGATTCTTCATCGAATGCAAAAACTCCCCCCCCCAAAAAAAAGAGGAAATTTACGATTTTTTTTTCTGTGAACACTTTCTACCGGAAATTTTGCTCCAACTTTTAATGTTAGCAATGTTTCTAAAAGAAAATTTCACTAGCGAGGTACTTTGATGAGGTCAGTTTTTGATTTTTTCTAAGAGTTTTCCCAGCAAATGTGAATATATTGTTAACAGAGCATCACTATCAGCTGAACTCTACTCATAATAATTTTTTCGTTATCAATGGTTTATCGTTGCTTATATTAAATATATATTAAATTACCTTTGTGGAATTACAAGGTTATGCAGTTGGTTTTATAGATTATTGCCTATTAGTTGAAAAATCTGACAATTTTAAGTTTTTCAAATTCATACTTATTACTTATTTCTTAATAGTAATATGGAGAAACTATTACCAACATAGTACTAGTTCGCTATGTTTTATGGTGAACATATTTTGGTTTCTTAACTAATCCACGCACCTTAATTTAATACGGAAGGTAGCGTGTCTTCTTAAACCCACACATTTTATAAATATTTTGAAGTGGTTAAATAATAAATATTTTACCAATAATATTGTATTAACATTTTATTTTTATGATGAAAAAATATTTTCTAAATATTTATATAATGGTTCTTAAGAAAATATAAAAATTAAACGTTTTAGAAATATAAGATTAAAATGTTTGATAAATCTTGTTTTAAAATATTTTTCAAACACGTATTTTTTGGGCGAAAAATATTTCGATAAAATTTACACCATTATTTAACAATAATCGAAAATATTTTGACAACTATAAAATTTTCTTAAAAACATTCTGTTCATATTATGGAAATATTTTTTTGCTGCGTGGGAACATATTGATATATTAATTTATTGCAAAGCAATTTGCAGTCTCTCTATTTTTTTTTTTTTTGTAAATAAACTCTGGCCTTGACAATTGGATCAAATCATATTATTATTATTATTTTGTGGTACAAGTCGATACGCGGGTAATAATCGTAATAAAACAATCGTGGTAAATCGTATCATTTATTATAAGCTACGCTGGTCAAATGATGCAATTCAAATATCTTATAATTAATAACGGTATTACCGCGGTTCGGCCGTGTAGGTCCACTATTCGTAATATAATTGGATTGTTGAAATACATTTATTGTTTATGACTATCTATATCGTCTTTTTTAGGGTTTTTTTTTACCGTGTATAGGGTTATTATCGCCTATCTTAGACGGTTGTTCGTATTTTTTATACTGCCTTACCTGTTATTGTGGTTTGCAGTGTACGACGATAATAGTAGGTACAGGTACATTTTAGATTCTCAGCGTATAACGAGGGATGTACTTGTATTGGATTTGCTATGATTTGTGTGGTTTTTTTTCTGTATAAGAACCTATCTGTAGACAATTTTTCGACCGGAATATACATATAACATAAATACGGTTGTTGATTTGGTTGAAAACATGTTATATAAATCGTAACATTATTGTTATCATTATTAATTTAAATATGAGTATTATATTATATAAGTTCATATTAGCCAATATTTAAAGAAACAGTTGCCACTGCAACCATGGCCACTGCTACATTGGGCCAGGACGAGTTCAAAATGGGACAAAAATATTTTTTGGGGCATTTCCCTTGATTCGGGCTTATAATATAAATTTTAGAAGTAGGTATTTAAAAATCAAAATCAAAAATTACTCACTTATTAGCTATTGATTCAATTTGTGTTTTTTTAATACAATCTATACACATTTAAATAAATAAAAATGTTTGTCTATCTAGCTGTTTGTCCGAGCTTATCTCTGAAGCGATTGAACCAATTTCTATGGGACTTTCATGGTAAGACAGAGTATTTTCCCAAGCATAATATAAATTCTTTTCTATTTTACATTCAATCTAATATAAAACTAAAAGAAGACAAAATAATAAGAGTGAATTATGATTTATTTAAATTGAAATATTTAAATATTTGATTTATTTATTTTAAATACAACTCAATAATGTAATTAAATATTTAAGGAGAATTTGAAACCCCAGTTTGCACTAGGCATTTTGAGTAGATCAATAACACGAGAAAATCTACAATAACGTTAACTAGCATTAATAATAAAATAAAATATTATTACTATTACTTATCTGCTAGTTAATGCATTTAATGATACCATTTTGAAGTTTAATGTCTAAACGTATATTTAGAAATAAACGAGTCATATACGAGTACAAATGATATCAGAAAACAGAAATTTAATAAACCGTATATTTATAGCTTGATATGCGGTATATTAATCGTTAATTTTACGATATCATTACAATGGATTACTTAGATTTATCTCATTACTATCAAAGTGTAATCTATTTTTTGAACATCAAACTATTCATTTTTGTCCCGTTTTGAACTTATTCTGGCCGATTGTGCGATGGTGTGAGACATGTCCGTCTGAAGTCGCTTTGTTATTTACTATTCGCGGTAGTTCGATTATATTTTAATACACGCGTATTGGTTTCGTGTACACTCATTGTGTGATGTAACACGTCCGAGGCCGGTGTGCCTTTAATATTGGAGATGCCTGTCATTCCGGACAAGATTTGAATTTCTAATCTGAAACCATTGATTTTCTATATTATTTCACAATACATTCGGAATAATTTAGTTTGTAATATTATTATATTATACATACCCATACCGGCTATACATAGTGAATTTAAAACGAATCTGTAGCCAACTTGTCCCAAAAGGAGAATTCCATAACAAATATTCGAATATTTAATTCGTAACATTATTTAATCATTATTGAATTACCTATCTATATACATGTATAAAATCGCTTACGCACTTGAAATTTTGAATAGTGGTTCCTCTAATACTTTCACCGTGCAATAAAAAAGGATTTTTGAAAATTCAACCCTTAAGGGGGTGAAATAGGGTTTTTCAGTTATATTTGGTACGAATATCAAATTGCTTATTTATTTATTTTTGTTTATTTAAGGGTTACCTTGGTGTTACGGAAAAAAACCTATTATAATAATAATTATTATTACTACTATTTGCACTATTCAAATTTCACAATAGAACACATTTAATCCGCCGAAGGTGGACTACCCACTTATCACCTATTTGTTTTCATTCAATTCTGTCACGGCCAAAACCAAAAATTAATATGGGTAAAACAATATTAATACAAATTGTCACGGGCAACGCCGGGCGCAAGACAGCTAGTTTATATTTTATGTTTAAATGAAATCGTGTAACAGACAACAGTAGTGTTTTAGTGATAAAAAACGTCATAGGTCCCGCCGAAATTATAAAAATATTATTATTTATACGCTTTACATGCGTGCTCATCTATCTTTACATGCTATCTATTAGGTTCAATAGGTCTTTTTAGTTTTGTTGTTATTAGAGTAAATTCGATTCATATATTCGATCTACATATTAAGAGCGTCTGTGTTTATACGTCGATATTTTTTATTCTTCACATTTTTAAGGGAGTTATACGTGTATATTTTGATAGTATTTCATTATTCGCTTGAAAATTGAAACATCGAGAAAAAACACACGTACAAAGCAAACACAGTATATTTTATGTTCTTACCTTTAATATCAAATTTCTAATAATTCAAACTAACGACAAAAAAATTAGTCCTGAACGCAGATTTGCTATTTCGTGCGTTTATAAGACGGATACTATCTAAACGCGCTGAACTATAATATTTGTTCACATATTTTTTACCCCATGTGTATTTTTATTACTAGGCAAAACCAAACACCGTGATTATAAACTCCAATGAAATGTTATCGTATAAATACGCTACTGGGTTTCGCTGATAAAGGATTAC